CAGATTTGTTATACAGCATCCACGTTAGCCAAGACCGCCATTTGTCACTGCATGGTTGTTCCATACGAGTAAGTTGATTAACACGTAGAAAGCTATATGTAAGCCATTTTTGATCATTGGCAGCGCTTGCATGGGATGCTGTACAGCGTGTTGCTATGGTGACAGTGGATTTTATCAAGGATGCTGAGCCATTACTAGCCAAACCTTGAGGAGCCTTGATAAGACTCCAGAGGATGTGGATTTGGCGGGTGACATATGTTTAATGTCAAACAAACTCGAAGAATTACAGGCGAAAACAAACAAACTGGTTACCCAAGTTAGTGAACGAAGAGCACAGAAGAAGCAGATAGAGCTCATGAAAGGACTTGAAAGGAAGCCAGAGGCTGGTAAATTTCCAGCAGATCCTAAAAAGTACGTCTACAGTTATAGTAGTGTTGAATTAAATTAGGTGCAACTTGAAGTACTTTCACTTGGCATTCGATTTTGTGACAGACCGAAGCGAGTTAATCACTTAGATACTGATATTGAATTTGAAAACCTATTAAGTCAAACAAGAGATCTAGCTCCATCATCCACCTTCGAACTAGAACGCTTCAAATCCAGTCTAGTGGATTGTTGTTATCAGTACAAAAACCTCAAATGCGACAGTAAAAGTTTCTTGACAAAGGAGCACAGATAAGAACTAAAAAGACTGATAAATGTATAGAGACTGATAATCACAAAGCCAGATAAAGGGTCAGGAGTAGTCCCTCTTGATAGAAGTGACTATATTAAAAAGATGAAGGATATATTGAAGGACACACAGAAGTTTCAAAAACTTGAGGAGAAGAAAGATTTCAATAACAAAATAGAGAATGAATTGACCAGACGTTTGAAGAAACTAAGGGGGGAGCAGATAATTTCTGAAAGTTTATATGAAGAAATCAGACCAACGGGCACGTATACGCCAAGATTGTATGGCCTACCTAAAGTGCATAAACCAGGGGTACCGTTAAGACTTGATATGCAAAATTCGCCCTACCATGCTATAGCTAGATGGTTAGTAAATATTCTCAAACCATTGCATGAGAAGATAGTGAAATATAGCGTCAAAGATGTATTTGAATTCGTAGACAAAATAAAAGATATTAATATCAAGGACAAAACCATGATATCTCTGGATATAACATCGTTATTCACAAATGTACCTCTAATAGAGACAGTTAATTATATATGTGAACAAGTGGACAAGCAGTCGATAAACATTGGAATCCATATTGAAATCCTAAAAGAATTGGTATTAAGATGTACCATGAATGTAAGCTTCAAATTTGACGGCACGCTTTACAGGCAAGTGGACGGGGTGGCAATGGACTCCCCATTAGGTCCAATTCTGGCTGATTTCTCTCTAAGTAAGCTCTCATTTTATTGCCGATATATGGATGATACCTTTATTCTTTTTGATAATGGTTAAGATAGGAGTACAATAATTACTGAATTCAATGAAGTATATTCGGCTATGAAATTCACATGCGAAGAGGAGTCCCAAGACAGAATTGAGTTCCTGGATGTCCTACTTACAAGAAAACCAGACGGTAGCATAAAAAGAAACTTGCATAGAAAAAGCACTTGGACAGGACAATATACACACTTTCACAGCTTCGTTCCTATCAATTACAAAAGAAATTTAGTGAAGACCCTTAGCCACAGAGTTAGAGCTATATGCTCTGAAGAAGTAATTAAAGATGAATTAAGCATGGTATATGATATTTTAATCGAAAATGGTTATCCTGACAGATTTATCAAGAAACATATGACAAAGAAAGCCGAAGAGGACTACCCAGTATCTGTTAACAAGAAGCCACTTTATATACGACCACAATTCATGGGCGATATACCAAGCGAGTTAATTACGAAGAAATTAAGAAAATCAGTTCAAAGAACTTTTAATGCTGGCGAAATACACGTATTATTCTCTACACGACCGATGGTGCTACCTCGACTGAAAGATGAAGTACCTAGACTGGCCACTTCAAATTGTATTTATCAATTCAACTGCGCTTGTGGAGCGAGTTATGTTGGCCGTTGCTCTAGGAACTTGATTTTTCGTGGTCGAGAACATATCCCACTATGGCTAAGTAAAGGTGTAGTTAAAACTATTAACAGCTCGATATTAGACCATCTGGTGCAAACCGGTCACAAAGCCAGCGTAGACGAGTCCTTCTCTATAATATACCGGGTGCCTAACAAACCACCAAAATCGTCGAAGCACCGCATACTCCAAACAGCAGAGGCTATTGCAATTCGCCTGAAACAACCAGTGCTGTGTCCAAAAGAAACATGTCCAGCTGCCCTGGCCCTCCTCAGTAGAGACTATAAACTCATGAATTTGTACTATTACCTTTCCTTATTCTCCTGACATTGAGTTTATTTTATGTTGATGCTGTTCAGCTGTAATTTATCAATATTATTGATTTGATGTTATTTAAACATTATTGTCGTTCATAAGACTAATTCATTCATTCATTATAATGTATATATAATTGTAGAACCTGATGATGAATTTATCGAAAAGAGTGCTCTTTGTTCCGTGTCTATTCTTTTGAAAATCGGAAATCCGTCTGTAAATTTGCTGCACGCAGCAGAAACAAATGAATTCGGGTTTTCATCAGCGAAATTAAAGCAGTCACTGCTTCTATGCGATCGGGAACTTGGCCAGAGCATCATTAATATCATTTCCAACAGGTCACTGAAATCTTTTATCGACAGCTGCTTTCGCTGTCTCTATACTGAAGATCAAATACCAGAAAGAATTAGCAACTAGCAACAATAGCAACGAGCTAACGAAAGTGGAGACGAGACACGATCAGTGATCGTGAGCGCAACTAATTAGCAGAAAAAAGAACAGATTGCAAACATGCTGTTGAATCTCTTTGTTCAACTCGGAACCCAAAGGGGGAGTAATTAATATGGTTTTATAAAGTTTTCAGTGGCTTATCTCGACAGATTTATTGGAGTTGTGATGACCTATCATCTTCGTGGGTGAGGAAGATCTGTTGGGAGTTCTTATTCAAGAAGCAGTATGTATTCTTATGTCCGAAAATTTGACCTAATGTCCAGGTGAGTGGAACAAGCCAGCATCTGAAAACGATGTCAGGTGTCACGACTCTTGAATAAGTCCTAAGACTGAGACAGAACCACATCGTGAGGCGCTGAACACAGAATAGATATAGTATGCCCAAAACTCTGCTGCTAAGACATGTAGGTAACCCTGAAAGTCTAAGAGGACAAGTAGTCCTAACGTCACAATACCATTCGATGAAGCTAGCTAGATGAGTCTAAGAGTGTCGAACGGGCACTGGAAGAAACTAACTTCGAAATCTACTACTCGAAATTTGGGGGAATTGAAGGAAATACATCTAGCTGTTTGACACACTCATGACCTCCAGACGTTTAACCCCATTATTTATTAATTCCCAAAAAACAAATCGTAGTCATATAAGAAATGTCATCCAGGTCGGAGAACGAAGTGTTGATGCTACGGAATGTTCACGACGACTACTGGAAATTGTACTGGGGAAGGATAAGGAGAAGAGCACAATTCTCACCAATGCATTTGAGATCGCAGTAGAGAATGGGGCCTGATTGGCCTTTGGAATATAGAAGTAAGAGAATGGAAGCCATTGCTCTATTAAAGGCTCAGTTAGAAAAAGAGGAAAAGGACCTTGATCTATTGGGTTTTTGGATAATGGGGTCTTCAAACCTGTGTTGCACAGACCCAATTCATACGTCGAACTGAGACAGGTATTTTAATGTGTTGTGAGAACCAGTGTGATCATAAGAATAAGCTCGTGGAATTAGGAGTGTTATCTGAAAAACCACAGCCTGATGTTAACATTATGACTGAAACATGGTTGTCAGTGGATATAGGCAATTCCAGTCATACCTGATTATACCGGTATTTAGACACAGGCTAATTAGTGTGGAGGGTGGTATGGTACATCCGGGAAGAAATAGGAATTGGGTCAACATTCTCAGAAGCACACAGCAGGGACAGTAGTGGTGCGTCGATTTGTGTCATCGACTCGAACGTGGGTAATGAAACGATTGTGGCGGTTAACAGAAGTCCTGTAAGACAAACTGACAACTTCGTACTTAATCACCTAAGAGTACCGAGTTGTAGAAATAGGTGTCCAATAGTATTTGACTTTAATGCTCCACATATGAATTGAGAGGAATTAACATCAACTAGCTTGTGTACCTGTTTCATCAAGGAACTTACACTGATAGTGTTCGAATGAGCACTTGTACAGGCTAAACATGCACCAACAAGATACGACCCTGAAAATGACCCATTTATTTCGTATCTAACACCAGAAGCATGACGAAGTGACGTGCCTCCCCCTGCTAGCTAGTAACGGTTACGTGGTCATTACTTTTACATTTAAGATTTATGCTTCAATACATAGGCCAACATCTGCCCGTCCAAACATTTGGTAAACGAATATACCGCCAGTCTGACAGGCAACATACTCAACTGACTGGTCAGTTGATACAAATAAGACTGTCAGGGAAGCTTGGTTGGGATTTTGGAATAAACTAGGTTGTGTCACTTAGACTTTTGTTCCTTGGTCCACTCCTAGAAAGCTACTGCATAAGCCACCTTGGATTAATAGTGAAATGAGGTTCTTAGGAGGAGGGGGGACTTAATTTTCTCACACCGTATTTCAGAGAGGGATTTAAGATTTGACTTTCCTAACCTTTTCCCTCCATCTGGAAAACATTTATGAGATCACGACAAATAGGTGCTCAAACCAAGGACGAATAAATTAAGTGTGAAATTTGTATTCCCTCAAAGAGTGGAACTCTTTAGTTATTCGAGCAGTATCAGCTCTATCGGTGAGAGCTTTCGAAAGAAAACTAAGTCTCTGCAGAGGTATATATTGAAGGGATTAACACAGGTCTGAAGGGCCTACTATCTTCGTTATCTGAATCTGAAACCTATAAATGTTTTCATTGTCCTACGAGTAAGGTCGTAGAGTGTGCTGACAAATGGTGGTGAGGTTGTGCAAAGAGAAACACCGTGTCTAATAAAATCGACCATGGGTTTTCTGCCACTATGGAAATTATTTTGATGCAGTTAGAAACAACTACATTTGACAATCTTAAGATATTGTAGTTTAGGCGCCTTATACAATAAATGAAGGTCATCTGCTTTCCACAAATGATCGAACATTGCGGCATTTAACCGTAGTCTGTGACCATGAATTTTATGAGAAGACACTTAAGTAGAAGTGTCAACAGGGAAAGCAACTTGCCAGTATCTTTTGACTGTCGCAGGCTTATAACACTATTTAATCAATATATGCAGTCACAGAATAATGACGATAAGGACACCATTTTATACAATACTCTTCCATATTTCTGCAAGGTTATTTATATGTCTTACTTTAACAGTGCTTTAGGTATTTTCTGACGCACAGCCTGTTGAATTTGTGGATAAATTTCCTGATATACACCTGTTTTGTGCACGTGTATCTCAGCTGTTTGTGAAGGAAGTAAAGTCCAGAGCAGCAAATAAATCGTCAGGTATAGAGATCTTTAATATTTTATGGTTTTAGAGGAAGGAAGTTTGATGGTTGCTCAATTTTTAGAGCCAGATGAGAACATCGGTGACTGTTTGGAGGTTACTGATTCTGAGCACGCTGTGATAACAAATAAGGGATCTTGTTTGCTTAACGCCCTTCATTTAATGAGTACGGGCCATACTAGTTTGATTGAATGTATGGCAGCTGCTTCATTACCATCCACACTTGTTAAGTGTCTATATATATTCCTGGACCTTCCTTCGAAATACTCTTCAGGATGTATATTTCAGACTAAGTTCCGAGAAGTAAGTTGCAGGCTTCCGGCTAATATTATTTACATTTATTTATAAACATTATCAGCCTTATTCAACCCTATATTTTGTGCATTCACTATGTGATACATGTGTCTGTTAGTTATTTAGTCAATAACGTTCCTAGAATGTCTAAACAGTTACCACTCTCCTCTTTCATTGGAAATCCATAGGACGGAGTAGCTCCTAGTGATAACGGATGAGAATGCAGTGATCAGCAGTTTTTCGTTATTATGATAAAGAGAAGTGACCAATTATGTCTAATTTGTCGTGTTAATCAAAATCTGGAGCATACTTTCAGTAGAGCAACATGTGGTTAGTAAAGTCGGAAATCTTCGAAAGGATACGTAGGTTTGATTACTGATGTTTGTAGGCTTTACCCCTTTTTCAGGAATACAAATTGAGTATTGCGATTGTAAGATCAACATCCCAGACAGTAACAAGTATCTCAGTGCTACATTGAGTCAGACACCTGACAAATTCTACTACGGATGCCAAACTGTACGTTTTAGTGTCCAATAGTAGGCAGATATGATGACTAACCGTAAATTGTGGGAATCTAAATTAGAACTTCTCAATACATGAAGCTGCTAATTTATGATTACAGTAATGCATAGGCAACCTGTATCCCACCTTCGAAATATTAAAAACTTCAAGGTAATGACAGATAATGACGCTACCGAAAGTTGCTTTCAATGGTAAGGGCGCAAGCACTGTTTATTTCTTGTAGTCTACAGTTTTTACTCTTGACCATGAATCTAAGTTGATTAAAAATCCCGATTTTGACATTATTCTTACCAAGTGCCTATCCCTTATCTCACTTTTTTTCAATATTTTATTGTGATTGCAATTCTGTTTACGTATTTTTCGTGTTTTTCTGACGATTTCTTGTCGCTTTTGCCTCCTTGTAATCAGTTGATTTTGGTCTTATTCAGCTCCTCCAACGGCTGTGTTTGTATCCGGTAGTAGCTGAAGAATTGGCTCGTAAAGATGCCTTGTGTCATCTTTTTAACGCGTTAACTGACTGGTGTCCCCCTCACAATTCTAGTTGGCGTATGACAACCACTGTTGTGTTGTCTACCATAGCCCAAAATTCTCTTACTCCTATTGTAATAAAGAGCATACATGGTAAGTTATATTGATTATTGCTTGGTCTGTGAAACTAAGTCTTACTTCAGGACATTTTTACCCCAATTCTCAAATTCTACTCCTGCATAAGGTTTTTTGAAATTTGAGATTACAATTTCCATAATTATTCCATTGTAATTTTCCTGATACCAATAACACCTGACTAAAATATTGCCAAATATTTTACGCAGTTGTAGTTATGGCTTTGTACTGTGTGCATTACTCACAGTATCGAAAGGGTAGCTTATTGGCTTGGGGACTCGGATTTCAGCCAGCGGGTCTTAGATTTGACTCCTGCCCCATCTGCATCAGCCTAGGCAACTGGATAGTAGCATTAAGCTTCACACAGTAGTTGTGTTTCGTCTTAACACATGAATGAATGATTCCTGGTAATTGAGTTCAGGCAACGAACATGCTTTCGAGACGACTGTTTATGGTGCTGTAATGAAGCTGCTAATTTTTTTAATCCTCGGAGTTATCATTGTCTGAAGAAAATATTCTACAAAACGTATCAATAACGTAGGGTCTCATGTAAGCTGACTGCAATCCAATAAGCTTTTATAGAATTTGCGTAAAACTATGACTCGAAGTGTTCATGAAATAAAATATGATATGTATTTGTATAAAATTCATCGTTACTACTTTTTATGTTTATTTTATTGTTATATGGCATTACTATTTCTACAGTTTAATTACATGCAAGTCTCTAAATTAAAACTTCGTTTTGTTGTAATTTCAGACTCAGAATGTGTTCGTCATTGCCTCAAGAGTTTATCAGAAAGCAAATCGAATCATAAAGATTTAGTGAATAGTTTTGTTTCACTCCTTCATATAGTCCGTGAATCATCTGTTGATGATCAAACTCTTCTGGACGATTTCCGCACCAACAATGGATACTTTGTACTAATCGATTTCTGTCTTAAGTAAGTTATTTAGTTTAGAGGATGTGAATGATAAATCCATAGCGATTTACGGATTCTAACTCCAAAAAGCCATTATAATCTTTACAAATTTCGCAGTTTTTCTGTTTCACGTCGGTTTGAAAGTCACACTTTTATGGAGGGTACAAAATACTTCGGAAAACTGAAACTACTTGCTACAAGTGGATACTTCTCCATAAATTTAACTTTGAAGCAGTCAATTTGTATGCATAAGTAAAATATTCATAATATACTAGATCTCAAGATACTTACTTACTTTACTTCGGCTATCTCCTACGGAAGGATGAGCCGGCTTCATGAACATCTCGAATCATCGCTGCCCAGGCGCGGCGATCTGATGAAGAGAGTTCATGAAGTTTCATGGGAATTTGGTACGAGTGATGTCCCCAGAATCGCTCGGCCTTTTGTTTGAGAGTGCAGCTCTAGCCTTTACACAACCAAGTGTGACCTACAACGCAGTAGGAGTGAAGTAGGGAGTCCACTATCCATTGGCAGCCGGTGACTGGAGTTCGGTTCATACGCCTTTTTGAATGGGGCCAGACATCCAGGACATCCAACAAGCCCTTTGTCCAAACGTCTGCCGGTGAGCTCCAGTGAGCTTCATACGCCAGTCGTTGGAGGTTTGGAATCAGGGTTTAGCCATCTCCCCTAGACTGTCATCCAATGGACAGTCAACCCGGTGAAGAGCGCCGGGCATCCGCTTTCGCCCTCTCACTTTGGTGAAAAACACCTCCGCCACGTGAAGGCAGTGAGTAGGAGGGGTGGCCAACCCGCAGCGCAAGGCACCCACCCCCGACCATCCTGAGGCTTTGGTGGCAGATATGACTAACTTACTGGTTTCAACATAGAAATTTGCACCGAGGTACAGCACTTCGAGTTGTCACACTTCCCGTGCAGTACACGAAGCAAGAGAAGAGAGTAAAGCGAGATTCCAAAGAGCGATAGATAATAAACAGATATGTGAATGAGCCAAAAACAATGGTAATATGGAAAGAACAATAGACTTTAATTGGATGATATGACAAATCACAAAGAGTGAATGCATCTGCGCCATAAATTGACAACGACGACTTTGAGCCATCTCACCAATTATCTCCAGCCTTACCTTCATTGGTTCTTACCATCCCGAGGACCCCAACCAGCCGACTAGGAAGTCTACACCTCCCGACGTGGCTGTTTGGCTCTCTGGTTTAAACTAGCTAACATTGACGATTGTCGAGGAAGGAAGGCGATGGATGGCTAAGCATATGTGACACATGTCCCAACCACCTCAATCGATGTAACTTCACAACGTCGTCGATTGATTTCTCCCGCCTCCCTACCTAGCAATCGACCGACGCGTAACCTCAATATTACTCACCAACCTATTATACCACCATCTAACACGGTAGATAAGATGTAGGCACCTATAATCAAAGACAGCTAGTCAGGCTTTCTGTCTTCCACTTTCAATGGCTATGTCTCGCTCACAGTCATAAAGGAGAACAGAGAGAACTGCTGAGCAGTACACACGTCCTTTAATCGATAGTCAGCCGGATATCACGTCTATGCCAGATATGGTTTAAGTTGGTGTATTCCAGACGAGCCTTTTGTATCCGTGCTGAGATTTCGCCAGCGATCTACTCGTTGGAGCTGGTTGATGCAACCTTCCTCGAAATAAGTGAAGTGGTCAACACTCTCCACCAACCACTTCACTCCCTATCTTTAAGCTAGGAGTCAATGTAGTTCAGTTCAGTCCTGTGGCATCATCTTACATTTGACAGCAGAAGCCAATTGCATGCTAAACATTCGAAGATTGCTGCTCTAGGTGTTCAGGAGACTGCGCATTATTTCAGCGTCCTCATCTAGAAGGACTAAATCATCTGCATATTCCAGGTCAGTGCAATTATTCCCTGGTGACAAGTCAATCCCCCAGTCGCTGAAGTGAGTTAGGGTTGATTCCATTAGTATATCTATGGAGACAGTGGACATCCCTGACGGACACCTAGTTGTTACCACTTCAGATGACAACCCTCCGTAAGCTCTTACCTGGTTGCATGAGTTCGAGTAGTGTCTTGATCAGTGGGATGTCTTTTCTCTGCATTCCCTTCACAACCTGTCTGTCTGGATTCAATATATAACTTGGCACCGAAGTTCAACAGTTCGAGTTGCCACGTTCCAAATAGCACACAAAGGTAGACAAGAAAATGAGTGAAGAGAATCAATAGAGTTTTGAGAAGCATAAGAGTGAAACAGAATGAGTAATGGTAGAAAGGAATATGAAAGATTACAGAGACTGAATACATCTGTGCCATTGACAGCGATTTTGAGCCATGTCACCTATTGTCTCAAGCCTTCACAGCCAAACATAGCCATAGTACCTTTCAGTCGATGCAATCGAATGCCGTCTTTAGGTCAAGAAATATGACGACTGTTGGACGCCTGCAAGTATACCTATTTTGCGGAATCTGTCGAAGGTTGAAGATATGATCAATACACCCTATTCCTGGTCTTAAGCCTGCCTGGTTCTCTCGTGTTTGTTCCTCCCAAACGCCGTATAATCTACGCATAATTTATTGAGCCTAGAACTTTAGATACCAAATTAGTCAAGCTAATCTCCCTGTGATTATCACTGGAAGAATTGTCTACCTCCTTGTATACTGAGATAATCAATGACTTACACCAACCCGTCGGGACTTCCTCTGATTTCCAAACGCTGCCTAATACCTTAGTTGACGCAGATAGTAAACTGTCTCCACTACCTTTAAACACCTCTGGAGTCATTCCATCTGGTACCACAGCTTTGCCTCGTTTCAGACTTGTGACAGCTTTAGTAACCTCAGTTAAGGACGGAGGACCTGTGTCTATATCCCATTCAGGGAGGTGTTGGATGTTGGGCAGGTTAAGTGTGGCTGTAGGCCAGTTAAACTGCTCATCATAGTGTTTTTTCCAACGTTACAGTTGTCTATCCTGGGAGTTCATTATGGAGCCATTTTTCTCAGAGATTGTTTCACTTATCCTTTGCCTTTTCCCACCTGTCTCCCTGATAAGCCTAAATAGTTGTCTGGTGTTACCAATCGCCGATGTCTTTTCCACCTCTTTTGCTTTTATTGCCCACCACTGTTCACGTCGTTACAAAGACTTCATGTTATTTGCGTTTGAGCAGCTTTCGCTCATCATAATCGGAGCTCGGCGGAATCAGTCTTCTTGCGTCAATCAGTTCGAATGAGGCGGTAGAGATCCAATGGCTCTTATTAACTTTTGGTAAAAGGTTATTAACAGCTTTCACAGCTGTGTTTACAGCCAACTGTATGCTGTGTCAGGCTATCTCAGTAGGAGGAGTCTTGCTATCGACCTCAGATACTCGTTTCGCTATTTCTTCCTTAAACAGGGACTCAGAGTCTCGATCTAGTTGGGGATGTAACTGCTTCGCTGCCAACAATCTTTTATGTCCATTTAGTCGTAAGCATAAACGTGCGCGAACCAGGGCGTTATCGAAGTTTACGCACGTGTTCCAGAAGGAGCGGCAGTCTTCAACTGACCCTCGCCAACGATAGCCTGTCGCTGTGTGGCCTCTCTGAGTCCAGCTTTAATTTGATGATGGAGGTCGCCAGGTTACGCAGTGTCTCGTTTTATGCCTAAAGTTAGTGCTGACTAGGAACAGATGATTATCTGAGCAGAACTGTAGAAGACGATCACCGTAGTCGGTTCTTTGATAGGGAACTCCGTACGTACCAGCTATACTATATACTTCTCGGTTATCAAACATACTTGCCGAATTCCGTTTCACTTCGTGATGTTTTTCTTACAGATAAAAGATGTAGTTCATTTGTGCTGTCGTCTTTTTCCGTGATATTCCGGTACTCTTTCTAGCTTTTATAATGTGTAGTACATTAATTGAAGATGTTTAGAGTAACTTATCAAAGACTATGAATTTAGTAATTTTGTAATCATAATTCAGCTTTCTTCAGAATGGATTCTGCTTGAATATGGATTAAAGTTTTACTACCTTATTATGTCATTATCTATCTTGCATTCTGTATGTGTATAGTCATGGAAGGTAGTAGTTATTTATATAACAGGGTGATGTGAATCTACTCTTTCATAATATCCGTCCTGCTGTTTTATGGTAAACTATCATCACAGGTATCTGTTAAGCAGTCTTATGTGGTTTTATATTTATATTTCTGGAATTTAATTTCTTAAATAAAGAGCATGTTAATGCGTAAATATGGTAGCTGACACATCATATCAGCATAATAAGTAGATTGTAATAATTAAATGAAACAAGGTATTTCACCTATTATTATACGCTGTTTTTGCTTATTTTTGATAATACTGAGTTATATGTTTTATTATTTTCTTGTCAAAAGTCATCAAACACTTCTATATGGTAATCTTTTACATAAAAATAAGGACATTGTCTGAGTGAGTTGCTGTTCTCTCTTCAGTCTTAGTAGTGTATCCACTCAACTTTCAATCTACAGGTTATGGATTTAAACTTTATCTTTATCTACGAGGGAATGTAAACACTAGATACAAACAAGAGTAAAATAGAAATCATATCAAAACCTTCATGCAATTCTTCCCATTAATAAACTTGAACAAAGCAAGAACAACAATTGTACCAGGATAATATGAGTTCATCTTTTATTATTTCGAGGATTCTTCTCAACTGGTTACAACCTGAACGATAAAAAAATGTGAATTACATTACATTAAAGATTTGAACATACTTTTCCACGATCACAAGGAGTAATTGGTAGGAAGTAAAAGTAACATTAATCTGGAATGATTTAACTAATTAAGAGTTACAAACACTGACTATTTATAGAATAATTAGGCAATTAGGCTTGGAAACAAAAACAGAGTTGCATATATATATGTGTGTGTATAGAAACAAGGTTTAGCTAGACAGAGCATAACAAAAAGATAGATTACGTAACTAAAGAAAATGCTTTATCTAATAGCCAATAGAAAAAAAAGGAAGAGAAAAGAACAAGAAAGGGTGAGTCATGTTTAGATGAGAGAGTAGAGTTTTCTAAACAAGAAAAAGGTGACTCACACAAGTTGTATATTTTTTGTTGTCACCAGGGCAGTGCAAGATTCACCACTGTCTCTTTCTGCGTACATAGATTTGGTTTAAGTCGTCTGATAGCAATTGCTTCAGCAAAGCGTAGCAAGCTAGGTTTCTTTTGCTTGTTGATTATTTTGAATGACTTCAAGTTGTCTACATTATGGCCAGTGTCTAATAGATGACGCGCAATTGCACTGTTTAATACTTGTGGACCTTTCAGTCTCAGGTTCTTTGGTATGTGTTCAGAAATGCGGACAATAACCCTTCTCTCTGTTCTTCCGATGTATGTGCTTTGGCACGTACATGTAAATTGGTAGACACAGTTGGAGGTAACATGAGGTATCATATCATTACAGCGGCTCGATCAAAATACACTGATTCACTACTGTAGAGCATATGAGCCTTAAGAATGCATCATTGGTTGTCGAATAAGTTCCATATTTGTCTTTATTGGTGCCTACCTAACAGTGACTGTGTCTTCGAGTTGTACTGTTACATATTTTGTTTTATTCCTATCACGTGACCAAGCAACTTTGGTCATGTGAAGCTTAATGTTCAACAGTAATACATTTGTACTCAGACTTACCTTGTCTTTGTATATAGGGAATTTAATGCTGACTAGTTTTCCATAATTTTTTACATTTTGTCTGCTTAGGATTGAAGAAAGTTGTACTGCTGAATCTGAGAATTCCTTACAAACACTTGTAGGGCTTGTTGGTAATTTAGCTATTTGTGGACCAGTAGAACTTCGCCCTAAAGCAGGGGCTGGGGAGCAAATTCATAAAATCCCAGGATTTCGTATGCATATGCCTAAAACACAAGGTGAGTTCTGTTTACTTTCTTGAAAATTCATTTTATTTTGTTAATAAGTATATCGTAGCTCACATCCTGTTTGACTTTTTGGGTTGTTTCTCTTAAAGGTTTTCTGTATGATTTTCTACTAGTGGATCATGGGTGTAAATTTGGCATTACATGTTTAGGTTTAAACAGCCAATTGGTATTACCAGTGATTGAATGGTAGTGTAGTCTTCTTGTTTATCTAAACGTGTTCTACTCAATTTAGTGGTGGTATAGCCCATAGGTCTTCGGATTTATTTTCAGCCGAGTGGGTGCGACTTCGAATCCCTCACTATTTAATCCGACCTGAGAAATTGGGTAGTATCATCTGTCGGCACAAAATGAGTGCGGATCCATAGTATTGCACATGAAAAATCTGCCGTAGACAACTGAATTTTTACGGCATTATCATAAACAGGTTAATTGAACACTTATAAAGTGATCCGTTGTTTATGATTTACTATTTATTGGAATGGAATTTTTTAGAAAAATATTTTAATTCGCGAAAAATACCCATTAAGACATTGAAATAAGAACAAATTAGTTCAGCGAAGAGTCTCTTTTCGGCGAATTCATTCACTTAGCTGTACAGTCGCAAATATATACAATTAATTTTGTGTGTGTGTGTGTACATTAGGTTTGTCAAAATCAAAATAACAGTTAGTGTGGGTTGTTGATTACATCATCAAAATAATTAAGAAATTAAAATGTGTGATTAATAATCAAAGTTGTAACTAAGTGGGGTGAAGATTGGTAAGATGTGAGTAGGGTTACGTAATATAGACATGTTTAGAAAGATTAGATGTTAGTGAAGGAGTATGGAGACAATTATGAAAATAAACTAGATAATAGGTGAAAAGATTGAATGGGTTAGTTACTAAAAATTATTATACGAAAATTGCAAAAAAAATTTGATAACAAAATGTTGATGACAGATAAACTTGAAATTAAACCCACGGTAGTAGGAGGGGGTGGAGAAGTTTCTTCTGTGTGCATAAATCAGGCTTTTCTATCCAAATCGCTAAGGCTTCGGCAATACAAAGTATACGGAAGCTTGTCGATTTTGGAAGGCTTCTTTTGACTTTATAGATGACTTTGAACGACTTCTCCTTGCAAATCGAATGACCAGTGTTGAGTATATGCTCAATAATGGCGCTCCTTATTGCTCCGTTGTTACCTTTCCGTAGCCAGGCGGGATAGTGTTCTTGAACTCTTTTAGATAAAACTCGCATCGAACGACCTATATACCTCGCTCCGCAAGAGCAGGTGAATTGGTAGATACACATGGAAGTGGTCAAATGCGATAGTTTATCTTTAGAGTAGTTGAAGAACAATGGCCGGGAGGAAAATGTCAGTCGTAGTGTGGCAGCGAAGAATGTCCTTCTGAGAGCAGTAGATATCCTCTTCTTCAAGGTGTCAGCCAGAAGGTCACCTTTGAAGGGTACATTCATGTAGACCATCTTCTTCTGCACTGTAATGGGTTGTTCTTTGTAAGTCTTAGGCTTAATATGCTTGTCTATAAAACGAGGTGGGTAGCCATTCTCGAGCAGTGTCTTCCTTAAGAGGGCGATCTCTTCCTCTATTGATTCAGGACTGCAGATTTTTCGGATTCTAGTCGCCAGAGATATTATCAAGTTTCGCTTGCGACTAATTGGTACCCAACTGTAGAAGTTTGTCAACTGACCGTTCCACGTAGGTTTTCTGTGTACTGATCTGTTCAAGGTACCATCGGTCTTCTTACTTAAACGAACGTCCAGAAAGGAGATTGTCTCTTTGGTTTCTACTTCGATTGTAAATTTGATGGCGGGGTGGCAACTATTGAAAACTTGAAGAACAATATTTTGATCACATTTGTTATCGCAGATGACGAAAGTATCATCAACATACCTTTTGTATAAGAAGAATTTGTCGATGGTTGCTTTCAGCGGACCGTTTTCCAAACTTGCCATGAAAATATCAGCCAGCACCGGACCCAAAGGTGATCCCATCGCCACGCCATCTTGTTGTCTATAGAAGTTCCCATTGAATGTGAACTGGACATTTAGGGTGCATCTGAGTAGGAGTTCTTTTAGCTTGGTGGTAGGTATTCCAATATTCAGGTTGTTTTCTTCCAAGTATTTGCATAGAAAACAAATCGTCTCAGTGATAGGGACGTTTGTAAAGAGAGACTCGACGTCGAGTGAAATCATACGTTTGTCTCCCACTTTAACATCTTTGATACAATCGATGAATTCAAAAGTATCTCGAAGAGAATGTTTTGAAATTCGTTCTCTAACAGGTTGTAGGAGTTCTGCTAGCCATTTCGCTATTGGATGATACGGAGATCCCGACATGTCCAAAATAGGGCGCAGTGGAAGACCCTGTTTATGAGTTTTTGGCAATCCGTATAGTCGGGGTATTATTGAACCTGTAGGTCGAATGCTCTCGAAGACATTTTCAGAGATAACTTGATCAGTTTTTAGCTTTCTCAAGATCTCAGTTAGCTGTTTTTCCGTTGCCTCGGTTTTGTCTTTCTCTTTTTTGAATACTGAGAACTTGTTGTTGTCTGAGAGAATCGCCACCATTTTATTAATATAATCTTTTCTATCCATTAAGACTATGCCTGTACCTTTGTCAGGGCGTGTGATAAGCAATTCTTTGTTCTGCCTCAGTTGGTTGAGTTGTTCTCTATGCTCTTTGGTCAAAAGATTGTTGAACTTGGACTTTGTATTGAGATACTGTTGACAGGAGTCTAGAATAGTAGACTTAAAATGTTTGAATTCTTCTTCGGAAGCTGGGACAAGATCAGTAGTCTGATTGATCAAATTTCAAACTCGACATAAGTATTGAGCTTGCTTATGTTTGAGTTCATGTCGCAAAATCTTGGCCCGACAGACAAGGCCTCCAATTGTATGGGAGATAACGTTACTGAAGAATAATTGAACACAAATTTGGTGGGATCTTCTGGAAACTTGCGTCGTGTTTCTGTAGCTTTGAGACTTTTCAATAAGTTAGAATGGATGGCTTGTGTACGCTTCTCCGTAACCAGAGTGACATAGTCGGTAAATGCTTGTCGTTCATCACAAGACAAATCGTGTAACGCAGAGGATCGTTGCGCTATGTTCCTCTCGAGTTCTGGCACACGTGATATAATGGAATCAATATGGTTCAGGGTATGACGCTTGAGGGATTTCGAGTTCGGATAAATGTGATTGCGACGTAGAGCTTTCCAATACCACTTGGGATATTCATGATTATTTATACAGTCTCTGGGAAAACTGATCTTCGCATTAACTTTTATGAATTTTTTATGAATAAAATAAAAAGGGGATGTAGGTGAATTCGCTTCATCTTACTTAGTTCACTTTAAATTTTACAATAGTTTATTATAATTACCTAGTAATGTTGGATTTTAGTTTAGACTGAGCATTCCCTGCCACTGTAGAATTTTCGGACGATTTCATTATGTATACAAGTGATTTGAAATTTTTTAGTCCTTTACGTTCCCAGTGGAAAATAAGGCTTAAAGCTAAAGGCTTGAAGTTTCTGTAGTAGTGGTATTTAATTTAACAGGAGTTGCTAGCCTGATACCCAACCTTTCCTCTTCACAAGTCTTATTATTGGCTTAGCGAGGTCAAGGAGTGCGTCGGCCGGGGATCGAAACCCGGACCACATGAGGCGTGGTCGGCAAGCATTCTACCTTTGTACCACCGACACCTAATGGTATGGTTGTATAATTGTATTATTAACACTAAGCTTCATTCATTGTCTATCGAATGTTGACGCTGAGACATGTGGCCATCCAACTTCTTGTACGTCTTAAAAGTTGATATCACAAGAGATGAATTGGAAACTGTCTGAATTTGTTATAACCACTAATTAGTTTCCTTAAGTCATACTCATGTTTACAGTTTTCTTCAGTTATCGTCCAAGTGTTGTACAAAATATAAATCAGCCTTGAGAAGTAACATTTTCAACCAGTATTATTAAAAAAAATCAGTTATTGATTTTAATGCTTATTAACATCCGTATTGAACTTTCTTTATGATTAATGTAGCAAAATAATAAAAATGACAATATTTACTCAATTGGTAATGAGATAGGTGTGAAGGTCGGTCACTTTTTCAAATCAGTCCACAACCCGATTTTTTACTGCTTGCAAGTCACGATTCATTTTACTGTATATATTCAATATACTTCTGTCACCACGGGTTGGTGTCCAGCTGTCATATGTTACCGGCTGTGATGATTACAATGATAAACAAACAGTAACGTACGACCAGTTATTTCACCCATAGTGACTGAATTGAAATGATGACCTGGTAAGCAGTTGAATCTCGTAGCTCAGGTGGTAGGGTTCGGAGACTGTTAGTTCGAATTACCCAGCGTCAGTTTGCCAACCCAAGTATGTCATAGTTCCACTATCAATATATATATATATATATATACCTATTCGTCTAAAATATTCTATTAATTCCAGTATATATACAAGAGTATATTGTGTTTTGTAATTTTGTATTGTAGCTAGAAAAAGCGTACGAAACATGCATGCATTTGATGTACTACAATCATTGTTCAATAGTTGTTCAACAGCTCATCTTAGCTTACTGATATTAAAAACAGTCCAGTCGATTTTTCTACAAGACTTATCAAATTATTTTATTTTGGAGCAACAAAACACTCTGGTTATCTTTGCTAAGAAGATATTTGAAAAACCATACGAAGTACAGGTTAGATACTTATACTTATTTTATTGTTTATTTTTGGTGATGATTTCTACCCGGAATTATTCACTGTATCTGATGGATGAAATAAATCAACACACCACCTAAATGTAGAGTATATTCCTGTGCTTGTCAACGACACTACCAATTGGTGTTTAGGTCTATTCGGATATCTTCAGCTAGCAGTATTCACCCCGGAGTAAGCTGTAAGTTACTTTTGAAACCTACCTGTTGTGCTAAGCGATAATCATACTAACAGGTTATCTAAATCTAAGAAGTGTTGAGTGAGATTGGAGATTGGAATTCATTAAGCAAATTTGTAATTACATTTGGAGTTTTTGCATCACTAATCAGAACCTGGTAGTTACACCGGTGTGAAGAATCTACCCTTCCTGATTTTGTTTTCTGCATAATCGGTAGTGGTGTCCCCAGCGGAACATAGTGCTTCAAGCTAGAGCTTTGGAGTTTTGGTAGCAGTGGTGTTTATTTTTACGAGATGGGGTTGTTAGCCTAATGCCCAACCTTCCATTTTTACCAGTCTTATTACTGGCTTAGCTAGGTCAAGGAGTGCGTCGGCAGGGGATCGAACCCCGAACCACCTGCATGGTTGGCGAGCATTCTACCGATGCACTAATATATATATATATATATACTCTTGATGAATTTTAGCTCATATACGAATCGATCATTAAGGCGGTGTGATGAATAAATATTGCAAATAAGAGAATTTAGACAAAAGTAAATAGGAAACTGTATTTTTCAATAAATAAGAAATGAAGCAGGATAGTTTTTATCAATGCTTAACTTTTTAGTAACAGTGAATTATCAGACATATTCAATTGCTTCACTTAAAACGCATATATCTGCCGCTTACGAGGAACAGATGGTTGTCTGAATACAATTGTAGATGACAATCACTTTTATCGCTTCGTTCTCGTATGACTCCATATGTACTGCCAATATACTTTTGTGACTGGCACAACTTCTCTACTTAGTCATTGAGATCCGCTGCTAAAATGACTATCTTAGCGTTCCGTTTTTAGGAGCGAACTAGATAACTTTTGGTAAGACTCAACCTTTACTTCGTTCAAACTGCATTTGCTTTATGTGTATGCAGAGGGTTCGCAGGGTTATCACTATCTGTCCATTGGAAACTAACCAATTATGGATTTTCTCGCCACTTCACGCCCTTCCCTTAAACCTAAGAGTTCTTGCTAGGCGAAGAATCTCCTGACACTCTCACGGTGAACTTTGCAGATTCGCTACTTTGACTAGTAGAGGTCTTGTGTGAGTGCTACTGAAACAACATACATCAGTGACTCGAGATACCAGAGTACAGTCTTGTTCTTCAATCTGGTAAAGGGTCCTGATATTCACCACTCCAATATGAATTTACCATGGTGACTTTAAAATACTATCAATAGTGCTTTTCTGGTTCACGTCGTAACTAATTTTCGAAGAGCTAAGAGCAAGTAGAGAACCTACCTGTGGGACAGTATTGGCGGTAACTGGGAAGCAAGAAGATGAAGGTAGGTGATAAGTATGAAAGCTGTATGTGGATGTTATTTGTTACTTCTTACCCACCCATAACTTGAAAATTGATTTCCTTTTGGTATACTTGAAGCATGAAAAGAATTAGTGTCGTGTAACTGCAGAGTCCAAAGGCCAACTGCCTGAGGTCTGTCACACGCGACGTGTTTGAAGTGGTGTTTGAGGTTGTCAGTATGAGGGTTACAATCTTTTCTATACCCTCAAGCAGCCCAGAGCAGGAAGGCAGGCTGGTCGTCTGTGGGAAACACCTTAATACTGTTACATTCGTATTCCCTAGCAGTACGACTTCGCCTACAGACCCCACACAGAGTGCAAATAACTTACACTGTGATGGTAACTGCTTTTAGTCTGATTACTATCCAAATGGCATATCATAGGAGATACTAATTTCAGATAAGCCCTTGGTTGACGAGTGCCAATAATCACAAAACTTAAGTTCAAAACTTCCAATCAATCGCATCTAAGCATCAAATATCAATTTATATAGTGGTTCTATTACAGAATTATGATATCCTGCAGCTGTAAATAGTTAAAAAGTTGTGACCTTTGCATTTCATCTATCCGTAATGGGTATGTTTCATTAGCATCATGAGAAGTTCATAGTCAATTAACGTCAAACCCCCAAGAAAATCATTAAAAGTAGTTGTTTAAAAAAAGAATGCTTACCTTTGCATTGCAGCATTCGTTTTGACTGTATGTATCTTATTACTCTTTTCTTTATTTTAGGAGGCCTATTTTAATTTACTTGAACTACTGGTTAACAAATTGCATTATGTATTTATGAAAGAAATTAGCAGTATTGTTGTTCAAATGAAACTATTCAAGTAAGTTTATACATGTATGTATAATTTTTTCCTTAAGGTTCCTGTGAGAAATAAGGCTTCAGCGACACGTCTCTAATCTACTCAGTTCTTCTTCTTCAATCACTTTCAATTCATGCCATGACTACCCACAAGCTTTCATCTTCTCTTCTCATCATCTTCTTCTCCCTGTTACATACCCTCGGATGCTTTATCTGTCTTTTCCAATTTGCGTTTCATCTGCGAAATCTATATCTTTTACTTGTCTTCTCACTCTCCCGCACTCCACCGCATAATCCATTCCATCACAGTTAGGCAGGACATTGGTAACAGAGTACATAGGACGTTGTCTTACTCTTATCTTCACTTCAAATGCTTCAGTGAGGTTTGTCTTGTGAATAATTTGACATTCTGGATCTCCATGAAGATGCTGAATTATGCTGATAAGTTTATCTGGGATTGCACTGCGTAGTATTCAAGCGGGTTGCCAGATGATCACTTTACGGTCAACGTTGTTATCTCCAAGGCCTTTTCACAATCGATAAAGTTGAAGTGGTGTGTTGATTACCAGTTAACCATACAGTTAGTTTGTCAACTTATTAAGTTGATCTATTTCAAATCATACTAGTCTGTGAGGCTAGCTCATAACCTCTGTGTATGTGAATGATAAATATACTGTTCGACAGTTGAAAGTTTAAGCATACTATATAGATGATACATGTAGATTGTGTTATTAATTGTCTTCAAGTAGAATCGATACTAGAATATATACATATATTGTAATGTATAACTTATTGTTTCATTGGAATATATATATATATATACATATATATATACATATATATATATATATATCAGTTAGTAAAACCAACGAAGAAAATCAATCAGATATAGTTGCATAGATTATACTTCATTTTTCTGTAAAATGTACAAAAGAGAGAAGCGAGTAGGTGAGAAAAATAAATAAATCTTGTCGAACAACTGTTCATTGACGTAATGAGTCTGTCTGCCTATTCAATTCAAGCCTAATGACTAATGAATTATACATATATATATATATATATACTGATTAAAATTCCAAAATGAACAAATGATTTGCTTGCCTAGCTGGAAGTGAAATTCGGTTTTCGCAAATTCTTATTTTCTACAATTTCCACAATTAGCTGCGGAATTCAGTGGACTCATGTTCCCTCTTGTTTGGAACTGTTCAGCACCCCTCCTTTTAAACTGAGTTAAACATTATGTTTATCACAAGGCATCGTCGAAGCGTCTTTACTTGGAGCCGACATGTCAACACAGAGGTCGAACACTTTCCGTTTTTAATCTTCCTATGAATCAATGTCAGTTAGAGAATCATTGAAAACCAGGAAGCACTGGACACCTATTTCGTCCTACTTTGGGAGGCTACAGCATTTTCATTGCTTGTACTAGAGTAATTAAAACGTTAAACACAGTGAGACGGTTAACAGGCAACTTAAAAACAATAGATAAACTGTTCTCAGAAGTTACACCTACATATTTGAAACACAGAAGGTTCTGGCTAATTCAGTAATGTCTAGAAAAGGAGTTAGTGAAATAATAAAGACTAGAGTTGGATATATGTTGGTAGTGAATGAGTAATTCACTGCACAGTAATGTGTTGAGGTCATCTAAATCAGTAGAAATAAAAACAAAATTATTATTTTCAAGTACTAAAAGATAATAGGTCAAATCAAAAGATTATGTAATCGAATAGTGGAAATAGTGCATACATGTATGTGTGTATGTGCGTCGGTGGTTCAGTGGTACAATATTCTTCAACCACGCACCTGGTCCGTGGTTCCACTCCCGGCCGGCGTACTCCTTAGCCTAACTTGGCCGGTAGTAAGCCTGGTAAAGAGGGCTGGCTGGCTGGATTCAACATAGAACTTGGCACCGAAGTGCACCAGTTCGAGTTGCCACGTTCCAAAGAGCACACAAAGGTAGACAAGAAAATGAGTGAAGAGAATCAATAGAGTTTTGACAAGTATAAGAGTGAAACAGAATGAGTAATGGTAGAAAGGAATATGAAAGATTACAGAGACTGAATACATCTGTGCCATTGACAGGGATTTTGAGCCATGTCACCTATTGTCTCCAGCCATTGATTCTTAGAGTCCCGAGGGCCCCAACCCGGAAGTCTGCATCTCCCTACCTGACTCAGTTTAACTGTCAAGGATTTCATGGATTGATGTCATGTTTTTGTTTGGCCACCACTTACTCTTTTCCAACCTACACCTATATCAGCTAGTAATGCCCGTCGTGGGAGGCGATGGCTAGGCGTGCGCAGCACGTGACCTAACCATCTCAATCTATGTAACTTTATAGCCTCTTCTATTGATTTTCCCTCTTTGCATGGGGCTGGCAACCCCTCCTCGTAAAAAAGAGAGAATAACACACTGCTACTGGAACTTGAAGGCTCAAGCTTGAAGTACTATGTTCCACTGGGAACGCAAAAGAATAGAGAAATAAATATGTATATGTGTTTACGAAGATAACTCTTTTGCCGACATTAATGTCGTTTACTGATCTACTCTTTTCATGTTCTCTTGTTTGGTTATTTGTTAAATATATAGACGTAGAAACCTTAATGTAAGCAGATGGTTAGTACCATCATTTCCAGTGTATGAAAGAGATTCAACAGACTGTCTACTCCATAATCTTGTAACCAAATTGGTACATATTTCTCGTTTAATTTATTTATTAGTTTACTAATTTGTTTTGTTAGTCGAATTCTACTTTCTCATAGAAAAGGAAACAACTGTCCCCTACACTTTCTAATGTTCAGTGGTTCTTCAGTTGACTTTGAATGGTAACTAAGTCAACTGTGAAAAATTACACATACACACACACACAAGTGAATATTATGAATCTCGATAATTGTCAAAGTCATTTTTGTCTTGTTTTCAACACATTTCATTAATTATTCAGTGCTATTATAAGTTATCTCTTGGTCCGAAATTCTGCGAAAAACCACGAAGTGTTCACAAGCTTCAATGCCTGGTTCAATTTGAAAACCTGATAAATCAAACCTATGACTTGATACCAACGTCTGATGAGAACGTACAACAATTCAAATCAACTGTCCTCGACTGTTGCCACAAATTTATAAATGACAATCCAAACGGAAGATCCGTACTAACGAAGAAACACTACAAAGAGCTGAAAGAATTGATAAACAATGAAGAGATTATGCTGATACGTGCTGATAAAGGTGGAGGAATCGTAATCATGAACCGTAAGGATTATATCAGTAAAATGTTGACCATTCTATCTGATGAATCTAGATTCACCAAACCGGCCAACGAGAAAAACATGACGGAGTAGATTGAACAAAAACTAACAGACATCCTCCGTAAACTGAAGAACGAATCCTTCATTACCAACGAAACGTTTGAATCCCTGAGACCATCTGGTTCAAATATACCAAGACTCTACGGACTTCCTAAAGTACACAAGATGGGCACTCCACTTCGACCGATCCTCGACATGACTAATTCACCTTACCACCGCACTGCCCAATGGCTAGCAGATTTACTTCAACCAATCAGAAAACAAGTCTCCCGTCACTCAGTGCGAGATTCATTTGAATTCGTCAACTGCGTCGAAAACGTCAATGTTTCTAATCAAATGATGATCTCACTAGATGCTGTCTCATTGTTTACAAATGTTCCACTAACTGAAACAATTTGCCACATATACGAGCTCATCCACTCAAAAGGAGTAAACATCGGCATACCCACCGACTATCTAATAGAACTTCTGGTGAGATGCACCCTAAACGTCCAGTTCTCCTTTAACAATGAAATATGTCATCAAAAAGATGGTATAGCTATGGGCTCACCACTAGGCCCTCTGCTTGCGGATTTCTTTATGTCGAAACTCGAAAACACTTGCCTAAAGAATATGATTGACAACTTTGAACTCTACAAGAGATACGTCGACGACACCTTCATCATCTGCAACAATGAAGAGAATTAGAAGATATCTTGAAGTTCTTCAACAGCTGCCACCCTGCGATTCAGTTCACACTAGAGAAAGAGTCTAACTCAAAGATATCTTTTCTTGACGTTCAACTAACGAGACGCCAACAAGACGGAACATTAAAAAGATCCATCTACAGAAAGCCAACGTGGAACGGACAGCTCACTAACTTCCACAGTTGGGTGCCTCTATATACTAAACGAAACCTAATCTGTTCACTAAGCCACAGAACACGTAGAATTTGCCGCATGGACGTCATAGAAGATGAAATGAACACTCTTAAGAAAATCCTCCTTGAAAATGGCTATCCAGAAAGATTCATCACAAAATCAATGAAACCCAGACCAGAGAAGCCGCTCTCACCCAGTGCTCCAAAAAGACTTATCTATATGAACCTACAGTTCAATGTAGACCAATTTTTAGAAATACTGAGAAATCGGCTCTCCCGCTCATTGAAGAAAACCTTCTTTGCAGCTGAATTACGACTGACGTTCTCCACGAGACCAATGATTCGCATGAACGTGAATGATAAGCTACCGCTGTTGGCCTCATCTATGTTCATCTACCAATTCACCTGCTCGTGTGGAGCCAGGTATATCGGCCGTACTCAGCGTTCGCTATCCAAACGCGTCAACAAACATTTACCTTCAGGGTTTTATAAAGGAGAAAACTGATGCCCCCGCACCTCGATCCTTGAACATTTGATTGACTCTGGACACCAAGTCAAACCAGAAGTAAACTTCAAAGTTATCTACAGAATACAAGGCAATCTTGCTAAAAGTGTACGATCAAACTTCTCCACATCGCAGAAGCAATGGCAATTCATCTGCTAAATCCTGAACTCTGCATACAAAAGAAATTCGTTCATTCATTAAATCTACAATGGAAGTAATCTTTCTTAATTTCAGTCTTACTAATTGTATTATTTTGTCTTTTGCATTTTATTATTTCACATAATTTATATTATTCTCTACCCCATCCTTTTGTAATCTCTACCCTCATTAACAATGTTACTAACTTGACCCACGTCCAATTTCTAGTCAACTGAGTTACGTCATCCGATTAACTTACTTATTTTCAACTGTATTATTCTCTACCCCCACCCTTATTTAATTTTAACCACCACTCATTAACACTGTTGCCAACCTGACCTACTCTGAATTCTACTCAATTGTATTCCGTCATCGAATTCACTTAATCAATTCTATTTTCTTTTCTATCTTAACGTTTGTTTCCAAGCCAAATAATACATATTACGTAATTATCTAAATTTTGTAAATCTAAGGTACACACACACAAACAAAATTGTATATATATGCGGTTGTACAGCTCAGTGAGTGAATTCGCCGAAAAGAGTCTCTTCGCTGAACGCCTTCTTTTCTTTTATAAGATATTTTGTGTGATTTACTTTTAGTCACCAATTTACATGATTTAAACCTACACCAGCTTAATTAATCTCTAGTTATGCTGTAGATATTTGTGTCGGCAGTTGTTGAATTGTGGAACACTCACTAGCCAGGCGAGAGATCCGGGTTGGATTCCCAGTCGGCATAGGCCTAAAGCTCGCCTTGCTTACCAGCCCATAATAAGTCTGGAAGAAAGGCAAGATTTGGCGTATAGACTAAACATCACCAGAGCTACTGAAACACCAAAGCTTGAAGCCTTATTTCTCATTTGGAATGTTAAAAAAAAATGAGAAAAAAGAAGTGTGAAATAGTGCATAATGCCATCTTCGAGATGTCGTGTCGTCTAACATTGTATTGTCTGAAAATGTTACAGACAAATACCAAGTGGAATGAAATATGTAACGTAAATTTCACACTTAATGATTGCCAGACAAATACAGCACTCAAGTAGTTGTGCAAATTTACTTATCAAGATATCTTTTCAAAAAGTGTATAAATCAACTGTGACTACTTGTTTCTATTGAGTATAAAAACAATTGAAAATTAACAATACCACTCACTCTACGTTGGTCTCTTATTCTTCTCTTTTTTTTTACAGTTTATCACCTTCATTAGTTATCGCCTATCGGCATTTTATTCGTCTGTTACAAATTAGTCCAGTTTTCAAAGATGTATTCCACGATGTTGGCTTGTTGGAGTTGAGCGTGGATCTGTTAAATTGTTTCATTGAAACAATGTTCAAATTGAATAATCCATCAACAGTTTCTAGTACATCATGTAAGTGTTTTTTTTTAGAAAAAAATTTGTTATACATATTTATTAAAAGTATTGGAGTGTTTCTCCACTACTATTTGTTTAAAATAACACTTATGATTTTCAATTGTTGTTGTTGTTGTTAATGTTGGCGGAGAAATCGACTAGTTTAGTGTGGCACGTGAGCTGATTGTACTAGACGCGTATACTTCGATATTTGTGATTCCAACAGCTTTAAAATTAAACGTTAGACTGCATCGAGACATCTATGCAAATAATATTACACATCCCTTGCACCAGCGCTCCCCGTCGACAGAGATAAAATCTATTCTTTGAGTAAATTCAACATTTAGTAAGTGCAAATAAATAACCTACGAGTGATATCAGTTTCACAAAATCCTCATTTTTTTAAAATTCAGGAGCTCAGGAGGAAGGTCTTTCAATGTTTGGACTAGATGGATGCTATCACCTCGAGCTGTAATAATCATTAAATAGGACAAAACACACACGTTGTGAACTCCAGTGGTAATCAGTAGCATACAAAAATAGTATTGCATACTTGTGTCATCACCTTTCTGTTCGCTTTGTACTCACTTTTTTAGTGCTCTGTATTAGGCATTTAAGTTATAATAATAATAATAATAATAAATGTGTTTTGGGGGAAAATATATATATATATTCTTACAGTAGAGTCATTTGTGCACGGTCACTAATCACACTGAACTGATCAGTCATTTAAACTTGCTAAGGTCTATTATTGTTTGATTTTCTAGTACGTGCATCGGTGGCTCAATGGCAATATGCTCGTCAGGCAAGCAAATGGTCCGGGTTCAATTCCCGGCAAGGTTAGTGAATCGCGATCCAAGCACGACTGACCTTGAGGCGACCAGTCAAAATGACCAGTGTGTTTTACACAGAAATGCCGTCAATCTACTACAAAAATGCAGATAATAATTATGAACACTCTCTTTAACCTAACCCCAATTTTGATCCGAATCCTAACCTTAATCCTAATCCTAGCGAGCTGTGAACCCATTATGCAAACAGTACTTGAACACGAGATCGGGTTAACATTTTAATCTCAATTCGTCCACGGCGTTCATAGTGGTGCGTCGGTGGCACAGCGGTTAGGACGCTTGCCGACCGTGCACATAGTCCGGGGTTCGATCCCTGGTCGACGCACACCTGATATCAATGGTCGGCCTGCAAAATTTGGGCTACCGATATCGCATGCTGAAAATTCCATACTTGTACCAAAAGTACTATGTGGAATCAAACTGTAAACAAAAAAATTAAAAATAATAATGGTAGGTCCCGTTATCCAATGAATAGTATGCGTTCACGATCATTGATGTGTTCGCACTCCTGGATCGCTATTCTTTAACTTGGTCGGATTCTCGACGGACGCATTTCTTAACCTTGCATAGTTTACGAGCCAATTCTGAGCCTGAAGAACAGGCAAGACTGGACATGAGGCTATCAACTCCGTTTTGTAAAAACAACACTGCCCTTGCTGCAGCTTCAAAGCTTGAAGCCCAGCGGAGATGCAAGGAGTGGATAGAAAAATGAATTAACACTATTTATGTTAACGATTTCAGGGAAGTTATAAAGAGAGTATTGCATTAAGTGTGTTGGTTTGCAGGGATTTGATTGGTTACGGCTGTTTCGTCGTAATTCGTGAGTTCTCAGTAGTACACACCCACTGGGGAGGAAACAGCTGTTCACCACTTCATGGTTTTTCAGTAGTTCTCTAACTGACACTAGCTCGTGATCAAACCTGTAGCCAATCAAACTCCTGCAAGCCAACACCTCATAATTACTCTGATGCTTATTGGCGACTCGTGCTATATAGGAAGTCACCTGGAGTTCTAGTGAGAAGTCGTGACCAGTAGGGTCGACCAAATCAGGCAGAAGAACAGTTACTCGCCTGTGACATTGGTTGAGGGTTGCGCTGAATATCTCAAAAAGAGTATTTGTTGCAAAATTTATCATGAGTTTTAGTGTGGTTTACGAGTTATGATGAATTATTACGGAATACGCGTATTCGACTAAAGCCACTACTAAGTTCGCAATGTTCCATACAAAGAAAGAGTATTGATTTTAAGTAGCAAATATCACTCAGTGGTTTCAATAATAATGATAATGGTAAGTCGTAGAGCAGCATAAAGTTCAAAAAATCAATCAGCGATATGTAACTGGGTGTTTGTTATCAAGTTAGTTCTTACAATGACTAATCTGTCACAACAGTGGTAATATAAAGTGATGATTGACTTATCACCTTTATTATTATTGATCCAATGACTAACTGATTCTTGTGTAGGCAGGCGATTTTCGCTTAAATTTCAAAATACAGGATATGAACTGTACGGTATATGTGTGTAAAATGATCTGCAATTTCTCTCACTTGCGTCCTTGTAACGAATGTTATAGGCGTTACTATTGTTAAGGCGTTTCCATGCCAATATCAGCTGATCGATTTACTATGACAATGTTTAAACAGTAAGTAATTTAAAAATCTCTAAGTAGATTAGTTGATAGCATCCGAGTACACATGATGTGAATTGTGTTAGTCCAATGGATTAAAGTGTCAATAACAATATCACCGTATCATCCATTGGGTAGTAAGTAGTATGCAGTACAAGCGCGAATTAACTAATATACAAAGCAAGATGGGGAATGCGTTTTGTGTTACCTGATGAAGACTATTATAATCTAAACAACAACAACAACAAAAATTCCCATTTACATATTCAGAAAAAGCAACAATCAGTTCCTAACCAATGACTTCACACTAACATATTTATATAGTTTCTTTTTTTTACATTACAATTATACTAATCACGTGGTGACGTGTTGTTAGTCTATAAGAAGAATAAAAATAATTGATTGTAAAAAAAAATTCAGACAGTTAGTTAGCAGAATTAAGCAGCAAATTATTGTTAGTCAACAGAAAATATAAATTTTGAGAGGTATGGGAGTGTGTTAGGGGTTGAAAATAATTATTGTTGTTGAACTAAGTGATATTGTTACATAGTGATGATGTGACTCCTAGCTTAAAGATAGGGAGTGAAGTGGTTGGTGGAGAGTGTTGACCACTTCACTTATTTCGAGGAAGGTTGCATCAGCCAGCTCCAACGAGTAGATCGCTGGCGAAATCTCAGCACGGATACAAAAGGCTCGTCTGGCATACACCAACTTAAACCATATCTGGCATAGACGTGATATCCGGCTGACTATCGATTAAAGGACGTGTGTACTGCTCAGCAGTTCTCTCTGTTCTCCTTTATGGCTGTGAGCGAGACATGGCCATTGAAAGTGGAAGACAGAAAGCCTGACTAGCTGTCTTTGATTATAGGTGTCTGCATTCTATTCCCTGTGTTAGATGGTGATATAATAGGTTGGTGAGTAATATTGAGGTTAGGCGTCGGTCGATTGCTAGGTAGGGAGGCGGGAGAAATCAATCGACGAGGTTGTGACGTTACATCGATTGAGATGGTTAGGAGATGTGTCACATATGCTTAGCCATCCATCGCCTTCTTTCCTCGACAATTGGCAATGTTAGCTAACTGACACAGGATGCACAGGTCGGAAAAGAGTTTGCTGCTGCTGCTGGATTCAACATAGAACTTGGCACCGAAGTGCACCAGTTCGAGTTGCCACGTTCCAAAGAGCACACAAAGGTAGACAGGAAAATGAGAGAAGAGAATCAATAGAATTTAGATAAGTATAAGATTGAAACAGAATGAGTAATGGTAGAAAGGAATATGAAAGATTACAGAGACTGAATACATCTGAATACCTTGACGTGGTGGTCGGGCTTGAACACCGCAATGACCCAACAAGCTATACTGGCTGGAACTTATGTTCCTGCAGGTCCTACCATGCCAGGAAGGTTGTTCGGATAGCGGTTAGACTAAAAGCAGTTACCCAACCCAATGCTATGACTCAAAATAAATCACAAAATATCATGCCGGATCGGTCGGGGCCCGGATTAACAACGACCGCGCTTTCTGCTGCCGTGTCACAGGGCAGAAGTGATAAATACGCTACTGGACACACCAAATAGAAAACAACAAACAATAAAAAGAGTTAGCTAGTGGTGGTCAAACCAAAACATGGCTTCATCAGTCAATGGAATCCATAACAGTTAGTTTAAGCCAGCCAGCGAGCCAAACAGCCACATCGGGAGGTGTAGACTTCCTAGTTGGCTGGTTGGGAGCCAATGAAGGCAAGGTAGAGACAATTGGTGAGATGGCTCAAAGTCGTTATTGTCAATGTCTGGCGCAGATGCCTTCACTCTGTGTGATTTGTCATATCATCCAATAAAACTCCATTGTTCTTTCCATATTACCATTGTTTTTGCCTCATTCACATATCTGTTTATTATCTATCGCTCTTTGGAATCTCGCTTTACTCTCTTCTCTTGCTTCGTGTGCTGTGCTGCATGGGGAGTGTGACAACTCGAACTGCTGCACATCGGTGCAAATTTCTATGTTGAAACCAGTCAGTCAGTCAGGTGACAATGTGGCTCATTGTCTTAAGTGGATAGATTTTAAATGCAATAATTATTGCACTTAAAATTCTCTTTCCTCTGCTTGATCGAATGCAGATACAACCTGTTACCTTGATCATCTTTGTTAAAGCAATATCGGTAGTGTAAAATGTGCACATTTTTTGTTCCTAGACTTCCTTTTTCTCAATTACAGATAGCCTAAAAATATTAACGGAATACGGACATATCTTCTTTATTGAACAGAAGTTTGGCATACGGATCGTAGTTTAGAGAAACAACAACTGGTGAAGGCGGATGGTAAAATCAGCTACAAATAACATGAAAATCAAAGTACTATTTATCATAAGCCGATGTCAGCTCATAATGAAATCCAATCAAATCGCTGCAAACCAATGCTTGAATATTATTCTTATGCCCACTAATGACTGGTCCTACTCAGGGAGGTAGTTACCTGGATTTTAATGGGAAGTTGTGACCGATGGGTTACGGCAGGTCCGGCGTGAGACGTTGGCTTGTGGTCTTGAACTAGGATGAAACAGCTGTCCAGTGCCCCCAGGTTTTCCAATGGTTCTCCAACAGATGTTAGCTCATGATGAAATCCTGTAACCAATTAAATCGAATCCTTGCAGACCAACACTTGAAATATTCGATATATTTTGGTAGCATAGTAGTTGGCTTAACGAAAAAATTGCACACTAATTGATGAGAAACAAACAGGTTAAAAAAACGATTGCGTAATGATATAAAGGAAAGCATTAGGATGTGATTTGGAATGCATTAAGTGAATGAAACAAGACTATGGCGGTTTGTGACGAAATATACCTTGAAATCGGTTAGAGCATTACAGCGCAACACATGAAATCGAAGACACTTGATGCTTTACTTAACAGCCGAATTGGACGTGTGTTAATAGAATTTAATGAATTCTGTTTACTTTGTTGTCGTAAAAGGCTGTGTACGAACAGGTAGAAATGTGGCTCATCGATATAAGCACCCAGTATGTCCCAAGGTTTGCACTCTGCTTCAACCGACTCAACTGACTACCATCACACAATTATTTTATAGCTCACTGGTCTGGTACATGAGAAATACAGACAAGACGCTCAGCGAAGAGCTACTCTTTTCGGCGATATCATTCTCTAGCTGTACAATCACGTATATGTAGTAAATTATCTTAGCAACAAAAGAAATATTTCAACATAAGTGTCATTAGAATTGTAAATTTTAGATAACAAATTAGTTTGAGCAATAGTTTGTGCTCGAAACGTGGTCATCAGTTAATGTTACTGTACAACACTGTGTGATTTATCAAAATAAAATCTTATCCATAATGGAACAAATTAGGTTTCTATGAAAAGCTCTAATCGAGTAGAAACTATAATAAAATTGGAATTAAATAAGTCAATTAAGGGGATTGGGTGGGATCTAACTAAAATTGAACGACAGGGAAGTTAACAAAAGTGGTTTAAAAGGAGTGGAGAGGGGAGAAAGTAATACAAATACGAAACAAAAAACAAAATTAATTATCCAGTGTTAAGACAGTTCAGGTCCACTGTACATTTAATGACTGAACAAACTTCTTTTTTATGCAGAGTTCAGGACTTAACATGCGAATCGCCATCGCTTCTCCTGTTTGAAGAGGTTTGATTTGTACTCTTTTAGCTAGATTCACACATGTTCTGTAGATGACTTTAAAGTTGGCTTGCAGGTGGTTATCTTAGCGTTCAGATTCGATCAGGTATTCCAGGATGAAATTTACAATTCTAATGACACTTCTTTGGAAATATTTCTTTTGTTGGTAAGAGAATTTACTACATATATGTGCGACTGTGCACCTTGAGAATGATATCGCCGAAAAGAGGAGTAACTCTTGTCTGAAAGTCTTTTCTTTTGTATGACTCAATGGGGATTTTTAATCCGCTTAACACATCGGAAATACAGACATAAACTATATATATATATATTTGTGTAGTTGTCTTGTACTATTTCATTGCATAGGTTGCATCGGTGGTTCATTAGTAGTATGCTCGCCAACCTCCCAGTTAGGCGGTCCCGGTTTACTTCCCGATTGACGTACACCTTAACCCTACGTGGATTTTATTATGGGATAGTGAGCCTGGAAAAGCAGAGAAGTTATGCCTGAGGCTAGCAATCAACAACCGTGTAAAGAGAAGAGATACTACCACCGTTGCTGAAACTTCAGTGAAGTTTGAAGCCCTACTTTCCAAATGGGGATGCAAAGGAATGAAAATGAAATTTCATTGTATAAAGCTAAATATTTCGGTATATTTCCAATTATTGGTTTTGTAGGGATTTTGTTTGATTGCATGGAGGATTTCATTATGAGCTGACATCAGTTAGAGAACCACTGGAAAACCCTGGGAGTACTGGACAGCTGTTTCGTCCTAGTTTGGGACTCTTCAGCTCAATGGTCTACGAGCTCGCCTTGTAACCAGAAGGTTCTGGGTACGAATCCCGGTGGGTGCGTACTGCTGATATATCTTCTTTCGTGCAACTAGCATCAAACGATAATAATAATATTAATAGTAATAATAATAATAAGAACAACAACAAAGATGACAATAACAACAGTTGGCAAAGTATTGTTCTTACACTAACTAATTATTCATTGTTTGTTCATCGCCCTAATTAGTACTGATAAGATAAAATTCTATTTATTGTTATTATTATTATTATTTTATTAGTAGATATCGTGTGTATTATGTTGACAAATCTGTTGTATTTATTTGGAAATTTCTTTCTTTCTGCATTTTTTGTCTTTTCTTTCTTTTTCTGTTGTATGTCGCCAACAGGTTCATTTACAACACTCAAAGAGATAGGTCAATGTTTATTGGAATTTTTACAATGTACAGTTACTTCACATGCACAGAATGGTGATGTGCTTATTCGATTAGGCGCTACCAGTTGCCTATTGAATCGTATACTTACTACTGAAGTAAATGAATACATTCTACCATGGCGATCTTCTGCATTAACTATCTACGAAGAATTAATGCTTGGTAATGGTGGAGAAGAGTTAATGCCCTATCTGTTAGAAAATATGCATCATGCTTATGCTGATTTAAAAATTGATGTAAGTCCTTCTAACATATATATATATTCTTTGCTTCTTTTGTGTGAGCTCTGAGTTAAACAAACTCTTTTTGTAGAATTTTTAAGTGTATTAATTTTAGGCGATGTGTTTAATTGATTGAATAATATCAGACAAAGAACTATTGAGACCCATGGAGACTTCTGGTTAGCCGTTTAGAGGTCTCTTCAGTCACAGCTCCATACCAAAGATTAAGCGCAGGATCATACGAATTACAAACATCCAACCACTGAGTCGGAATCCAATGACTCATGAGTTCTAACCTCTAGGGTGGTTGGTGTTTAGATTAGCCATCGTGTTGTTTCTTAAAGCAAGCTGTTGGTTGTTGTAGTCTTGTATATTTTGGAGAAGAGATATTTTTTATACATTTGGTTCCCTTGATAAATTTCGATAGAGAAAGAAAGACCAGATTTGCAGTATAAAATGATATCATTCTATTTCACATGTTCTCATCAGCTGCAAACTACCTGAAATTACAATGGTTATAAATAATAACATTTCATACTTCATTGTTTGAAAGGTAATAAAGAAAATTCATATGAACTGTGATCAAGATTTGACCGGATAGTTGCGAAATAATTGAGCGCTGAGTGAGAAGTAGACATTTATATAATTATATTTCGCTGAGATTTTACAAATATAATTTTATAAATGTAATAGAGAAAACATTATAAGATAAACGCATCCGGAATATAAGGATTACAATTTTGTAGTTTAAGTTGCCATCAATTTATATGCTGTCAAACTATGAAAAAGGAAGAAAAGGGGGGGTGAGAGAAGACAGAAAACAGAAAAATCTAATAAACAGTGTCAACATGGCAACTCAACAAGGTCAAATTGACGAACTTTGATCTTGTTGAGTTGCCTTGTAACCGGAAGGTCCCGGATTCGAATCCCAGTGGGTGCGTACTGCCGATGATTCCCAAAAACTAGGATGAAACAGCAGCTGTCCAGTACTCCCTGGTTTTCAATGGTTCTCTAACTGATATCAGTCCGTGATCAACTCGTAAAACATAACTAATCCTTACAAACCAAACTATAGAAAAAATTAATCTGATGCTCTCTAGTGACTTGCTTCAGGATGGAGTTCCCTGGAGTTCTAGTGAGAAGTCGTGACCAGTGAGGTCCAATTAGATGTCACGTGTGTGGATGGATGTCCCATCAACGACAATGGTTGGGGTCGCGCTAAATCACGAATTGGTAGAAGTTAGAATTCATGAGCCATTGGATCGGGTCCCAGTGGCTGAATGGTATACGAGCTTGCCTTGTAACCAGAAGGTCCTGGGTTCGAATCCCAGTGGGTGCGTACTGCCGATGATTCCCAAACTAGGATGAAACAGCAGCTGTCCAGTACTCCCTGGTTTTCAATTAGATTTTAATTTCATTGTTAAGCGCTACCCATTTGTTGTTTATGTTGCACCATAATGACGCTTAACGTGCCTAATCGTTACTTCAGTGTGATGCAATTTACTGAAGGTTTCGTAAAATAAGAAGATAAAAGATTCTAAACATATTGTCATCCAAATTGTTCATGAATAATCCCCATTAAGGCATTAATAGAAAAAAAGGAGTTCAGCGAAGAGTCTCTTTTCGCTTACATTCACCTTTTGTTACCTTCCCAAATACTATACATTGATCTATGCCAATATTGTAGTCCTTTTTTAGCCTACATTGCTCATCATAGAAAACAATGTTTCGGCATACATAACACGTGTCCTGACCGTCGTAAACTATGATGATTCACCTAACCTCGTCTATCGAACTACTTTCCTTACCAAACACTTAGTCTAAACTCATAATTAACTTATTGTATATTCTTCGACATAACACGAGCGAATAAATAGAGGCACATATGGTCAAAAGCACTTTATTCTTTACATATCTTCTACTTTCGGCGGCTATTTTTTATAGTCGTAATGTAGGACAAAAGGAACGGCCGCGCAGTGCACACCCTTCTTGTTGATAGCTGAAAGGAGTTTGTTTCTTTACTTTTCAATAAGCATTTGTTGTTTTACTAGCGAGAGCAATATTAATTATTTGCTAATATAATATGACTTTATATTCACGTGTATCGAGTAATAATGAGGTATCTTGCTTATACTGATTAGTAATGTTCCCCCCGCTCCCCCCCTTTTATTACTTAATCTTTCGAAGGTAAACTGGAATTTAAACGGATTTTAAAGTTGAGTATTCCCGAAACTTTTTTTCTGGTTTACTGTAACTTATACGCATACAGATGGGCATGTATAGCTGATTAGCATAAGGACTGAGTGAGCTTCCACCTGACGCGTCTCGGGCAACAAAATTAGCCTTTTCAAAAAAGATGGTGTCTTATCATTTGATTTTTAGCCAAGCATTTGTATCACAGGGTTGTTTTTAAAATTGGCTCTGTTTATCGAATAAATCGTGTGTGACTGACTGAGTTGAAACAGTATAATTTCGAGTAAATTACGATGTAGAAATTGGTATGCATAAGTGAGTGTATTTTTTGTTTTTTTGCTTCATTTCACAAATCACGCAACGAATGCAAAAAAAGTATTATTCTACGTTTAAATATAGAGAAAACAAAGCTGGAGGACTTATTATAATCCTAAAAATGTAATCATGGTGTTTTCTTTTTTAGAACTTCTCGTCATATAGAAATTAAGACAGTGAGGTGTATTAATACCTCTACATATTCCCATTGTAATAGTCAGTATTTATTTGAGACATATGGAGTTGTGGTTCATTAGTCTAGGTGCTCGATTTCCAAGTGGTGGGTCACGTGTTCCAGTCTTGAGTGATTGAAGGTGAAATGAAAGTCTGTAGTATCTCAACCAACCTCCTTTGGATTGATAGCCAAACCCAACCGAGCAGAGTTCAGCTTAGCTCCAGTAGCTGAGCTATCAGACTGATTTCCATATTAGAAAATGGGAAAGAAGTTGGGATGACGCAATAAATGTGGGGAAATGACTAACCAATATAATTGTGTAGAGTGGACAAGAACTAGTGGAAAGACGATAGGGTTTTTATAAAATCTGTATGAAAACGCAATGTTATTAATGAACAGTAGTTCAGTGATAATTGAAAGAGTGCCGATTACGAATTCGACAGTACGTAATATGCTGCAGTCATTTGGGAGACCCGATACGATCGAGAAAAATGTAAAAAATGAAGGTAAACTAACAGAGGCTAATCCATGGTCGTGTGCTCTTGAAGTTTCCCAGGTCAGGACGAAACAGCTGTTCAGTATTCCTTAGTTGTCAATATTTTTCTAACTGATATCACTCCCTGATTAGACTTGAAATCGATCAAATCCTTACAAACTGATACTTGAGAATATGAATGCTTATCCAACCAAAATGGTGAGAATCAGTCCGTGTAACTGAGTCGTTTCATAAACTGTCATGTAATGAGTGTGGGCTCATACACAGCGTGTTATCCGAGAAATCCGTTCCGGGTGATTAATCTTCAACTACCTAGCACATATAAATGTATATATGCTTAGTTTACATCTCAGTGTTTAAACCAACCTGAATATTCATTTACGTACCATCAGCCCCAACGGGTTGATCTCCGACGAAATCTCAGCACGAATACAGAGGGCTAGGTTCGCATATGCCAGTTTACGCCGTCTCTGGCGTAGACGTGACATCCGACTATCGACCAAAGGGCGTGTGTACTGCTCAACAGTCTGCTCCGTCCTCCGTTATGGCTGTGAGCAAGACATGGCCATTGAGAGTGGAAGACATGAAAAGATTAGCTGACTTCGATCATAGGTGTCTGCGTTCTATCTCCCGCGTGAAGTGGTCTGATAAGGTGAGCAATATTGAGGTTAGGCGTCGAGTGCTAGGTAAGGCGGGGAAATCAGTCGACGAGACTGTGAAATTACATCGACTGAGATGGTTGGGACATGTGTTACGTATGCCTAGTCATCACCTTCCTCGACAATGGGCAATGTTAGCTGATATAGGGCCAGGCTGGAAAAGAGCTAGCGGCGGTCAAACGAAAACATGGCACCAGTCAATGAAATCCACAACAGTTAGTTTAAGCCACGTAGGAAGGTGTAGACTTCCTGACTGGTTGGGGTCCTCGGGACGGAAAAGCCAATGGTTGGAAACAATTGGTGACATGGCTCAAAATCGTTCTCAGTGGCGCAGATGCATCCACTCCTTGTGACTCATGATTTCCAATGAAACTGTTTTGTTCTTCGTTATTACTATTCCTTTGTCTCACACCTCTGTTTACTGTCTCTAATATGCATTTCTTCTACTTTCTTCTCTTCCTTTGTGTGTTATATGGAGTGTGGCGACTTGAACTTCCGCACATATGTGCAAAGTTCTATGTTGAAAACCGACCGACCGACGTAATTAAGCTTTTTATTCATATCACCGGTAAGGAGAACGTTTTCTTCTTTTTTCTTACTTTCCATGTTTTTTTTTGTTTTTTTGTAGATACTTTGTTCATTTTGTCGAATTCTACGTGAATCACATCGATGCAGAGCTGTATTCCGTAAACTGAATGGATTTGTTTATGTAATGCAAGAATTAATCTATTTAGAAGGATGCTTAAACCTATTTCTATGCAATGACAATGATAATAATAATAATAATAATAATTTAAATTCGAATTGTATAAATGATTCAATTCCAATGCATACACCTTTATCATCAATGAATCAATCGTATCATCATTCCACGGGATCATCAGCATCCCCATCACCAAAACACGCAATCGCCGCCTCACAATCTAATAGTCAGTATACTGAAGAAAGACAAGAAGAATATCGATCGCATCTATCACGTAAAGCATTTCTATCAAGTTTAACATATCCACAATTATTTCTATTAATCAAGTCTATCTTCTCTACACTAGGCATTGCTATGAAATTTGAACCGGCCAATGCACATTATTTTGTTACTGAGGTAAAGTGAAGTTGTGTTTGTACAATATATGTGCTCAAATTTATATATATACATATATATAATTTATAAATGCCCTATGATTTGTCAGTATGTGTATATATTGTTAAAGACGTTCAGTGAAGAGACTCTTTCCGGCGAATTCATTCACATAGCTGTACAATCGCATTTATATATAATTATTTGTGTGTGTGTATGAGGTTTGTCAAGTTTAGAAAATTGATCAGGTAATAGAAGAATGGTCTAATATAGAAAAAAAGGTTAATCAAACAGCAACTAAAGTAAGATTGAGTTAGTAAGTTAGAAGACGTAATATAATTGACTAAAATGTTTCAACTTAGGTCAGGATAGCAACAAAGGTAAGTAATTACAGGTAGAGACTAAGTAGAGGTGGGGTAGAGAATAAAACCATTTAAATTAGGACTTAATTTGAGCAAATAAATTAGATGACGTAACATAAATGACTAGAAATTGAGCGTTGTTCAAGTCAGTAACAGTGGTAGTGAGGTGCAGAAATTAAATCGGGTGGGGGTAGAGAACAAGAAAGTTGAAAATGTAAAATATTACAATTGTAAAGACAAAATAATACTGATGAAGAGACAGAAAGAAATAGAATTTACCTGTTGGGTATTAAGACAGATTACGTCCATTGCAAGTGTAGTGATTGAACGAACTTCTTCTGTATACAGAGTTCAGGGCTTAGCAAGTGAATTGCCATTGAATAAAGTATAATTATATTGCTCGAAATATTTCTCCGAAAACAAAACTTATCATTGTGTGTAAACTATTGAAATATAATTATACTTTATTTGATCTAATCCACAATGCTCAAACGTTTTACTGACATGAATTGCCATTGCTTCTGCAGTTTGTAGAAGTTTGACTCGTACACTTTTAGGAAGACTGCTTCGTATTCTGTAGACGACTTTGAAGTTTGTTTGGAGTGTAGCTTGATGTCTGGATTCTATCAGATGTTCTAAGATGGAACTGCGGGGGCATCGTTTTTATCCTTTGTAAAACCATGCTGGTAAGTGTTTGGTAATACGTTTGGATAGCGGACGCTGGGTACGGCCGACATACCTGGCTCCACACGAACAGGTGACTTGGTAGATACACATTGATGATGCCAGCAGTGGTAGCTTATGCTTCACATTCATACGAATCATAGGTTTCGTGGAGAAAGTTAATCGTAGTTCAGCTGCGAAGAAGGTTTTCTTAAGTGAACGCGACAGTCGATTTTTCGGTGTTTCCGCAGATACATGAACAGTGTACTCATATAAAATCTTGACGGTTTGTACGTATTATAAGTGGAATTGGATGCACACTTTTTGTTTTTGTTTGTTTCCTGAGAATAGGGATAAAAGCATTGCATAATATGCACATATATACACATATATTGATGTAAAACTTATCTTTCTTTATTTTTGGATTGAAATATTGTTGATTCGAGATGGTTTTCGATTAGAACTGATCCATGCATCATATTCTTCTCCTCTCACCCTCTCTCCACCTTTCTCTCTATCTCCCAGTGCATGCATGCCTATGTGGTTTGTCTAGCCTAAGTTATTTTATTTTTGCGGTATAAATTTTGAGAAGACAATTTTTTTTTCAAAATCTTATCGACGAAGTCATCTTCAAATGGCTGTATAATCTCTCCTTCTCATACGTACACAAACGCATGACAGCCTAACAGACACTAATGCTGCTGTCTAAAAAGAAAACTGTGCGTCGGATATTTGAAATAAAAAGGCTGTGAGATGATTTTGAAGAAAGAAAATATATAGAGACAGAGAGATTCAATAATTTAGAGCAAAGATATAATAAGTTGCAGGAATTTTTAGCCTTAGGACGTTGACTTTATGTTATTATTTTTTTGATTAACCTGACTGTGATTCCCCTTTTCCCTCCTTTTTCACATAATATGACAATTTGTGTTTAATCTAGTTATATTCCGTATATCATGTACCTTCTTCCCCGTCGGCAATGTTAACTGCTCTAGGAATAGGTTGGAAAAGTTTTGGGTGGGGGGGTGTCGGGGGTGGTCAAATCTGAAACATGGCATCGATCTATCGAGTTTTTGACTGTTGGTTTCAGTCAGCCATGTAGGGAAGATGTAGACTACCCGGTGTTGTGGGGTGCTACAGTCACTGAGAACCAATGAATAAGGACTGTGTTCATGATATGGTTTAAAATTATTCTTAATGACTCAGGTTTATGTATATATTCACTATTTTTACTCTCCTAGATCGATTATATCTTCAGTCTTTTCCATGCAATTACTCTTTCGCCTGTAGAATTTCTTTTATGAAGGTGTCTTAGCATTTTATTTTTCCATCTTTATGTGTGTTTGTGTGTATGTTGAAGCATTGTAAATTTTAAACTGCCTCACTTTTATTATAGGTTCTTCGTTGAAGTCTATTTATTTAAATGCTATAGTGTTCTGAAGATTAGGCAGAAATGTTTGTCTTTCTATCTTTTTACTCTTGTTTTTACATGAAAGATCATATCATTACCTTTAAGATATACTATTCTGTATCGTAATGTCTTCCAACAAAGCAGTAGTGACTATGCAGCGCTTACCACAGTCGATAACTAAAGAAATTAGCCGGTTTTTTCTCTGGTGCTGTTAAAAATACTGATAATACTTACGAATGATTTATATGGCTACTAATAGTCAAGGAAATACTTTTCCTAATGCTATTGCATAGGCACCTAAAGAAAGTAACTACCCTGTTTTTTTCATCCGGCTTGTGAATGTAATAACTATTTACTGTGGTGAAAGTATTTCTGTAAATCTACATATATCGCTGCATATCTGGAGTCGCCACACGTTAGAATTCACGGGCTATCGGATCGGGTCCCATTGGCTGAGTGGTCTGTGATCTTGCCTGAACTATGACGAGACACCTGTCTAGTATTCCTTGGTTTTTCAGTGGTTCTCTCTTACTGATATCAGCTCGTGATCAAACCTATAACCAAGCAAATTCTTGCAAACCAAACACTTAATAATTTTCGATAATCGTCGTCTTTACTACAACTTATTAAGTTATTTTCCCTCCCTCTCTCTCCATCCCTCCGATCCATGTTCGCTCGTTCCCTAGTATTATTTCATTTCTGGTTTTTCTTCATCCATTCTTGTGGACTTTTTTGATGTGTGACACCATGACCTGAACAAAATTTGAGCGAAGTTCAGCTTACTTGCCACCCACCCAGCCACCTATTTAAGTAGTCACTGTTGTTCGTTGTATTTTTTTGTTGTTGTTTAGTTCTTCTTTCAGAGTTGTGGTCAAGATTTGGTTAGAAAGTCTTTTTTGGGTCTAATAATAACGAATCATTTAGATTCAATCCACTCTGTAATCGACTGCGCGAAAATAGGAATACGTGTTTTATTAATTTTAAAATCTGGTGCTTGTGTGTGTGTGTGTAAGAAACTGTTGAATTTCGCATGAAGCGACCTTCACCTTGAACAAATAAGTTGTTTGTTAATTGTTTTTTATTTGAACGAGGTCACTTCTACTGCTTATTTTTGGGGCCATCGTTTCAACTACAGGCACGCCACACTGATGAGGATGTTAGAGAGGGGATCGGGAAAGCAACGCAGACATTCATTACTCTGAGATTAGTGTGGAGATATGCTGCAATCAGCATAAAGAGCAAGATCCGGATTTTCAACACAAATGTTAAGTCAGTTATTCTATATGGGTCAGAGACTTGACGCATCACGAAAAGCATTTCCAACAGGCTGCAAACATTCATCAACAGCTACCTTCGTTCCACTCTGAAGATCAAATGGTCAGAAATGAAAAGCAACAAGGAATTCTGGTGATGAACCAACCAAGAACCTATTGCCCAGAAAATATGCCGAAGGAAATACACATGGGTCGGACACAAACTGAAAGGACGGCTAAGTGACATCGTGCTCCAGGCAGTCACGCGAGTGCAACCCGAACGGGAAACAATGAATAGGGCGTGGATTTCAGAGTGACATAGGGGAGATCGTGTGGAGAGAAGAAAAGAGCTTAAGGACAATCGTGGAGCCATCTAAAGAGGACTGCGGAGAACAGGACAAAGTGGAGGTGTACTACTGGAGCCTTATGTTCCACTTGGCACCCACAGGATTAATAAATTATCTTAAAACGTCCTATAATTTACGTTTAGTAGATTTTTTTATTCCTTTACTCTCCCAGTGAATCATAGGGTTTCAAGCTAGAGGCGTGAAGTTTCGGTAGCAGCGGTGTTTATTTTTATGGGATGGGGTTGCTGGCCGCATGTCCAAGCTTTCATCTTCTCCAATCTTATTATTGGCTTAGTGAGGTCAAGGAATGCGTCGGCAGGGGATCGAACCCCGAACCACATGTGTGGTCGGCGAGCATTCTACCATTGTGCCACCAACGCTAAGTTTAATAGATGATGAAATGCGAAATGCAAAGTGTTTTTCTTCCATTATTATCATCTTAAAAGTTTGCGTTAGATGAATTCAGGAGATTTTCTCATCGGCATTTCTTCTCCATATAACTTGATGTCAATTATTAGGCATCTAGACGGAACTAAAGTTAGTAGTTGTTTCAAAGTTGATTCAGTGTGTCTGGCAGAACTCAGTGTAATCCATGTTATTTTAGTTGATGGTTACTAGAGTAATGGGAGAAGATAAGAAACTGCCTAACGGACGTTCATTGAGGAAAAACATATCATATTCATATATTCTTAGCCACCTTAAAGTTCTGCCGAGTCAGAGGAGAACAAATTGTTTCAATTGGTTATCAACTGTTACTTCATGTCCACCATGTAGACTGAATCCAGATTTGAGGAAGAAACACTTCTGTCTCTGCAGCCATTGACTTAAAATGTTGGTTTCGATTTTGGCCCCATCCCATCGGTCTACATCACACCACATTATCAGTTGGAATTCAGGATCCACATTTCGTCCTGTTTAGGATTCGGTAGCTGGATATGTCTGCATTCCCATTGAGTCATGATATGGTCGCTGAGATTCACACCTTGCGACGATCGTTTCAAACACCAAAAGATCATCGACTACACCACTGGTTCAAGAGAGTCACCTTCTATGCAATGGGTATAAGTTATTCTTTGTGATTATATTAGACCGACAACATCACTCACTTGGGAATTCAGATACGTCCAACTGTCGAGTCCCGAATAGAACGAAGTAATGCACAACCATGGATTCCCCTGCTAGTCTTCATGAAGCATTAATAACATCATCTTAATCCTCGGAGAGCGTCGATGCGTGCCTACTAGCAGCCGACATGTCACTAGAGATGAAGCGTTTTGCTCCAGTAGAAATGTACATTAACCTCAAAACAAATTATTGGTGTTATCCAGTAGAAATTTTAAATGAGCGCGTCTGAGGCAAGAGCATTTACTGATTGATATTCTTATCTATTTTTGCTTTTGTTACACTGCTAACTTCTGTATAAATTATATTAAGTCGATATTATCTGTGGGAAGTTTAACTCATGTAACTTTTATGTGAGCAGATGTATTCGGTTTTTTTCCTATTTAAATAAAAATCCACTGAGATAGAAAATAATGTTTTTTTTTAGCAACAGTAGTAAATTTCAATATTTTGCATATGTTTCTCTAATTTTTGCTTTTTATGCAAACTGATAGCAACAGCAACAATGTTAAGGTTTTTATTAAAATAAATATACTTAGCCAAGGTTATATGTGTGTGTATGCAAACATCTCAAAATAGGTGTGGTTATCCATCTCATTGTGATAATGGAGAACATTTGAATTCGTTAATAACTGTAATCTACAAAATTTTTAATTTTTTATACTATTACATCGGATTACAAGTTCACACTATTGTTATTATTATTATTTAGTTAATCTATAAGTTATCAGTTTGAAGATTTAACTTCTATCAGCTGACTAGAGGTTCGTAACGTGCTTCTATCAATCAAGATTCTTTCTATTTCATTACTTAGTGTACATATACCTTACGTGCACGTGGTATTCGTATCGTATAGTGATCATGTTTGACAGGCTATAGCAGACGTTCGTCAACACACCTGCCTTCCCTCCATACTCAAGATCCTCAAGATATCCGAAAAGTAGGAGGAAGAGAAGGATAAGCAACAATTCAGCGTCTAGCAACGAACCAACCATGAACCTAATGCTCAAAAAATATACATGAGGAAATGCAAATGGATTAGTCATATACTGAAGAGAGACCACTGAGCAGCATCAAACGCTGGATTTTCGAATGGAACTCAAATTGGATGTTCGAGGTTCACAAGAAGGAGATCGTATGAGGAGAGTGAGTGGGTGCTAATGAAGAGTCCTAAACTAGAAAGGAACAGCTGTCCAGTACTGCCATGTTTTCCAATGGTTATGTAACCAATATCTAGCCAATCAAATCCCTGCAAACCAATACTTGAAGACGATAGTTTGCTGGCAATCGTGGAGGCGGCTCAAATACACAATAGGAAACCGACTGAAATGGGGATGCACCGTGGAAACCCTATATTCCACTCGGAATGCAATGAACAAATAATTATTACTACTACTACTTACGATGATTAAATCACAAACTTAGTACATAACAGACGCCAAAAGATGCGCCACACAAAATCTCATAGTTAATGTGAAGGCTGGGTTACTGGCAAGACGCTCTGATCGAAGCAGTTGATTGTCTTACCACTCCCCGAGCTTTTGACTTAAAGTCTGATCCGCGAGGCAGTGGAGAAGCATCGAGAAGTGTTTTTTCATGTTTTCCAGTGACCAGAATAGGTTTATACGCCATTCTATCCTTTTGGATTCTGTAGCCGATGTGCATCATTGGTTTGGAATCAGGGTTTTCCCTCCCATCTAGGTGTAAACCTTTATGTCTGCCAGTCCCTTTGTAAGCTCCAGACGTCCGTATTCACCCGTTCACTTTTATAAGGGACACCTCCGGTGCGTAAATGCAGTGTAGAGACTATGAACGTATGGCCACATGGGAGCATTTGGAGAGGAGGATCGTAGTCCACTGTCCCTTGGCCATACCAATTAGTTTCTGGAGGGAATGATGATAATAAATTACTTTTATTGTATAACCTTAAACAATATAAAAATAGTCATTCAGTGACCTCTCGTTTGAATCCTGTTGCCACCTGGTTTTTCATTTCTGCCTGAATCCTTCTTTATTACATCCATAGTAGTATAGCTAATCTAAGGCTATTTCAGATAGTTTTACCATATCAATCATGTTTGAGTCTGTTAAGTTTAAATATATTGCTGAATTTTAAATAATGACTAAACATTCCACTTGATATTTATTAATTACACCTAATTATTTTCATTTTATTTTACTTTCATATATATAGATTCAGTACACTACACTAACTGATGCAATTATATCTCTTGGTTCAAATAAACAAAGTGATACGATGAATCCCATTTCACTGAATCAATCAATATCTATCAGCTTAAATGACCTAATGATGCATAGAATTAATGATTCCCCAAATCACTATACAAGAAGTACACGATCGAAATATTTATATGCTTTATTTATGAATTTAAAGTTAATGGAGTCATTATTATCATTTCCTTTGTCATCATCATCAACCTCATCTCTGTCACCTAAATTGAAAAGTGACCATAACACAGATGGTTATCCCAAGTTGAATAAATCTTCGGATGTTGTGATTGATCTACCGAGACGCATTATAGAATGGTGTCTAATATTTAGGTATTTATATGATTTAGCAATAGATGCATATGACCGGTACGTTTAAACTGATTTACACATTTGGTTATTCAATGTAGATTTTGAAACCAAGGAACCTCTTGCTTAACTCTCGTGTAGTTCGTGTTTTTGACTCCTGAATTTTGTTTGTATGTTACTCAACAACCGATTGCATTTTCTTGCAGTTGACAATAAGGCATACCTACTGTGTGCGAGGACTAGCGATACTCCCTGGCTGGCCCATCATTGGTACGCAGAGCGGGGTTCGAACTGGTGACCCACTAGCTAGAAGTTGAGTGCCTAAAGCTCGCTTAGTCGATAATAAGTACGGTAAATAGGAGGGGGTTAGGCGTGGGACCAGCTTCCTTATCCAATAAGAAACACATCATCACTTCAGAAAATTTAAAGTTTGAAGCTTGGAATCCTATGTTCTCCTCGGGACGCAAAAGAAATAAGAAAAGAAATCTATAGTTGTTTTTCACAACTTCTTACAGGTGACAAATGGCATTTCAATGTGGATTGTACCATTTAATCGATATTAGGTAGACAGCGTCACTAGGCACAGAGAAGCACTGTTCAGTTGTTTTGTCCCAGCATTGCGCAGTGTTCAATTGAGCCTAAGACCTTCAGATTACTATGCTAGGCGGAAATTGGAACAAGTAGTATTTATTTGTAAGATTTATAAGATGTTTATGCAAGCACTGACATGTATCAGCTAGTTCACCATTGGAATTCAAGGCGCGTTATGAAATTTTTTTTCGCTCGAATCGTTTGTTTTCTTGTGTTTTTTTGGTGTATCACTATGAACTATATTGAAGAAAACATTTCGCACAAACCCATTGGAACAATGAAAAATATTTTGCATTCAATTGAAACTCAGTGGTTGAGAATGGGTAGGATGATTGTTACGAGAACCTAACAAAGCTATAAATGTAAATCTAATTACTTATAAGTCTGTAGTAAAATAAAGTGCTCTAGCCAGATAATATATAACATTTGAACTTGACTTAAAACATATGGTCAAGAAGTCGTTGGGAATTACTGATAGTGTTTTAATGTTTTCTTTCTTAATTAACAGTACTAAAAATATGATGAATTACTAAGTCAATACGTGGTCCACTTGATACTATAAATGGTAATCGTGTGACAAAAAGGACAACTGGATGGTGCTATATACTACTGATGGACGGAGATGAGTAGTTGAATGAACACCAGTATTCGGATGGCTTGAACTGTGAATTGGTTCTATGAGTCAAGTCATAATGAGCTCGGTTCGAGACGAACAATGCAGCTTGTTAGTTTCCAGATAACCTCGATTTGGTTAGCAAGCTGTTTTGAGTGGTGCGCAAGTACTCATATCAATGCGTCAGTAGAATAGACCTCCAGGAAAAACACTCGATAAGCCATGAAACTGTGACTATTTATTGATAAGACGTGGGACTAATTAGCAATATGTTTCATTTAGTTAGCATTTAGAACTAAGTTATGTGAATCAGATTTTTGATGTAGAAAGTTGTGAATCATACTTATTGTGTGTGTGTGGGTGGGAGTTACGTTTACTGGTCTATATAACACTGTGATTTATCAAAATAAAATCTTATCCATAATGGAGTTATGCTCTACCCCAGTGCCCAAGTTTTATACTTATATCAGTGAAGCAGGTGCAGTAGGATTCTCTGATGTGGAACCTATTGGTCGAAAACAAAGCACTAGATTAAATGAATCACTTATGTGTGTAATAACAGTCCTTTTTACACCATACAAATGCCGGTTCTTATCCGAAAAGTGAAGTTAAGCATCGTTCGGCCTGGTTAGTACTTGCACACAGTGCTGGGCAAATGTTAGACTACCCACCAAACACGCACATAGTCCAAGTTCGACTCCCAGTCGACACACTCCTAAACTGCCCTGTCGGTAGTTAGCTAGGTAAAGAAGGGAGCTTGTGAGTAAGGCTAGTGGCTCCACCTCGCGTTGTTTCACAACTTATGCTTGAAGCCCTTTGTTCCCGTTGAAACTTAATCGGTTTTCGTCATACTTGTTTGGCATTGAAACTTTAGTTAAAAAAAAAGCAGTTTACGAATTTAGTTTCATATATACTGTATTTTGTGGGAATGTTTTGTAATCCTCAATTTTTTTTCATTTCTTTTGGGAAAACCAACAGCAACTCCATCCGTTCAATTCAATTGGATAAGAATGCATGCTGTAAATTGCCACAATTCAATGCCAACCAGATTGTTGATAACACTGAAAACTACGAGCATACTACTACTGCTACTACTGAAATTGTAGAATCACCTGTGAATAGTACCACTCAAATGAGTATAGCAGACATTCTGATTATTCATCCAGATGCTATTATTTGTCTTTTGAAACTTATTGCTAACTTAAATGAATATATAAACAATGAAGATTATTCATCATTGTCGTGGTGTTGTGAAGAATTAATTGTCGACTTTCAAGTAAGCATCCCTCATCGTAATTTATTTATTTGTTTATTTATTTTACTATTAGTGACTTGTGTCTATGCATACACATGTTTGATATTTGCCTACTTAACATTATTTCAAGTATTGGTTTTTAGGGATTTGGTTGATTGGTTACAGGATTTCATCATGAGCTGAAATTGGTTAGAGAACCATTAGAAAACCTGGGAGTTTAGGACTCTTCAGCAGTACGCACCCACCGGGGTTCGAACTCAGGACCTCCTGGTTACAAGGCGAGCTAGCTCGTATACCATTAAGCCACTGGGACCCGATCCAATGGCCCATGAATTTTAACTTCTGCCAATTCACGATATAGCGCAACCGCTAGCCAATGTCTTCGGTGGGTATTTGTCCTCACACCTGACCTGCTGCACCCTACTGGTCACGACTTCCCACTGGAACCCCAGGTAACTACCTACCTGAATAGGGCCAGTTGCCAGTGAGCATCTCATTCATATTCAAGTATTGGTTTGTAGGGATTTGGTTGATTGGTTCTCTAACCAATGTCAGCTCATGATGAAATCCTGTAACCGATTAACATTATTTATTCAGTTGATGATGATGTTGAAATCTATTAATGGCAGGCATGATAAATAATAATCATATTCATTTTATTTTCGCGCAAATTAAAACAAGTAATATTTCAAGAGGAGAAAAGATTCTATCTAGTTTTATTCTATCGACCAACGAATCACATTGTGTTCAGGAAAAATTTATCATTCACAGTATAAATGTCACTGGGATACACAGAGCTGGTGTAACTTTGGCAAATCGCCCCGAATATGTAAGGTTGGGAGCTTTATATATTATTATAATGTAGAATTATCTATAAATTTCTTTGCAGTAGTCGTCGCAGTGGGACCTGAGTAGTTCTGAAGTAGGACGGAACACCTGTCTAGTGTTTCTTGTTTATGTTTCAGTGATAGTGAGGGTTCCGTCTATGATTTGTGACTCGTACGCTCCTAAACTTTGCCTAGCTGATGGTAAACCCGTGAATTCCATCAAATTCTGAAGTTATGACAGGTGTGGGGTCTGTTTTCTAGCTTGTCAAAGAGTGCGGACTTACGAAGCTCCAATATGTTACTGTACTACGGTGTTGTCTCAACTAACTGAATGATTATATCTGTCTGTATTCATCTTGAAATGATGACTGTTCATTTCTTTTTTGTTGTTTTTGTGTAGAATTGTTTACTAACTATAATCGCTGATCTACTTCACAGTGAACGTAATCAACAATTAATGTGTAATGTATCTATGCCTCGAGAATTGCTTACTCTGTTCAGTGAACCGTTATCAAATGATAATCATCCATTGCATGATCAAGTTCGAAGTCTTTTTGAATGTTTGGCTATTCAAGCTTTAACACCAAATGATCTTCGGTAGGTCGTATTACTATTATTATTATTATTCTTAGGAACACACAATTTAGAAAAATACCTCTTTTCGTTATTTCTCTTCAGAAGTGCACAGTGATTTACGTGTTTTTTTATCCGTTGTGTGTTTTGAGTGGAACATATGGCCTGAAGCTTTAAGCACCGAAGTTTCGCTGCTGGTGTCGTTCGTTTTAAGGGGTGGTGGTGGGGTTGCTATTTTCATGCATTAAAACCAACTAACTCTCTCAGAGATAAACTTTGTCGGCTTAAGAACCCGACAGATCCAACTAAGAGTGACTACTTAATTTACTAAATACCATGTAGTGACTGTGAGATCAATAACGCAGGTCAGACTAGTAGATCGAGGTCAAGTGTTGGTTTGCAGGGATTTGATTTGATTGGTTACAGGATTTCGTCATGAGCCCGCATCGGTTAGAGAACCATTGGAAAACCTGGGAGTACTGGACAGCTGTTGCATCCTAGTTTGGGATCCTTCAGCAGTACTCATTCACCTTCCGGTTACAAGGTGAACACTGGGACTCAATCGGATGGCACATAAATTCCGACATCTGCTAATTCACAATATAGCGCTACCTCTGGCCAACCTTATTGGCGAGTATCTATCCTCACACACTACCTGCTGCACCCTGGTAGGTGTTTACTGCAGAAAGGTTCAAAACTAGGATGGGACAATTGTCCAGTACTCCCTGCCGGTTTTCCAATCGATGTCAGTTCATGATGAAATCCTGTAACCAATAAAAATCTAGCTAGACCTAGAATGATTGACCCTGCTAAGTTATATTTAAAATAGGTAATATAATTAGGTGGACAGAACGGTTAAGCACTTAATCTTTGTTCATCGAATCAACACCAAACTCGTGGAATCGAATTCACACAACGCCTATACCGGATACATAGAAAATGACAATGAATTAGAAGGGGGAGAGAGAGAGAGAAAAATACATCAAGCAAATTATGAAGCCATGTGAATTCATTAGTGTAGCTATGAGCAATTGATTGTTGTTCAGATATCGTTCTGTTGCTAATAGTGTATGAAATTAACTTATCTAACAAGGAGTTGTATCCACCACAATGACTAAATTCTACACCCAGTTTACAGAAAACTTTAACACCATGAAGGTCTGTCTGTTTTCGACATAGAACTTTGCACATATGTGCGGCAGTTCAAGTCGCCACACTCCATGTAGCACACAAAGCAAGAGAAGAAAGTAGAAGAAATGCATAATATAGACAGTAAACAGAGGTGTGAGACAGAGGAAATCATAAGTCACAAGGAGTGGATGCATCTGCGCTAGCCACTGAGAACGATTTTGAGCCATGTCACCAATTGTTTCCAACCATTGGTTTTTACCGTCGCGAGGACCCCAACCAGGAAGTCTACAGCTTAGACTAACTGTTGTAGATTTCATTGACTGGTGCCATGTTTTGGTTTGACCGCCGCTAGCTCTAGCTGAAGCCTGAAGGTAGGCGCATCCGGATAATCAATAGACATCAAGCTGTAATCAAAAATATTTTAAAAAAATATTAAAAAAAATTATACTAATATTATACTCATGCAATGTAATCCGGTTCAATCCGAAATAAATAGTAAAAATGAAAGTGGAAACTCTATCTACCAACAAGTAGATGGATGATAAACATTAGTGGGTGAATGTGTACATTTAAAAGGAGATTTAAAAAGTAGTAATGTGTGAAATTTCATTGAGTCACAAGTAAATACCACAACAACAATAACAGAGGAGAGAAAACAATCTCATTGACTTATGCATAGACAACTTCAGTGTGTGCATTTACCACCAGTGTTCACTTGTTCCTGTGGAGTTAGGTGCATTGTCCACAGACTCTCATGAATACCTATTAGCATGGTTGTCGAAAAGAGTATGCTGAAGTGTTAAACAGCTCAATTCTGGAATAATTTATTACTTTGTTTGGACACTAGTAACTAGTGTGACGTGTCTAGTCCTTTCTTTGGTGCAGACTGAATTCTATCAGTCATGTTTACAATGTGGCCACCACTCTAGGTAGCTCGCCATCACGGTACACATTGATTTGATGATATTATATAGTTGAAGGCAATCGGTAGGAAGCCTTGGACCTATGTTTCGTGCTAGTTGGCACTCATCAGCAAGGCGTATCTGCAACCTTGAAGGAACTCTTGTCCCTTCTGAGATTCGAACCCGCGTCACTCAGTGCTGCAGTCAGAGACGTTACCACTGAGCTATTTGGGCTTGCGATTGACCTCCTTTATTACTTCTAGTCACTCAGCATCATCATCATCAATAGAGGTTTCATAGAGAGTCACATATAAAGTGTGATAAGGACGTTGAAAAAGGAATTCGCTTGTATATCTTCTTCATTCAGCTGAAGCTTTAGAAAATATCTGTAAGGAAAAGGTTGGACTTTGTATTCAGAAATGTTTTTTGTTCAGAGTCTTTTACTACCATGACTTTAGTGGAAATTTTATTTCCTTGATTTATTGCATAATAAGCTCTGTGTAATTCTTTACTAGTTATGATTCTGCTACCCATTCTCACTTCCTTTTTTGTTCTCTTGTTTTCCAAATGACTACTCATCACTTAACTAATTAATTAGTTGTCAATTCTGTCGATCGGGCGAGATTATTCACCATTTTTCCTAAATTGTTTTCGCACATATATTTTGATTTATTTTTGTTACTAAATGACAATAAGCTTTGACATCTGTTATCAATTTATATATATATATATATATATATATATATATATATATATATATGCGTCAGTGCGTTCGGCGGCAAAATGCTTGACAGCCATGTACGCGGTCCTAGGTTCGATCCCCAGCCGACTGTCTCTTAAACCTCGCTTAGGCAGGAGTAAGTCCAGCAAAGAAGGAAGGTTGGGTGTGAGGCTAGGAACCCCACTGCTACTGAAACCTCAAGGCTGAGGCACTCAAGACGGAAATGGGCCATATATATATATGTATATATATGCTCAACTCATTTCTAAAGCTGATTTGACGTTTAGTTTTAGTATTGTCTTTTGTACATTTTGTTTGCACTTTTACTGTCATCCTTCATATTTTCTTCTATTTCTGTATATCTCCCTCTACAGTGAATTTCTTCGTCTTTCTAATACATTATCAAAATTAGATGATAGTTTAATTCATCCGAGTGGAAACGACACGTCATCATCATCATTATCGTTTAGTCTATCAGATGAAGCGAAAATTCTCTTCGCTAAATCACTATCATTCCGATTGAATCCGCTTAATTTAAGTCAGATTAAATGTCTGATAACAATATCAACACCATCGCATATTGAATTCAATAAGCAGATTATTCGACGTGATTCACGTATCAGTTATTATTATCATCATCATAATCATCATCACCAGCAGCATTTGAATAATTCAGTAATCAATAATGATATTGATTTATCCATCTCTCCATCATTTGTTGAATTCAACATGTCCACTGAAGGCTTTGGTTGTTTATTCTTGCCATCGATTGCACCACAAGGCGCCTCATCGATATCACATTTATGCGGTGCTGTTAATTCAACCAGTCTAGGCAATGCATCAATCAATGATATGAATGCTGGCGGGGGTGTAGGCATCGGTAAATACATTCATTTATTCTGGTCAATATTGTTTTATTCATTTATGTATTTATTTATTGAATTTTCATTTGGTATTTTAGAGCCAGCAGCAGGGGAGGTCTTGTATTTATCGCATCTCTTCACAATACTGGTATTAAATCTGAACATCGGTAGAAATTATGTAGTCTGAATTTATAACGGTGTTTTCTGTAATCGCTTTATTCCAAAGATGAATGAATACGTTAGCCACCGGGTGGATTAGATCACTGAAGTGATTGTCATTGATTCTACCTAGCTGGATAAATCAATATCATAAATCAATATCAATATTCCCTTGATAAACTGGAATAAAGCAAGGAGAACAAATTTGACGGGATAAAAAAAATTGACATCATTATATTTCGTTGGTTCTCAGCAGCTGCATTCCAACCATAGACAATTTAATGTCAAGTGTTGATTTTCAGGGATATGTAATCGATGTGGAAGACTGATTACGAATTAACACTTGAAAGAGGGAACCGAATGCTGATTAGTAGCTGAGCACAGGAAGAAGTTGCCTGATGAAGTAGCTCACCATTCAGCATGAGACTCCGGGGTTCTATCCATAGTGATGGGGTCGTAGGTACCTATTACAGGAGAGTGATCAGTCAAGAAATAGTCCGATTAAGGGCATAGTTAAGTACAAAATTAAGGGTAGGAAAATTACCTTGTCAATACAAAATATGATTCAAATGATGAAATTAACAAAAAAAATTATGAATAAAGCAAGAACAACAGTGGTTTGTGCAGAATAATATGGTACCATCATTTATTTCGTAGGCTTCTCATCATCTGCTTACAGCCCAAATAAATTATGAGGTTTGCGTACAGAAAAGTTTTAACATACTTGCAAATTTTTACATGTTGTCAGTTGACAAAAAGTTCCACAATAAGTGAACAGTGCTCAGAAAATTGCGCTTATACAGTTTTTACACAGGCAGTTCAAGTTTAAACAAAATAAATGTATGCATACAGTGGTAAAGGAGTTACGTAATAAAGACGAAATATGCGTTAGATACAGAGTGACTAATAAATTAGGTAACAATGTACTGAGTTCAACTCAAATCATAGAAACAAGAGACAAGCAAAATTACAGATTATAAAAGGGGGTGAGGTTAAAGACAAAGATTACGTAATCAGATGAGAGAATAAAGACATTCAGTTTCATTCATTCAGTCTCTTGTTTCTATGATTTGAGTTGAACTCAGTACATTGTTACCTAATTTATTAGTCACTCTGTATCTAACACATATTTCGTCTTTATTACGTAACTCCTTTACCACTGTATGCATACATTTATTTTGTTTAAACTTGAACTGCCTGTGTAAAAACTGTATAAGCGCAATTTTCTGAGCACTGTTCACTTACTGTGGAACTTTTTGTCAACTGACAACATGTAAAAATTTGCAAGTATGTTAAAACTTTTCTGTACGCAAACCTCATAATTTATTTGGGCTGTAAGCAGATGATGAGAAGCCTACGAAATAAATGATGGTACCATATTATTCTGCACAAACCACTGTTGTTCTTGCTTTATTAAAATTCATCAAGGGGAATAAATGCATGAAAAAAAAATAACAAAATTAAAATAACGTGAAGAGTATTAACCATGTAGTATGGCAAGATGAACAACAGTTTCTTTTGGGATGCATAAATTCTTTCTTGATTGTTGATTGTCAATTGCTTCAGCAATACGTAACAACCTGGAAATATCCTAAAGTTTAATAATCTGAAAGAATTTTAAAACATCTATTGCATCATAACCGCTGTCTAACAAGTGGTGAACAGTCACCTTCTTTCAAGTGCAAGTTTCTTGGAATGTGATGAGGTATGCAGTTACAAATCCTTTCTTCTGTGTTCAACCAACGTATGTACTTCGTCATACATGTGAGTTGGTATTTGCAGTTGGAGATAACATGAGCATATGAACTCTTTGCATATTGTTGTATTGAACGGATCTTGATATTATCTGTGTTGTTAGTGAATATAGATTGTCTGTAGAATATAGATGTCATCCTAACTGAAATTTATCAGGTCTATAAGCATTTTTCCCAGTGATTTAAACTGTCTGCACTAATTGATGCTGATTACGGCAACTTGATTTAATTGATGAGTATTGATTGCTGATTTATTGATTATTGATGCAGAAGTTGGTCATTACTTTGAATTTCGCCTGTCGCTATTTGTTAGTTGGTCCTTGTTTGCCTTTTTTTGATTTATCTAATTTATAATTGAATGTATTTTCACAACTTTAAAATTCCCCTCCACTCCCTCCTAATCAAGGTGAACGTTCATTTCCACCGTCTTATGGGTTCACATATTCTGCTTGGGTATCAGTACAACAATTCGATAATGTAACAAGTAATTCCTGTGATCAACAACAGCAACAGCAACAACAACCGAAACCGCAAGCTGTACATTTGCTTACACTTGTTCGTGGTGTTCAAAGTGTCAATGATCAATTAGTATTTCTACGCATTTATATTCATCCTTTGAATCATTATTTAGTTGTTTCAACACAAGAACGTTTATTACAACCAGGTAATTTATATAAATATATTTATTTATATTTTACTGATAGTAAACGTGTTATTTAGACGATTAGATGAATTCACAAATAAGCTAGAATTTGGGAGATGGTCACTAGCAGTGGAGAATCCATCAGGATTGCTTGTGTGGTGTTGTTCCCACTGGGGCTCGAACCCGTCACCCATCGTTCCAACATTTCAAAGCGTTATCCACTGGACCATTTGATCCACAAGCGCCGCTTGTTGTGCAACGGACATCAGTTTTAGACTGTAATGTGCATCCTAGATTCCACTGTTAGTCACCACCAATCCTCAGATATCATCGAAACATCCGTCCTAGGAGCCGCCGACATGTCAACAGAGACACTGGACATTTCGATCCAATATAATTAATCAGCGGGAAGTAGAAAATTAAATCAAGCATATTATAATTTGATTAATTTAGTTACTTATTAGGCAGAACTGTGTTAATAACACCCCACCCCACACCACACCACTTCCGGTCTATTATTGACATTTGTTGTGTGTAGGTGGAGATGGGTGGGTGGGACTGACGATACTACTACCCAGTTGCGTAGGCTGTCGTAAGGGGTAGTGGTGCCTTATTTCAACCACGGGATGCATTAGTAGAAAGCTTAGTGTACAGGCCGATGAGCTTGCATGTCTCCACGCATATCAGGTAGTAATATCAGCCTTTTGTCGATACGATTTATCAGTACATTAAAATTTTTACTTATTGAAGATCACTTTATATTGTTGTGAATATATATTTCATTTTTTTGTTCTAAATTACCATAATTGAAAATGGCTGCTATCGATTTATGAATATTATAATTACACTTTTTTCAAAAAAAGTAATTGATAATTAATGACAAATTATGTTTATTCGGTTTTGTGTTATCGACGTTTATAAATTTCTTTATTATTTTTTTTTCTTAAACTGATATTGTTAGAATATTGTCTCCAAAGTAGAATCGTGTTAAACTATACTAGTTCTTTTGAAATAATATATGAAGGTTGTGTTTGATGTTTTTTCTCTGAGCTTCGGTATTTTTTTCCTTGATGAGGATGTTTCTTCATCAATCGAAGAAGTGTCACCAAGCCCGGTGACACAATCAAATTACTAAGGCTCGTAGAGTGTATCAAACAAGTTCCGTGCACTAGTTTATTAATTCATTCACATAGTCCTCACTGAAATGATGTTAAACGGAATTATTTCGAAAGAGTATATGAATAATCGACTGTACATATCTGCTGGCCTATTATATATATATATATATATATATATATATATATATATATATAATGTTAATTTTTTGTATTCGGTGTTCCTGACTTCTCAGACTCATATTATTATTGTCATTGTTGGCTTGGGTTCCAAGTGGAACATAGAGCTTCAACAGCACTTCCATACTTTTTCCTATTTCTGCGGTCCTCTTTAGCTAGCCCTGCGACTCTCCATAGTTTGTCATCTCACACGATCTTCTCCATATCACCCACAGACACACACCCAACTTGTTTCCCATCCGAGTCCCACTCAAGAGCCTGGTGCGCGATGTTATTCGACGGTCTCCCTAGCTTGTGTCCGGTCCATCTGCATTTTCTTCAACATATATGTCTATCGATGGGTTGTTGATTGGTTTGTTCCTAGATCTTTTTTTTGCTAATTATTTCCGCTTGACCATTCAATCTTCAATACTGGAGCGAAGGCAGTTGTGTTGATAGAAGTTTGCAACTAGTTGGAAACGCTTTTTCGTGACGTACTGGCCAAGTTTCTTACACATATAGAAGAACTGACTGACTTAACATTAGTGTCAAACATCCGAATATTTTTCTTTATTTTGCGGAGTGCAGGAGATTCCCAAATTGGTTTCGAAGTGATGTAGACCTGTCTTGCTCTTCCGATTCCAACTATGACATCCTCATCTGTGCCGACTGCCTGTGGTTGGAACTATACTTCCTAGATAAGTGAATCAAGTGACTTCTTCCAAATTTATTACGTCAATAGGTATCGGTGCTGAATGGTTATTTTCATCACCTCTGTCTTCTCTATGCTCACTTGAAATCTTGTCTCTTCTTCTTCTTCTGCCGGTTTGTTGGTTTTGTACCTGTAAGTCTTCGAGTTTGTATTACATTAGATATACATCATCTTCGAAATCCAGCTCTTCTTACCGGTCTAACGTATTCCTGTCCTCTCGCTTCGCACAGTCTTCCGCATAATGCAGTCCATTAAAATTAGGAATATCATTGGTGATAGTTAGCAGTGTTGTCTTACCGCTGTATTCACTTCAAATGCTTGTTAGTTGAGTTTTCGGTTGTGTATCTCACCTGACAATTGGCACTGTCATATGACTGCTAAATGTGCTCAGTTGCATTTCGTGATTATTTTGTTCACTTTTTGTCCATATGACCTCATTAGAAAATTGCCGAATTCTCACATCTTCTTGAAGTTAGTCATCGCTCAGAAGAATATTGTCTAGACAGACCACGAGTGATAGATAGCTGTAAAACTAAAGAAACCTATTCAGTTTCAGATAACGTGAAACAACACAACATAATACCTACACATGATCTTAGCACAGAGAGCTGATAATCGACTAGTGCATCTGTGGTTCAGGGGTACAATGCCCGCTATCTATGAATATGGTCCGGGTTCGATTCCCGGCTGACACACTCCTAAACCTCAAATATCTAGTATTAAATCCGGTTAGGAGGGAAGATTGGACGTGGGCTAGAACTCTCCTCCTTACCCCCAGTAGAAACAACACAGGCGCTACTGACACTTCAAAGCTTAAAGCTTGAAGTCCTATGAGTCACCCAAAGTAAAGCAATAAAAGAAGAAAGAAAAAAAAGCTGCGATCATCCCTCTGAAATATACACAAATCTTCACCAGCACATTAAACTGTTCAATATACATGCTTGCTAAACAGGAACATATTTCATTCGGCTTATTCATATATATTTTTTAACAGTTGATTAGAACTTATTATATTTTTTTGAAACAATAATAAGTGTAACTGACAGCCATGAGTACATGAACCTGCCTTCAGGTGTCTATGTATGTTTTTACGAGCTTATAGATTGTGTGTGTGTGTATATGTGTATGTATGCTAATAACTATTCTCTACAGGATTGATTTACATTGTTTATGAATTATTTCGTAACATAACCAGACTTTTCGTTTTAAGAGAAAGAAAAGTAGCCGAATGGAGTGTGGTAGTGGTATTGGTAGTGGTAGGAGTAGGAGTAGTGGAAGTAAAAGGAGGAGTGGTTCAATAACTTGTTGCTCTCTATCTATGGTATGAAAGAAGGACGGAAATGTGCTTTTCATTAACAAACTCATCCACTTTTCTGTTGTAAAATAGAAAGAGACGGAAGGATAAGTGTTTCTTTGAATTCATTTCATTGTTCTGTTTGTTTAAACAGCTTACAGATAATGGCAGATAAATTTTCTTTCTTGCTCTCTCTCTCTCTATCTATCTCACTCTCCTTCTGCCTCCGTTTTACTCTTCGAATATATATCGACTGATGTACAAGTCGACTTTGCTACGTTTTCGTTCTGTCTTGTCAAACATTATTTTGTGTAATATTGACATTTTTAATACAAGCGTGTGTTTCATGTGTTTCATCACTCACTAGTAAATAACATTTAGTTAAAACGTAGTCATATATGTATTTCCGGTGAGATATTCCATGCCGGTTGCTTCTCAATCAGATTGTTCCAAAATGAATAACTTTTTGTGAGAAATAAGTCAGTAGACCTTGTCAACAAATGGTCCCTAGCTAAATCCCTCCGAATGTTAGGTTGTTAATTTCACTTTGAGACGCAAGCGTGACATACATGAGTTGGTTCGTTCGCATGATTCCACTACCGCTGATGATAATGAAGTTGAAACTAAATCGAATGTTAAATACCTTGGATTGTGTATTTCCTCTGATGTCTCCTGGTCTTCGCACATCATGTTAGTTTCTAGAAAGATATTTCACTTAATGTTCTACTTGAGGAAGTTAAGACAGTCTAGTCTCACTCAGTCTCTACTCTCTAGGTTTGTTAATGCTTGTATTCTAACTATTGTTCTTTATTGTTCCCCCACCTTAATCTTACCTGGGCTACTTAAGAAAAACTTTGTCACACTGCGAAGGTCACTAAAATGCTGTCAGTAGGCGAGTGACGTGTCCCCTAAACCAACTCGTTGATGCTGTTGTAGACAGACACATGAACTGATGCAAGTAATTAGCGAATATTATCTTGTCAGACCCTGAGCATACTCTCTATGCACAACTCTCTCCTTGCATCTCATCGGGTAGAACTAGAGGCAACTACAGAAGACTCGACAACACCTTATTTGAAACATATTTTATGTGATGACGAAAGTGTAAGGCATGAAATTACTAACTTACTGTCGAACACTTAGTAAATGGCACTTTTTAATTTTTTCTCCCATTAATATAATGTTGTTCATATTTCCACTTAGATTTTAGTTTTATATTCATATTGTTACTAAACAATATTCTCAATGTAAATGTCCTGCTTAATTATTACCCGTGTATTATGTAATGAGAATGTTAGATGTAATATTATATACATGCTGAAAATTCCATATTTGCATCAAAAGTACTGTTTGAAATAAAGGCATTATTATTGCTATTATCATTATTATTCATAATGATTCTTTCCTTTTTTATTCAAACGTAAGTCAGTGTGTTCGCTTGTATGCGTACCACTAAGCTATCTGCTCTATGCAGCAATAGTTGGGAACTAGAACTTCAGGTAACTTCCAGTGTAGAACCAGTCGCTATTGGGCATCCGACTAATTAGGAAGTCATATGAAAAAAAGAAGACGTTCAGCGAAGAGACTCTTTTCGGCGAATTCATTCACATAGCTGTATAATCGCATTTAAATATAATTATTTGTGTGTGTGTGTACATGAGGTTTGTCAAGTTTAGATAATTGATTAGTTAATGCAAGAATGATGTAATATAGAAACAAAGTTAATCAGACAGCAACTAAAGTAAGATTGAGTTAGTAAGCTAGATGACGTATCACCGAACACTTACCAACATGGTTTTACAAAGGAGAAAATCGATGCCCCCGCAGTTCCATCTTAGAACATCTGATAGAATCCGGACATCAAGCTACACTCCAAACAAACTTCAAAGTCGTCTACAGAATACGAAGCAGTCTTCCTAAAAGTGAACGAGTCAAACTTCTACAAACTGCAGAAGCAATGGTAATTCATGTCAGTAAAAAGTTTGAGCATTGTGGATTAGATCAAATAAAGTATAATTATATTTCAATAGTTTACACACAATGATAAGTTTTGTTTTCGGAGAAATATTTCGAGCAATATAATTATACTTTATTCGATGGCGATTCACTTGCTAAGCCCTGAACTCTGTATACAGAAGTTGGTCCAATCACTACACTTGCAATGGACGTAATCTGTCTTAATACCCGACAGGTAAATTCTACCTAATCTTTTCTTCTGTCTCTTCATTAGTATTATTTTGCCTTCTCATTTGTAATATTTTACAATTTCAACTTTCTTGTTCTCTACCCCCACCCGATTTAATTTCTGTACCTCACTACCACTGTTACTGACTTGACCAACGCTCAATTTCTAGTCATTTATGTTACGTCATTCAACTTATTTGCTCAATTTCACTTCTACTTAGCCTCTGCCTGTAATTACCTCTGTTGCTATCCTGACCTAACTCAATCTTACTTTAGTTGCTGTTTGATTAACATCATTCTTCCATTCACTAATCAATTATCTAAGCTTGACAAACCTCATGTACACAGACACACAAATAATTATATATAAATCTGTTTGTACAGCTATGTGAATGAATTCGCCGAAAAGAGTCTCTTCCCTGGACGGCTTCTCTTTTTCATATGACTCAATGGGGATTTTCAAGCTAATTAGGAAGTGTTGGTTTGCAAGGATTTCATTGTTTACGAGTTTCATCACAAGGTGACATCAGTCAGCGACCCGTTAAAGTGGTCGGCGAACTCGCGTTGCAACCGGGGTACGCCGGACTCGAACTCCGCTGGTGCGCACTGATGAAGAGTCCAGAAATGGGATGAAACACCTGTCCAGTACTCTCTGGTTTTCCAGTGGTTCTCTGACTGATGTCAACTCGTCATCAAATCTGCAACCAATCAAATCTCTGCTAACCAAGACATAAAATAAACTTAATTTTTAATGAAGATGCAGTAAAACTAAGGAAGATTTGATAAAAGGGTGAATAAAAATACATAAAGGGTGGTGCTGGTGTTACATTTAGGTCCTAAATGGCCAAGAGAGGTATAATGACTGTACGGATGCAATTTCCGGAAAAATGGACAAATATGTATACTTAACTATAAGAAGTTGTATAGAACAACCAGAAAATACTCCATAGAATTTTTTTATTCCTGTTGCTTGTTCGTCTCACCAATTAGTTGCTCAGCTTAGTTTGCAAATAAATTAAATCTAATGGTTACAATAATCGTGTTTCCTTATTCATTCAAACAATTGAGGTGTTTAAAAAAAAATAATCTGATTAACTTAGTTTCCATGATCGTTCACACCTGACATCTCTGGGTAACTAGTCTGTCATAAGTGAATTCCGTTTTTTTTGCAATGAACATACTTATTTCTGTTTTGTTTTTTGTTTTCGCATGTATACTTTATTTATTTATTTGAATTTACAGGTCAGTCATGTGATGTAGACATTGATGGTTCTATGATGGTGAATAACGCAAACAATATGGATCAATCAGCGTCAATTGATTCAGATCCAAATATGAAGAATGCAATAGCAGCTGGCACGTGTGCTGTATTCCCGTGTGGTTTATCAGCGAACAGCTCTAATGAATGGCCATTGGATGTTTGGCGTCATGTTGTTGTTGTATTCAATCGAGCGGGAATGATCAAGACTAGTTCGTGTAGTTTATACCTAGATGGTCATTTCATTGGAAGCCGTAGAGTAAGTTTTGTCTCACTAATATGAAAATAGTTTTTACTGCTCAAATTCATTTGTTAGCCAATTATAGACTAAAAAGTCCTTGAAGTTGACATGGTCAAGTGGGTGGATGTTACTTCGCAAGGGAATCCAAGATGCACATTTCGTTCTGTTAGGGACTCTTCATCTAGATTTACTTTCATCCAAGTGAGCTTTTGTGTACTCTATGAGATTCGAACCAAACAGTCATCGTTTTAAATGAATCAAAGTGTTATTCACTGTAAGCCACTGACTGAGCTATAGAAGTTGTCTCCTGTGCTAACCAACATCACACAAGTAACATTGAGCCAACCTCATGGATCATCGATGTGTTTGAATTATAAGGGGGTGGGGGCGGGGTCGGTCAGTCAATAGTAGTCGAGTATTTCAACCCCGATAAAACAAGCACTTGGAAATCGAAAGATTTATTAACTAACAATTCGTAGTTAAGTTTGTTTCAAGTAAATTTGTCTAAAGTATTGATTTTCAAGTGGGATATAGACTACTCCTTTATCTCACATATCTTTTATGAATTTGTAACCTAAATGTATTGAAGGCTTCTTATTACTGTTGGTGTCTATGTTATTGCCTAATCGTTTTTCAGTGCTCTTTTCATTTCGGCTTTTATAATCAAGTTCTTTTTTTACTGTACCTTTTTTTTTTCAATAACCTTTTTGTTGTGTGCATATATTGAAATTTTTTTGGCGTACATGTTACCACTTCTCACGTTACTTTTTGTTGCGCTTGGATATATGTGCAAAAATAGACTAGTTTTCTTCCTCTTCTGATTTTGTTTTACACCACTTGAATACACCTTGCTGTGTATTAACTGATATACTTTATCTCCACTCTTCATTTCCTATTAATTTTACTACTGACAGTATAAGACAACATAAGTCACTACGTCATTCAAACGAAAAGGATTTCTTAGTGAATTGGTATTTAGTCGTTCCTCTCCACTACGAACACGTTCGTAAATCAGGGCCAGTTCAGGGTCTGAAGACTGAAGTTTGGGCCAACTATATGAATTATGCGCCTCTAGTTGGAGTAGGGAAACATGTGTTTCGGTGCATGATGGGCTGTCACCGTGATACCTAAGAGGTTTTGTTGACAATGCATCTGCATTCACATCATTTTTTCTAAATTTATGCTGACATACTCTTGCAGGTGTTCTTGCCATCTAGCAATGTGATCGTCAGCTTCTATGAAGTTGTGTAGCCAGCTAAGGGCTTTGTGATCGGTCCGTACCACGAAATGTCTACCGAAGAGATATGCCCTGAATTGTTTAATGAAATTGACCAGTACCTTTCCGCGTGGTGCAGTAACTCTTTTCACTATTGTAGAGTGCTCGGATGGCATTAGCCAACACCTTTTCTGCTCCATCTGCATTCTTCCTGAGACAGAAAAGCCCTGATACCAGTGTCGCTAGTGTCTGTATCTAGGATGAACGGACCTGCCTGGTCAGTAACGTTGTGGTATGCCAGGATGTGGGGGAGGGGCTACATAAACAGTCTTTAAGTCTATCAAAGGCTTCAGTAGCTGATGCTGTCCAGCTGTAATCCTTCTTCTTAAGAATATCGAATAGAGGAGCAGCAGCGGAGAAAAGTTAAGTACAAAACGTCTGTAATGCGAGGCTAACCTATAGAAAACCATGTTACTCGGCAGCTGAGTTTGGGAGCGGCCAGTCTTTAACTTCCTTAACTTTTGCTGGATCACATTTAATGCCTTCGGCTGAAATAATGTGACTTAAGAAACACAATTTTTTCCTGGAAGTTTGGCATTTTGTTGGATCTAGTTTTAACCCAACCGTTGATGAATAGTCTACCTGCATTATATATGTCCAAACCAAGTTCACTTTTAGCAGTTTCGTGAAAAAATTTGGGCATTGGGGGTATGATATTGATTATCAAAAATGATTTTGTATTTCTCAGTAAATGAAAAAGAAGATTTCATGTTTTATGCCGTGAGCCAATTTCAATTTCCATTTTCATCGAAGAGGCTCTTTTCGACGAATTCACTTAATTGAGTTGTACAATGGCATTTGTATGCAATCCCCTTTTCATGAAGGAGGCTACTAACCAAAGTGATGAGTTGTGACAAACATGCTTGTTAATATTAGCTAATGTATAAGAGGAGTTCAATAAGTGTCTTAGAGTTACGCAATAAGATGAACAATTTAATGAATGAGTTGTAGTCAGGATGTACTTAGAAATCAAGGAAAATATAGAATTATGTATTATTTAACTTGTATTCCTTTAGAACTCCTAAGTAATCCCATATTTCCCTTTTTTCCTATATACATCCTGATTACAACTCACTCATTAAATTATTCATCTTATTGCGTAACTCTAATACACTTTTTGAACTCCTCTTATGCATTGAATAATGTTAACAATCATGCTTGTGACAATTCAACACTTTTGTTAGTAGCCTCTTAAATGAAAAGGAGTTTATATATAAATGCAGTTGTACAGCTGAAGGGAAAATGAATTCGGCGAAAAAAGCCTATTCACTGAATTACGTGTTTTTGTATTCGTTAATGTCTGGATAGGGATTATTCGTTGATTTTCATTTTTTCCCCATTTACTCATAAATGGGTGTCCCGTCTGACTTCCAGTCGAAAAACATAAACCAACTACCTGTTAAAAGACACGACTTGCACGTAGGCAGTTATGAATACCGATTTAACTGGGAAATTTTCAACAGTGGAAGCAAGAGAAATGTCAGAGAACTTCTGGAAGTCTAGTACTCAGACGCATCACACAGAAATCAATGGACACTTTGTCATAGATCAAATTTACCAACTAGTAGAGAATAAGCCACATGATAATCTTTTTTTATTCCTTTATGTTCCCAGTAGGGCTTCAAGCTATAGGCAGTGATGTTTATATTTAAGGGATGGGGTTGCAAAATTCATGTCCAACCTTCCCTATTGACCAGTCTTATTACTGGCTTAGCGAGGTAAAGGAGTGTGGTGGTGGCCGGGGATCGAACCCTCAACCACCTGCGTGGTCGGCGAGCATTCTACCTCTGTGCCACCGACGCACCACATGATAATAAAAATGTCAAATTGTTAATCAGTCAATGAGGGCGATGAATACAACAATCACGACAAAGCTTATTAGGATATACAATTATATGATACAATAGGAAATCAGACAAGTTCACTTCAAAATGAAGTTTCTGCTGAAGACATTGTCTAGGAAGACAATGAGGGAAAGCCTCGCAGTCACTGGAATTAGATGATAAGGACAAACTATGGAATGAAAAAATTGAATTCTCACCAGTCTTTGGTAATTCTTGAGAATATAAGCTTTTTATGAGTTTAAAACAAGCAATAAAGGTTAATAAAGCAGGATTTAATGAATTCATCAAATTTCGGTAGAACTCGTCAGCTGAATACTCTACATACACGGATATATACTTTTGAAGTTACATTGGGAGATATAGGACTGAATTCTTTACATACACGGATATATATAGTTTTGAAATTACATTGGGAGATATGGAAAATGATACTATCAAATTCCTAGACGTTTTTCTGGCGAAAATGAATGATGGCACAATCGAAAGATCTATATTTAGAAAGTCCTCATGGACAGGACAGTACATGCATTTCAAGAGTTTTGTTCCAATCCAGTACAAAAAGAACTTAGTCAGAACACTGTTCAATAGAGTACGGAAAATTTGTTCTGACAGTACTGTTGAGTATGAAACAAAATCCCTGAAGGATATCTTATCTAAGAATGGATACCCTGAGAAGTTCATTAATAAATACTCTAAAGAAAACACCCGCTGCAAAACAATCCAAACAGTTCCGAAGAAACCTGTCTACATCAACTTGCCGTTCAAAGGAGATGATGTACAGGAAGTAGTCAAACGAAGACTCGACAAAGCCATCAAGAGAACTTATTATGCTGCAAAACTTGTTTTCCTTAACACCACTAAGCGAGTGCTTCAACAATCTGGGAAAGACCAGTCGCCAATCCTCGACACTTCAAACTGCGTATATCAATTTGAGTGTGTTTGTGGAAGCAAATACATAGGTCGTACGGAAAGGAGATTGTCTACTCGCATGATGGAGCATTTGCCAAAATGGTTGAAAACAGCCGAGTTCAAAGTGCCAAAATCCTCAATAACAAAGCATCTTGTGGATTACGGGCATGATATCGACGCAGTCAAGTCATTCACCATTGTCAGCAGACAAAGAAACAAGAAGATGCTTGCAATTGCAGAGGCTTGTGCAATTCGAGTTTACAAACCAGGTCTCTGTGTGCAAAAGGAGATGGTCGTGACTCTGAATCTACCATGGTAATATGTTTTACTTACAATTCTACCTCTTATTATTATTTTACTATTACTGTTATTATTCTCATTATTATTATTATTCTTGATTCATTTAAAACTATCCTTTATCAGTAGCATTATCTTAACCCACTTCAACACTATTATTATTATTATTGTTATATTATATTATTGTTATTATAACTATTACTATTGACATCCCTCTGGTTGCAATTCTTGTTAAATTCTCTAATGTCTAATTGTTTATCTAAGTGATGTAATTGAAGCGTAATGCAATTTATCTTAATTTTGATCTCCCATACTCTCTCTCCCCTTATCTAATTGCACATGACCTGGAAAAAAACATTCGCACCTGTCTTTCTGCATGACTAATTCAATGTAGTTTATTTACTTATCAGTCCCATATCTCCCAATGTAATTTCAAAACTATATATATCCGTGTATGTAAAGAATTCAGTCCTATATCTCCCAATGTAACTTCAAAAGTATATATCCGTGTATGTAGAGTATTCAGCTGACGAGTTCTACCGAGATTTGATGAATTCATTAAATCCTGCTTTATTAACCTTTATTGCTTGTTTTTATGAGTTGATAACGGATTGACATCAGTTAGGGAACCACTGAAAACCAGGGAGTACTGGACAGCTGTTTCATCCTAGTTTGGGAATCCTCGGCAGTACTCACTCACCGGAGTTCGAACCCAAGATCTTCCGGTTACAAGGCCAGCTCGTATACTATTCAGCCACTGGGACCCGATTCAATGGCTCATGAATTCTAACTTCTACCAATTCGTGATTTAGCGCGGCCCCAACCAATGTCGATGGTGGGACATCCATCCACACACGTGACATCTAATTGGACCTCACTGGTCACGACTTCTCACTAGAACTCCAGGAAACTCCATCCTGGTGGAAGTTAGAATTCATAAGCCATTGAATCGGGTCCCAGTTGCTGAATAGTATACGAGCTTGCCTTGTCTTGTGTTCGAACCCCGGTGGGTGCGTACTGCCGATGATTCCCGAACTAGGATGAAACAGCAGCTGTCCAGTACTCCCTGGTTTTCAATGGTTCTCTAACTGATATCAATCCGTGATCAACTCGTAAAAAGAAAACTAATCCTTACAAACCAACTATAGAAAATATAAGCTTTTGAAAAAAGTGAAAATGAATAAGGATAATTTCGGTTTTTTTCTAGGTTTTCCATTTTTCAATTAAAAAATGTTCTTGAATTTATGTAGTCTACTCATTTGGGAATTGAGAACTTGTGGGCGGTGGTGACGTCGGTTGAAAAAGTCAGCAGACAACATGGTGAAATGGACGTATAGAAATTATGAAAATTCCACTAATGGTCGGTTTTTCTTATCTTATCTTGCTTTGTGTGGAGAAAAGTTAGCCTTTCTACCTCTTCTTCTTCTGCTGATATTCGCTTAAGTGATCTTGAGTTCCAATGTTTAATAGGTGTTCTACCACGTAGATGTTGATGATTGTGATGATGAAACACTTTCTGATTAATGAAAACAAAACACGTAGATCAGCGAAGAGTCTCTTTTCGGCGAATTCATTTTCTTAGCTGTACAATCGCAAATATATATGTGCTATTTTGTATGTATGTGTACAATAAGTTTATCAAACAAAAATACAATTGCTCATAGTTATTTAAACTAGACAGGTGAAGATTGGTAATTGGAGTTACGTAATACAAAATCAGTCAAGAAAATTAGGTGTTATTGAAATTAGGGTAGTAACAGAGGTGATGAGTTGTCACAAACAGTTGTTCAAAGAAGTTATGTAATATGACCAGATCCGGCTAACAGGTTCAATAATACCAAGACTTTACGGTCTACCAAAGGTACACAAGGTTGGTCTCCCACTTCGTCCAATTCTGGATATGTCAGGTTCTCCTTACCACTCTATTGCAAAATGGCTAGCAGATATTCTGGAACCTGTAAGGAAACAATTATGTACGCACTCGCTCCGTGACACCTTCCATTTCATCGACTGCATACAAGACATGAATGTATCTCATAAAATTATGCTGTTCTTCGACATTGAGTCACTTTTAACCAATGTCCCACTCACGGAAACGGTCTGCTTCATATGCAAATATATCGATGACAACCATCTCAATATTGGAATACCAACAGCATATTTGAAGGAATTACTATTGAGATGCACTCTGAACGTCCAGTTCACATTCAACGACACCATCTACAGACAAAAAGATGGTATTGCAATGGGATCTCCGTTGGGTCCACTACTATCAGATTGCTTCGTCGCAAGCCTCGAGAAAAGTCCACTAAAGCCAAGCATTGACAATTTGCGACTGTATGAAAGATACGCAGGCGACATATTCATTATTTGTGACAACAACAATGACCCCAATGTACTGCTGAAGACATTTAACTGTTGTCATCCAGCAATGGAAATTCACTCTTGAAATGGGAAACGAGTCAAAAATTCCATTTCTTGATGTGGAACTAACAAGAAGAACTGATGGGAGCCTAAGAAGATCGATCCATAGAAAACCTACTTGGAATGGTCAACTAACAAGCTTCTATAGCTGGGTACCCATTGAACAAAAGCGAAATTTCATTAAATTACTTGCCACCCGCATCCGACGCATCTGTAGTCCCGACGCTCTGGAAACAGAATTAGAATTGGCACAGTGGTTAGGACTCTCGTCGACCATGCACATGGTCCGGGGTTCGATCCCCTGCCGGTGCACACCCGATATCTATGGTCGGCCTGAGTTTGGGCTACCGATATCCATGCTGAAAATTTCACACTTGTACTGAAAATACGGTGTGGAATCAAGCTGTAAATCAAAATCAAAATCAAATCAAATCAAGAGAAATTTTCATCCAAAATGGATACCCAATGAGATTCATCGACAAAAATATCAAACCAAGAATTCGGAGAAACAAAACTCTACTTGCGCCAAAAAAGAAACTTTATGAACCTGGATTTCAAGGGAGATTTAGCAAGCGATATTTTCAAGAGAAGGATCACATCATCTCTGAGAAGAACATTCTTTGCAGCAACGCTAAGAATAGTGTTCTCCAGTCGCCCACTGATCTGCAGAAGTCTCAAGTACAAGATCCCGCATCTGATCACTTCTATGTGCATATATCATTTCACCTGCTGCTGTGGAGCCACGTACATCGGTCGTTCGACGCGCACCCTGTCCAAGAGGATTCAAGAACACTATCCAGCATGGTTGCGAAAAGGCAATAGTGGTACAATAAGGAGTGCGATAATTGAACATCTGGTTAACGCTGATCTTTCTATTTCAACAAACGCCTCCTACCTCAAAGTAATCTACAGAGTCAAGATCAACCTATCAAAGTCAATACGGTTTTGCCTTCTTTGTATCGCTGAAGCTTAGGCCATTCACATAGAAAAACCGGAGCTGTGCATTACTCAACCACTTCTACTGTCTTGGTAACAACTTTTTGATTTGATTCTTTTTGATGACTTAATTTTGTTTTTTGCCTGTTCTTTAATTGCTTATAATTCTTGTATTCACTTAGAACTCTTACGTAATTTTGTATTATCTACTTTGTTCCTATGTGCATCCTAAGTAAAACACTCATCAAACTATTCATATTATTACATAACTTCTTTTAACAACTGTTTGTGACAACTCATCACCTCTGTTACTACCCTAATTTCAATAACACCTAATTTTCTTGACTGATTTTGTATTACGTAACTCCAATTACCAATCTTCACCTGTCTAGTTTAAATAACTATGAGCAATTGTATTTTTGTTTGATAAACTTATTGTACACATACATACAAAATAACACATATATGTTTGCGGTTGTACAGCTAAGAAAATGAATTCGCCGAAAAGAGACTCTTCGCCGATCTACGTGTTTTGTTTTCATTATTGCCTGGATGGGGATTATACATGAACTTTCTGATTAGTTGGGGAATCGGAGTGTGTGTGTGCATGTAATGAAAATCGTATGGGTCATTTTAACTGATGATCAGTTTCCAACTGTCCAACAAGACTGTTGATGACACTTTTTTTGTTATTTTGAGACTGATAATTTATCTTATGACTTCTGAACCACTTCTTCTCCAGTTCACTTAGTTTTGACAATAGTTAGGATTCATGGGCCATTGGATCGGACCCCAGTAATTGAATGGATGATCTACAAGTTCATCTTGTAGCCGGGAGGTCTTGGGTTTGAATTCCGATGGGGGGGGGGGTACTGCTCCCAGGTTTTCCATTAGTTCCCTGACTTATATCAGTTCGTGGGCAGTTCTGTAACAAATCAAACCCTTGCAAACCAGCGCATACTATTTAGTTTTTGTTTTATTTAGTTTTGAATTTAAAAGTGTTTCCTTGTCAAACTACATTCGTTGCATTACTGATTTCGTCATACGTACCGAACAGCGCACAATCATAATATGGTGTGGCACATTGGCCAGTTTTAATGCCTGTTTGCCTAGTTCAATCTGGGCAACTGGACAGTATTGTAAATCCTCACGCAATATGTGTTATTCATAACCTGAATACACGAGAAGCCCATTTCAGACATTCATTTGTAACACTCATGATCTTTCGACTGTTCTACTGGTGACTAGGGTAGAAATGTACCACTCAGGCTCACTGTTTTGAAATTTTTAATTTTTCCAAATTTGTTCCGACAGGTTTTTACAAGCCCTAAGTTGTTTATTATGCTTTCGCTTACGAATACTGTGTAGATTTCAAAGTTTCTCTCTCTTTCTGTGCATATCTCTCTCCTTATAGGTCACTTACATTGGTGCATCGTCTGCATCCAGTGCACTTGGACGTAATATTATGTCGTCATCATTGTGTGGTTTCATTGGCACACCTGCATCTATGCGTAGATCTAGTAAACTGTTATGGAAAATTGGTCCATTTCATTTTATTGAAGAACCATTGACCGCTAGTCGTGTTGCTATAATAACAAAGCTAGGACCAAATTACATGGGTAGTTTTCAAGCTGTACCTTCAATGCCGTGTAAGTAGTATTCGTTGTGATGATCGGTGTCTGTGGATTTTTGCCTGTGTGTGTGTGCCTGTCTGTCTGGCTGTCTGTGTTTGGCATAAATCCTTTTTTATGAATTTATCGTTTTACAAGCTGTCTGTGATGTATTTATATATATGATGCACTTCATACCAATAACTGTCTGCTATTAAAACAGCATACTTTATTATTTAATGCATGAAAGTGTAAACTGTTTTGATGAATACTGACTGATATTGATTTGAGTAATTCTAAATCATCATTCTGAAACGTCATTTTATTTCAGCTTATTCAGAATGAATGAATATGATCTCCTCATTGATTGGTTGTATTAATTAATCGATCAACCAATCAACAAACCACGATTCAAGGTTATTCACATGTTTCAAATTTTATCTACACACTGCTAAAAATGACAATTTAAACAACTTGTGTATAAGGTTAAAACGAAAGAAAATTGAAAGCAAACAAATGTGTTGATCACATGTTGATGAACTTTTCTTGTGATATATCAAAAAGATAAAAAAGGATCATATTGAAATATTGTCCTGATTATGTATTTCATAAGTTTTGAGGTGTTTGCTTACATTGAATACTACTTGTAATACACTTTGTGTATTTCTTTTATTAATGAGTTTGTTAAATTTGTCTGTGTTTTGTTCGGGTTGTTGTAACATTAATGCTGTGATTCTTAAATTGAAAGGCGAAGTACCTGTGCTAGCTGCCTCCTTTTGTATCCGTCAGTTGTGTTGCCCGTTGCACTAAGAACTTAGTTATTCGCGCTCCGGAACATCTACCAGTGTAGCTAAATAAAGATGTACTAGGGACCATTCAATAATTTTTTATTAGAAGAATTTTTTTCTATCATCTGTCGGGTACGAAATAAATTGCCAAAAGCCTCTAGATATCGAATATGCGAAACAGCAGAGTTCATTGCAGTTCACGTGAATCGACCGGAGCTCTGTGTGCAAAAGAAACAGGTTCAAGCACTATTTCTACTGTGGTCTACCGTGGAACGTAGAAATTCATAAATTCCCTATTATTTTGCCTTAATCTAACTGATATTCAGTTTGGTGTTGTTATATTGCTGCATATTATCACTTACAGGCGCATTTGGAACTGTCATTTATTGACTGGATGGTATTTAATACATTGATCTTTTAAATAACATTAATTCCTTAATTATTATGGACATATAACTTTTGGAACTGATGAAAAAGTTGTCGAAGACAGTATTCCTTGTCCACTAATCATCTCCTTTTCGTCCTAGTTCATGCCTCTTTAGCAGCGCACATCCATGAAGCCAGCCCACCAGTGGTTGAACCCCAGGACCTTCAGGTTACAAAATCAAGCTAGTTGACCATTTCGCCACTTGGGCGGGAGTTCAGTGACTCATAAATTCTAACCGTGTCAACTCATTACATAGCTCCATCATCAAACTCTACCATCGTTTAGTATCTACTTCACCTTGACATAGTGTACCCCACTGGCCTCGACTTCTGAGGACAGCTTTAGAGTAACGCTGTATCAGAAGTCACTGAATTCCAGCCCAAGTGGCTGAAAAGTTAGTAAGCTTGGTTTTGTAATCTGAAATTCCTGGGTTCTTTCCCTGATATGCTCGTGGAAGTACTCCCCTGAAGACTCCCAAGCTAGGACGAAACAGTTTTACCTATAATCCTTGGTTTTTTTAATGATCTGTCAAACTGATATTGGTTGATGACGAAATCGATGTTGAGGTTAATCCAAATCCCTGCCATAAATCCATAGTTCAGATAATAACGCTAATTATTATTATTATATTGATTCTACTATTCGTCGCTTGGGTTCTGAGTGAATAAAAGGGTCTCAGAAACACGTCTCTATTGTATTCTATCCTCTGCTGTCGTTATTTCGTAGTAGGCCACACCACTACCCGACATCTGTTTGTCGTTTGCTACTTACATGATCTCCTCCATATCAACCTCGGACTGACGCTCACTGGTGTTGCTTCTACTGTAGGATTAAATTCAGCGGCTTGGTGTCTGTGTGATGTTATTGAACGTTAATGTTATTAATAGTGTTAATTATAGTATCTTCAGTTGTGTCGCATTGTTCAGTCAGTTGTAGCAATGAAAACAACAACATAATGTATTTCGTCAATTCATTCATTCTTTAGACATTTTTAAAAAAAATTCTATAAAGTATTAAGAGATTAGTTCCACTTACAAAGAAAGAAAAAATATGTAACAAATAATATATATTATGCATAGAAAAATATGGAGGTGTAAAATTTCTTGCATTCATACATTCAGTTAGTCATGCAGTCAGACAGTCAGACGCGCAAGCTGTGTTTTATTCATATTTTCATGTTATGCATTGATCCAACCAATTTGTCGGTTGGTTGGTTTGTTTTGTTTTTAAATCTACGCTTCATTTAGGTTTGATAGCCTGAGAGTTTGTTATTTAGAGTATTGTAAGCAGATGTGAATATATACATGATATCCAGTGTGTGATGGCAATAAAAGCAGCTAAACAACACAAAGGACATCGGTGATTATATCGTGTTTTCTTCATTCCTTACGCATTCCGAATGGAACTTGCAGTTTTACCAAGCTTTTGATTTTCAGTTAATTGTGGTGCTGGGGTTTTCACCTTGTGTGGTAGGTTTGTTAGCCTCACGTCAGACCTCCCTTCTTTTTAGGGCTTATTACCAGCTAGATGAAGTGCACAAGTATGTCGATGGGGGATCGATTGTTCACGGTGTTAGATGTAACCCATTGAGATGGATTGGACATACTCTTAAGAGACTGTTGAATGACATCAACTACCGGGCCACCGCCCGGGTGGATTCCGAATGGGAAACGACGAGTGGATCGTCCTAGGATGACAAGGAGGTTGTCGTGCGAGGAGGAGATGAAGGGTTATTGGCAATCATTGGCCTAGCTAAAAACGATAGCATAAAATAGAACAAAATAGACAGAGATGTGTTGTTATAGATCTATGTTACACTTAGAACCCAAGGGGGGGACAATAATACTATAATATTGATATAACCTACTGACCATTTATGCTAACGTGCTCATGTTATTGTCGTACAAATATCGTGTGTTAAGGTCTTACACAAACCCTGTCAGGCAGATTCATGCTTGCTGTACTTACTGATTGAAAGCTGACTCAATGGAGTTGACAAATCAGATTCCCAGTCAGCATTAACTACTACTTCTCTTGGTAGTATTAGTTTTTAATTTCTTGAACATGGAAATGTGATGAAAATTGCTTCTTTTAGTATGATGGAGAAATATTGTTACTCAGGTGGTTGGTTTTTTATTGTAGGGAGGTTAGGGGTGGATGGGTTATTGTGCCATTTAAGCTGGTTATCCTAGACAGTATATATATTTAATAACCTTGAATAGAGGATATGTTGTTTTTCTTTCAGGAGTTTTCTGTTACTTATACTCTCTTCTATGAGAAAGGTATGGCCTAATTCGTTGACCTGGCGATTTACCTTTTTGCTCTATGAAGTGAATAAGCACTCTCTGTATCTCATAATCATAAGCAAATCAATGGAAGATAATCTTTTTTTTATTAAAAATAACACGTTTACTAATAGTTATTGTTTGTACTTGTCGTGTTTCAGACATCACATTTATTGTGGTATCAGCTACTGAAAAGAATTTCTCAGTAGTAGTGTTGCATACACTACGATGTCTTTAGTAGAAATGAGATAAGCAACTAAGCTATAAACAACAGGAATAATTCATCCTTGTATTCAGAGCAATTAAAGACGATGAAACCGGTGACACAAGCGCGCAGAGCACGCATAAGATTGTCACCTTTTATCCGCATTAGTTGTTATCTGTCTGTCCAAATAAGCTTTTTCTCTACCACCATTTACCTGCTGTGTTGATTCCTTCTGGTATAATACGATTAACATAATTTTGATCTAAGTTACTAAGAATTGTATATATTCGCGTTTTTGTACACCAGGATTTATATACACACACGCATATATATGTATTATGTAACATTTGTCCTTGTTTTATTTACATTGATGCTTACCACGCATGATAATACTAGTATTAAATTGTTACTGTGTTTTTTTCTCTTTCTCTCTCTCTCTGGTCTATTTATTGTGATTGTAGCATTTGTCCGACCAGATGTGGATGAATCACATTTTCCGTTGTTTTCAGAAGATAAACTTGTCTTCGGTATATATGCATGTAATCTGTCCACTTTAACATTGAATAGAATTCGTAAAGTTTATAACCAATGTGATGCTAAAGCGATAGCAAGACAAGTAAGTTTATAGCACATATGTGTCATCAACTCAATAGATATATATAGTTGTTTGCTCGTTTGAAGTCACTTAATCAGAACAGATGTTCCCTGTACAGCAGAAGATTATTATTATTTTTTTCCCTTCACGTTCCCCAGTGGAACATAGGGCTTCAAGCTAGAGGCTTGAAGTTTCTGTAGCAGGGTTTATTTTACAGGATGGCGTTGCTAGCCTCATGCTCAACCTCTCCACTCCACCAGTCTTATTATTGGCTTAGCGAGGTAAAGGAGTGTGTCGGCCGGCGATCGAGCCCCGGACCATATGCATGGTCGGCGAGCGTCCTAACCGCTATACCACCGACGCACAACGGTAGGTTATTAGCTACATATAAGGATAAAACTTGGGCATTGTGGTAGAGTATAATTCCATTATGGATAAAATTTTATTTTGATAAAGTCACACAGTGTTTGTTATACAGTCATATTTACTGATGACCACGTTTCAAGTACAGTTTATTGCTCATAATCATATTAAGGTGCCTAACTCGATAAGCCATACAGACTGAACGCATCGGTAGTCCAGCGACACAGTGCTCGCCAATCACGCGTGTGGTCCGGGATTTTATCCCCGGCCGACTCACTCCTTAATCTCGCGTAGACGGTAGTTAGCCCTATAAAAACGGAAAATCGGGCGTGAGACTAGTGACACCACCGTGTAAGAAGAATAAACACCCACTACTAATGAAACTCCAAAGCTCAAGTTTGAAGTCCTGTGTTCTACTGGGAAAGCAAAGGACTAAAATATAAAAATAAAAAAGTAATAGTTTTTCACAGATGACTGGGTGTTTTTTTTTCGAACACTCAGGAATTTAGGTTGCCCAAGTTAGTCGTCATCTCTGAAAAATATAAGTTACGGGAAGTCAATTAATTTGATGGAGTAGTACTAACTGAAGTGTTGTTACCAACTAGACATAAAATGAAAAATTGTTGAAAAAAATAACTAACTATTTATACACGATTTCGAATATCTTATCAGCATTTAAAGTCGATTCTATCGATCCGATAAAACAAAAATACCATTTATTTGAAACATTCTAAAAATCAATAGTCTTTCTTTTCTCTTACAAAGAATGAGTATACTTCCTATGTAGTAAGATTAACGTGTCTTTTTTCTTCCTAAACTGGTTAATTCACGATAGTTTGTTTTCCCCTCTTTTACGAAACCATGTCGTTTATTTTCATATTGTTGGTTGCATGTGATCAGTTGGAACTCAGTTAATCAGAACATATTTTCCGTTTGGCAGGCTATGAAGCATTTGCACAGGTTAAAGGGACTGACTGGGCTTCAACACATAACTTTTGCCCAAAAGTGTAGCAGTTCAAGTTGCCAGATGCCGTGTGGCACACAAAGACAGACAAAAGAGGGAAAAATGCGATTCAAAGAAAATTGTAATCAACAGAAATGTGAGGAAGAGAGAATAGTGACAGGGAAAAACATGACGGTTACTTCTACGACAAATGATTACGTTGGCTGGGAAATGTCATATGAGCTTTTTGTTTACCTGCTGACATTTCGTCAGCAATCAGCCCTTTGAGCTGACGCAGCTTCCTAAATAAGCGAAGTGGTCAAACACGCTCTACCACCTCACTCCCCATGTTCAAGTTAGGAGCCGATGTATTCCAATTCTGTAGTATTATCTTACATTTGACAGAATCAAGTGAAGATTTCTGCTCAAGGTGTCCAGAAGAGACTGTGTTTTATCAGTGTCTTCAGCTAGCAAGAGGATGTTATTCACATAGTCTAGGTCGACGAGGTTCTTCCCTAGTAATAGGTAAATCCCTAGGTAACTAAAGTCATTTGCGATTAATTCCACTAGTACATCTATGATATATAATAATGGCGACAGTGGACATCCCAAATGGAAACCACTAGTTATCATCAATTCAGATTATAACTCTCCATGAGGTCTTACGTGGCTGACTGAATTCGAGTAGAGTGCCTTCATGGGTGCAATAAATATTCTCAGCACTCCCTTCACAGTCAAACATTTCTATAACCACTGTCAGCCGACTGAGTGTAATGCGCCGCCTTCAGCTTAAGAAATATGGTAAGTGTCGGACGCAGTAAATATAAGGTGTTCTAGAATCTGTCGATGGGTGAGATTGTTATCAAATACACCCTCTTCTCGGCATAAAGCCTACCTGAATTTATTGTGTTTGTTTCTCCCGAGCACAGCTTAATGTGCGCATGATTATTTAACCTGGGAGTTTGGATAACATATTAGTCAAACTGATCCCGCTATGATTACAACAGGAAGACGTGTCAAGGGTTCGAGTCCTGCTCCGGAAATTAGCTAGTATCGTCAGCCCTCAAATGATAAGTGTGGCTCTTAGCTTGGTACATGAGAAATGTGGTACACATGATTGAGCTTAAACAAACATTTGTGGCCTCTTTCCTACTACGATATTACTATGTTGATGTGGATCAGTAAATACGCAGTTATACAGTTAAGGTTATAAAGATGAAGGTCTATGCCGCCCAACGTTAAAATAATCATCCGTGGATATGTGTTGATCATTAGGCGGAGGTATCTGTTATCTTAGCAGTGAATACTTTTTACTGCTCAATCCAACATTGTATGAATCCAAAATTTTCCATTTTTTTAATCCTTCCATGCCTTTCGACGGGAACATTTGGCTTCATCAAATCATTGAAGTTCCAATAACGGTGTTACTGTTTTTTATGTGGAATAGGGTTGCTCGCCTTGTTTTCAATCTTCCCTTACTTTTGAACTAACTACTGGCTAGATTACTACGAGTGTGTCCGTCGGGAATCGAACTCGGACCTCTAGCGTGTCTGGCGAACATTTTTCCAATATGTGTAAACAATACCTCATCTAGTTCATCTTGTTTAATCTGTTAGTATTATAAACCTTTATAATAATTACATACGATGCACTCTGTTCTGAATAATTATTTTGTATACTGTTTAACAAAGTGGAGAGGTGACTTTAAACACTTAGCTTCCAGTCACATTGAGTCCTGGGTTCAAGTCCACTTTCATCTACTTGTGCGTAGGCAACTACATCATATCAGCCCCCCCGCCCCCCACACACACTGTGTTTGGTGAGCACAATAAAATCTAACTTGTTCTTGTGATCAACCAGTTTAGAATTATTTCTCTTACTATATATTTATTTGGTATATATTTTTATGTTTTGCTAATTTGTTCTCCTTCCTTCCCTCTCTCTTTCTCTCTCTGTTTAGTTTTATTTATCGCCTAAAGAGAATGCTACGCCTATACGTATATTACGTAATTCCGCCTTACATCTTAATGGTCCAGCTAGACCACTCGGTGCAGTACTTGTCGGCTATCAAGGTGTACGAACGTTTACGCCAAGTCCTGTTTGTCGACTGATTCATTGTGTAACAGGTGGTGAAGGCATGCGAATCGGTTTAGCATTAATTGCTATGTCACAAGATGTTGAAACGCTGTATGCTTCAAATAAAGCAGCGTGTACACTGCTCAAGTCTAATCCTGCTGCATCGATTGAAATGTTGAGAACTCAAGGCTATCAAGTAAGAAGTCTGTTCACAATTTTATGCATATATTACCTTACCTTATTTTCATTTTTATAGATATATGCTGTCCTACTAAGACGTAAACGGCATTTATTAACTACCAGAATATTGGATTCAATTCTCAGTTTAGCGTTGAATATGAATTCGTGGGCTGATAAATCCTTAACATATCAGGTTAGTTATATATATATATATCATTTTGAGAAAAAAAAAGTTCTATGAATAAATTTTATTAGTTTAAATTGTTTTTTTTCCTGCTCAGTGGATGTATGAATCGATACTTGGTGATGTGGTTGAAAATAGTCCACAGTGATGAATCGCTTCTATTCACTCCTTATTATTTACGAGATTCTGAACAATCTTGAAGGAAGGCATATCCCTTTTGAGATTCGAACCCAGCGCTCCAGTCAGAGACGTTACCACTGAGGTATTCGGTCTAGCGATTGATCTTCTGTAGGACAGTAATGGATATCTTTGACTGGACACTAAGTAGTAACTGATGATGTCAGGCGTCGTCTGTTGTTGGCACAGAGTAAATTCTGACGAGTACCAAAAAGCACGAAACCTAGGTCCAGAGCTTCTCCCAACCATCTGATAACGACAGTTCAGAGTGAACTGTGATGACGAGCCATCTAGTATTTCGGCCACATTTCAAACTTGACTGATGGAATTCACTCTGCGTCGGTGGCACAGTGGTTAGGACTCTCGCCGACCATGCACATGGTCCGGGGTTCGATCCCCTGCCGGCGCACACTCGATATCTATGGTCGGCCTGAATTTGGGCTACCGATATCCATGCTGAAAATTCCATACTTGTACTGAAAAGACGGTGTGGAATCAAGCTGTAAATCAAAGAAAAAAAACAGATGAATGATATTGGTTACTACTATCATTGCATTGACGTGATTGTCCTTCTTTTCTTTATAGTCATTCTCACCCATAGTAGTGTATCAATCTGTTCTGCTTGCGCTAATTGTGAAGGTATACATTTACTGCTGCTGGTTTTATATGAGTATTTTGAAATAACCAGTTGGGTTGTGCAGTATGGTTTTCTACAAGCTTACTGAAGTGGTCTAGACACTGAAGTATTGCTGTGCTCGTCTGAGACCGAGCCCATCATTTAGCTTATTCGGTTGGACTCAACAATTCAAACCAACCAAATTCTTGCTAGCGGATTGTTTGGTGATATCATGTCATATTGCTTGCTTCTTTATTATTATGACATGTGTGTCGGTAGCACAGGGGTTGGGACTCTCGCCGACCACGCACATGGTCTGGGGTTCGACCCCCTGCGGACGTATACCTGCTATCAATGGTTGGCCTTCAAAATTTGGGCTACATGCTGAAAATTCCATACATGTACCAAAAATACGGTGTGGAATCAAGCTATATTCAAAATATAAAATAAATAAATTTTAAGTTAATCACATATTTCTATCTGAACATTTTTTTGTTTTTCAAAGGAAATTGAGGCTAATTTTTGCCTTGAACTGTGTAATTTCATTATTGCAAATTTTGATCCTATAGCTAGTCAAATAGATGTATTTTTATAAAGTGATTGTTAGTTTCTGCTGTATCTTTCGATTTATGGAGACGATCGCGAGGAAGTTGTGGATCTACTTTTCGTGCTTAGTGACATTCGTCAGCAAACCGTATCTGCAGCCCTAAAAGAAGTGATGTCTTGTTGTACACAATGCTGCAGTCCAGAACGTTACCATTAATCTTTTTGGCCCCAGTTTCTACTTTTTGCCTATCAGATATAAAAAAAGTTAATGTCAGTCAGGAATAACTGAAAAGGGAAAATCAATATGTGTTGTATAGATTTTGTTGTTATTTACCTGAGACATAATCAAAAGTTAATACACAGTGTCACCGAAACCTGATGGTGTAGGATTCAATACGTTTCTACTGCTACTGGAATTTTCAGGCTCGGATGAAATAGCTGTGTAATTCTTCTAAATTGTGTGTCTTTAGTTTATGATGGCACCTTTTTTATTATTTGAATGTTTTGTCAAAACCTTTTTCAAACACACACACACACATTAAAACAAACATGTTCTTTTTCTCTGCAGACTTTCCCGTCTATTGATCATCCGGCATTTGAAGATTTAGTTTGTGATCTTGATCTCTGGCGAATTGAACGTCAGCTGACCAATGAATCAGAAATGCGTGTTCGACGTAACTCACTCAATGGCATGTCAAACAATGCGATGGATCAAAATCAACAAAACAGTATTGGTTCTTATGCATTGAATGATGATACAATACAGTTTATCGAAGATGACTACCAGCTAGTTGCTAATCTAATATCACATCTGATTGAATTATTACCGAATCCATTGCCAAAAACAACAACAACAACAACTGCTGCTGCTGCTAATACTACTGGTCACGGTAGTAGTAGCACTAATAGTAACATTAGCAGTAATCCAATGAATTCACCGGTTGATGGCAATGATAAATCTGAAGTGGTAAAGTCCTGCTTACAAATAATATTTATGCTTATTTACATGCCTTTTTATGGGGATAGGAGGAAGTGTTGTTCACATAGTGCTATTTTATCTCTTGGGGTTCGCGGTTCGGTCGGTTGGTCGGTTTTCGACACAGAACTTTGCACATATGTGCGGCAGTTCAAGTCGCCACACTCCACTCCATGTAGCACACAAAACAAGAGAAGAAAGTAGGAAAAATACATAATATAGTCAGTAAACAGAAGTGTGAGACAAAGGAATAGTAATAACGAAGAACAAAACAGTTTCATTGGAAATCATAAGTCACAAGGAGTGGATGCATCTGCAACAGCCATTGGGAACGATTTTGAGCCATATCACCAATTGTTTTCAACCATTGGTTTTTATCATCCCGAGGCCCCCAACTAGTCAGGAAGTCTACACCTTCCTACGTGGCTTAGACTAACTGTTGTAGATTTCATTGACTGGTGCCATGTTTTCGTTTGACCGCCGCTAGCTCTTTTCCAGCCTGACCCTATATCAGCTAACATTGCCCGTCAGTCGAGGAAGGCGATGACTAGGCATACGTAGCTCCTGTCCTAACCATCTCAGTTAAGAGATTTTAGCATGAACATAATGTAACGCTTGTTAGACTCACTTATTCCAGTTAGTCGTAGAGAGTCAAAACGACTTCGCAGTTCATGTCACAATATCCTTCTTAGAAGGCGTTTTATATACGTTTCATATACGAGACTTTTCGAATGAATCCTTAATTTATCGTTTGAAAGCTGAGAAGGATTAAGTGTCCCAGGATTTGATTGTGATTCACGAATGTAGCACAATGAGCTGTGCCCCAGTGTGCTTACAGAAAAAAGCCTCAAAGTCAATAGTAGATCACTTGAACGTCCATTGTATAAGCGATCCCCAGACACCGATAATAATTGTCAGGCGGTGGTGGTGGGGTGACTCAGGCGCTAACAGGAGTGTTGTCATAAAACAACTCTAAGACTGCTTCTATGTTTATTATGAACTGGTAACCGGATGCTGATACTTGCCGACTTGTAAAGTGGTTTGGCATAAACTCTTCTATCTGAATGAAAGTAGTCTAAGATTCTTAACAGATCACATGTAAAATAACTGCTACACATCATCGACGTATCAAAGTTAAGAGTAAATTCCCGCAGATTATAGCGTAACAACTATCCGTTGTTCAGTCGGTTTTGTCAGAATAACACCCTCACATCATCATAGTTAACATTAATTGGTGTTTTTTTTTCTGACTGTGATCCACTATGTCTTTTCTGCAGTTTCTGTATGACGGTGTTTCAAAACAAATTTTATATTGATCATTATTGATTAGAATAACGCAACAAGAATTCATTTTCTATCTTTAGTTATTCAAATTTATCGACGCAATTAATGGTATAGAGGTTACCAATTGATCGATATTACGCTATATAGATGAGGATGTGTTAAATAATTCTTTGATCATAAAATTGTAATAATGAATATATTGTTATTAGCGTTATCTTTTTTTGGTTAGAGGATTTCAGCATGAGCTGGCATCAGTCAGATAACCATTAAAAACCCTGGGAGTACTGGACAGCTGTTTCGTCCTAGTTTGGAACTCTTCATCAGTTTTGTTTTTAATTTCTTCGGTTTTATTCCCATGTTTGTTTGTTTATTTGTTTTGATAAAAGTTTTTTGTTGTTGTTGTTGAATGATCATAGATTATTCATCCTATATGGAATGTGATATTTGATCGGGTTATTTACTTACTGATGAATTCACACTCAAATTGGATACAAGGCAAGCATATTTATCACTTGGTGATTGATGTAATTGGCCGGAAAAGTTTTATGCATTCATGTTTATCATTTATACAACTGTGTTTATCGACGTATACATCATCGAAATGGATTTTAAGGTAAATAAAATCAATAAATAATAATAATAATTTGTTTCTTTATTAATATTAATGTGTTCAAAGGTAAATAGATAATGAAATATTTTTATGCGATATGTTGCCGTGTTTTGTTTTTTTCCCATCGCGTTACATGATGCTGGAAAAGCAGTCATGGTTATAAATATAATCTGTACGCTAGAGATGCTTTTAGTTTATATTTGATGGTTGGAGGCAGTCGGTAGGAGGAAAGCTTTGGACCTTGCTTGTCGGCACTCAACAGTCAGCAAGGCCTGTATCTGCACTCTTGAAAGAACTCATGTTACTTCTGATATTCGAACCCGCTTCAACCAATACTGCAGTCGGAGACGTTATAACTGAGCTATTCGGGTTGGCGATTGACCTCTTGTAGGAGGCTTTTGTCTCATATCCTAGCTACCTGTTTCCAACCTTTTCACGTGATCTGAAGTTTGTTTGAATTTGTTATCTAATTAATTGCTACTATTATTTGTTTATGTATGCATATATATGCAGTGAACTGTGGAATATTACTGACTGTGCTAGCCTGTTTTAATCGATCGATGAGATAACACGTAAACACACATCCATTGATTCAGTGTTACTAACTGGATTACGTTTCTAACACAGTTTCACTGCTCATAATCATGTCATATCATATTGATACGATTATTAGCGATAAATTGTGCACGAAGCATCGTCCAGTCGTTAATACTGTCTGTTATATAAAAAAACTTATCTAAACTGGAATTATATTCTGCTTCGCGGTGACAGTGTTAGCTGGTATAGGATCAGATTGGAAAAGAGCTTAGTGGCGGTCACACCAAAACATGACTTCATCAGTCATTGGAATCCATAACAGTTAGTTTAAGCCAACCAGCGAGCCAGACAGCCACGTCGGGAGGTGTAGACTTCCTAGTTGGCTGGTTGGGGTCCTCAGGATGGTAAGAACCAATGAAGGCAAGGCTGGAGAAAATTGGAGAGACGGCTCAAAGTCGTCGTTGTCAATGTCTGGCGCAGATGCATTCACTCTTTGTGATTTGTCATATCATCCAATAAAACTCTATTGTTCTTTCCATATTACCATTGTTTTTGCCTCATTCACATATCTGTTTATGATTACTCTGTTTACTTCTCTTTACCCTCTGCTCTTGCTTCGTGTGCTGCATGGGGAGTGTGACAACTCGATCTGCTGCACATCTGTTCAAGGTCATCGCGATGATCAAATTGTACTCTTACATTAATTAGTCGAACTCTGCTTATGAAATAGCATAATTATATTTACACAATAACTTAAAAAAGAATATGTTGTTAGAATTCAGGAATCCGGAACAGAATTCGTCAAATATGTATTTCAGGCTATGAGCTAATAATACTTCTTCTCATTTGCTCTCTGGCTGAATCAAGAACTACCCATTGACAGAAAGTCAATGTACCAAGAAATGTTGTAGTGTGAAACATTGAGTGTTTACGCGAAAGGTTAGGTGAAATACGATAAATAATTTTAAAAGCTTTGGTTGAGTCAACTTGGTGTCCAGCATCGACGAGATAAGTTGCCAAACCAAATTGGGATGTGTTCAGAAATTCGCCTGCTGAACTTGTCTGATCGTATGTCTAATGCAGATAGCTCGACGCGAGCAGTTAGACTGGTAAATACACAAAGAAGAGGCGAAACAGGGCCTTCATTTCTGGAACTAAGTATTGGGTGGCTGGTAAGTTTACTGCATAGCTTAGCTGCAATGAAAGTCCTTTTGCTGTTCCTTCTCAGACGTTGTCATAAGATCTCACTGCTGACATCACGCGTGGATTGTAATTTTAGGAAGACTGATATCTCGGGAACAGTGGGAACCTTCCACTTGATGTGTTTGTTCAAGAATTTAGTCGGATATCCGTTTCTACTTAGTAGATGACTAATATTACTGAGTTCTTCATCTAGTGTCTCATTTGAACAGATAACTCTAGCCTGGGGAAGCAGGCATGTAACCAGAATGGGTTTGGATCTCAGAGAAACGAAACTTAGATAGTAAGTATATTGTTCAGTTGGTGTAGGTTTCTGATACAGCCGTTTTCATATTGTTCCGTGTGTTCGCTTACTCATTAGAACATCCAAAAACGAGACGGAGTCATTATTTTCTCCTTCTTCTTCTTCTTCGTTGGTGAAACTTTTGGCCACAACACTCTTTCATCCTAGTTTGGGATGCATCAGAGGTGTGCAACCATTATCTCACCGGAGATTGAACTTGTGGGTTACTAGGCAAGTTCGTTTTTCATGGCGGATGAATTCTGATTTCTGACAATTCGTGATATTTTAACAATGTATCAGTTTCAAGAATTGTTACAGTTATCCTCTATATCAGTGTATTTATGAATAGGAGATGTTATAAAATTATAGCTGTGCACTACTCAGAGGAGAGGGGGTAACATACTGCAGATAAACTAACTGTTTAGGTTACCATTAGATAAGTAATTCGTGCACACTTATTTACTTACGCCTTCTGTTTGTTATTCACTTGATAATTCCGAAATAAATAATACCTAATTTTTCCCTTTTGAAAAAAATTCCCAATCAAAACAGATTTTGTCAATTAATTATTTGGACTCTGCCTAATAATTCTCAAACAAACGAAAAACTAATCTCACTAGATCAATCCTCCAGCGCTGATGACAATGCCGCTGCTGACGCTGTTGATCGTGAAGATACTCTTATGTGTAAGTTAATCTTATTGATTTTAACTTTGGCAAATTGACTGACAATATTGCACAAATATGATGATGGTGATGATAGTATGACTGGAAAAGAATTATAATATGATAAGATGATATCCAGCTGTCAACCGAAAGAAGTGTGTACTGCGCGGTAGTCCTCCGCTTTGTTCTTCTGTATGGCTGTGAGACATAGTCATCAAAAGTGTAGGATATGAAAAACCTGGCTATCTTTGACCACAGATGTTTACGTTGGTTTTCAGCTATTGCATCCCGAGTGCGAGTCCCGCGTTTTTGACATATTTCCATTTAAGTGACTGACTTGGTAGTATCATCAGATAGGATGAGTGTACTTTGATAAGTGATTATGAGCAAGAACTAAATAATACTGCAGCACTGTGTGGTTTATGAAATTTTGTGTTCTACCACCTGTGTAGTTAAGTGGTGCAATATGGTGTGAGGAATATTGAGGTTGGGTGTAGGGTGGTACTAGGTAACGAAGACAAGTTAGTAGATGGAGTTGTCAAGCTACATCAATTGAGAGATAGCTAGGACATGAGTTGCTCATGTGGTCAACCGTCTTCTTCTATGAGTAATGCCAGCTGACATAAGATCAGGTTGGAAAAGACTTTTTTTTTCCTTCACATTCCCCAGTGGAACATAGGGCTTCAACCTAGTTGGCTTGAAGTTTCTGCAGTAGTGTTTATTTTACAGGATGGGGTTGCTAGCCTCATGCCCAACCTTTCATCTTTACCAGCATTATTTCTGGCTCAGCGAGATAAAGGAGTGCGTCGGCCGGGGATCGAACCCCGGACCATATGCATGGTCGGCGAGCGTCCTAACCGCTATGCCACCGACGCTGGGAAAGACTTAGGGGTGGTAAAATCAGGAAAACGTGGCATCAATCCATGAAGTCTTTGACATTTGGTTTGAGCTGGCCATTTCGAAAGGTGCCAACTTCCCGATTAGGATCTTTGGGACGCTAAGAACCAATAGCTACATCGGCGTTTTTGTCTGTTCTCTGAGCTGGATGGTTTTCATTGGAAGACCCACATTATCCGCCGCTGGACAATTAAGTCTCCGAACTCCGTGATCACTCACATCAACACCAAAAATCATCCTCATGAGGTACAAATTGCTAAATCTGACACCCTATCATCTATCAAACTGTATAAAAGTTGTAAATAAATATGTGTTAAAAAAGGAAGCATTTTCGCTCAAACTCTATCTGAAAGTTTGAAAGTTGAATTTCCTTCCACCTTCCACACTGCCATTGAAACTGTAGAGCTTAAAGCATGAAGCAAGGGTATGGGAGAAAAATCATTCAGTCACTGATGAACAATTATTCTTCTCGACATAGACTTTATCACAAACCGGTATCAGGTAGAGAATTATTGATAACCTAAAAGTACTGAACAGTTGTTCCCTCCTTGTTTTATAGCCTCCTAAGCAGTGCTCGCCGATAACTCCGCCTCGGATCGATGGCAGAATCCTCAGGTTATGAAGTGAGCCTTTCGATGATTCATTTGGTATATTGGTAACACTTGGAAGTTCCATCGACGACCACTCGCTTCACATATGACATAAAGGATTCCATAGGCACCTCTGCTTCATCACATTCATTCTGAAGCCACTATTGATCCGTTGTTCAGTTTTTCTTGGTTCCCAGTTAAGTAAATTTAAACTCCTACAAATTCAAAATATGAATTTCTGTCCTATTTCAATTAAAAGTATTATTTTTATTTTTTTTATTTTTAAATAATTAGTGTCTACTGAACTGTTGCGAAATTTAATTATCTTGAGGAATCATTGCCTGGAAGTATTGATCCAGTTAATTACAGAAACAGACGGTATAAATGACAAGTAAGTTTTTTGACTGGGGAGAAATAAAAAAAGCTTTTGTATTTTTGAATCCCTTTCTTTTTCTAGGTGAATTCATTTATTGAATTTTATTGTTATTGATGTTGTTATCAGCTGGATGTTACAGCTCTCTGCTGTTGGAGCGCAGTGCTGGTAATTCAGATTTTCCACATGACCTCCAGTCGCCACCTATAACATCAATATTAGTCTGACAATCCAAGGCTATCCCAAATAGCCTCACCAATGATTGCAGTTCAAGGATGCGTGTGTGTGTGTGACGAATTACATTCTTATACTTGTTATTGTTGAATTTTACCTAAACAGCAGCAATGTTTCTGACTGCAGCTTTGTGTATACGCAGGTTCGAATTTCACTGGGGACATTAGTTCTCTCGAGTCTGCATATATGTCTTGCTGATTGACAAGTGCCAGTCGACACGAAATTTAGGTTCAGAGCTTCACACTCATTCCTCCCAAATATCCCTTAATTATTCAAAGTGCACCGCGCTGGCGAGTCACCTAACTTGGCGGTCATACTACAAGCCTAACTGATAGAATTCAGCCTATGCCTAACACTGTGGCCACTACCTTAATAACACATTTATGCAGGCTTTTGTAAATTAATGCTTTCTTTTCACGAAAAATAGTATTAGTAGTGTGTGTATGTGATTGCTTCATCTCACTGAAGTGCATTACTGCATTTGTTTCGATAAGCAAAACAACAGTTGTGAGATAGATGGTACCATCATTTATCTCGTTGGTTTTACATCAGTTGCTTACCGCCCTAAAGAAATTATTATTAAGTTTGTGTACAGAATAGTTTTAAAATGCTTGTAGATTTTACGTGATTTCAGTAGACAAGAGGCTCCAAAACTAATAAATAGTGCTCAGAAATTACATTCCTGCAGTTTTTACCTAGAGAGTTCAAGTATAAACAGAAATCACTGTATGCATACCATGGTAAAGGGGCTACGTAATCAAAACAAGAGGTGAGTAAGATGTTGAGTACCTAATATAATATTGATTAGCAATATAGTAAGTTCAACTGAAATCATCGAAACAAGAGACAAACAAATTTACACTATAATAAAGGGGGAAGGTTAAAACCAAAGATTACGTAACCAAATTAAAGAGAGAGAGAGATAAACATGCAGTTACCAGGGCTATAAAATGCTGTTAACTACTTCTTTCTGAACACATAAATCGTGTTTCAGGGTTTGATGGCGATTACTTCGACAAACTCGAGGAAAATTACGCTATTTTGTCTATTAATAATTTTAAGGGATTTCACAATGTCCACCTGATAACCCGTATTGATGAGATATCTGGCAGTGGCACTATTCTAAGCATTTGTTTGAAACGTAGGCTTTTTGGTACGTGTTCAGAAAATCGGAGGTATGCCCTTCTTTCTGTTCTCCCAATGTAACTGCTCGCGCAGATACATGTAAGTTTGTATGCACAGTTAGAGTTAACATGAGAAGGGTATCTGTCGACCCATTATTGCACCAAAGAGCCTGTTGTCCGATGAACAGGAACCAACTTAGCTGTGGGATAGATTGTTCTTGCTTTACTGAAATTCATAAAGTGGAACCAATCAATGAAGTTTCTGTCTCATCATCAACCAGAGGTGACCTGCACTTCATTACATGACTCTGACTAACACTAATTTTACTTATTTAAGGCTTAATATAATAAATACTACCTGACTATTTAAACTGTAATAAACGGTACAGAATGAAAAGTTGAAACTACACAAGCAAATGAGTCAGACTTCTTGTTTTATTTGAATAGGCTTTTTTCCCCAGTATATAGTAGAACTGGAAGACAGAGTTTCTGTTAGGCGCCAATATAACAAAAAAAGCGATAAACACATTTTAAAAGATTATTCATTTTTGATTGTTTGAACCTTTTCTTGGCTTCATTTTAAGTATATCCCATTAAATGAAAGGTAAATACACTAATAAACACATTAATCCCTAATATATATATATATATATATAAAGTGTTCAGTAAACTGATTTTTTGCAGTACCATTACTATTGTACCGAAAACTGGTACATCAGTGACTCAGTGGTAGAATGCTTGCTAACCACACAAAACGATCTGGGGTTCGATTCCTGGCCGATACACTCTTAGATCCTCGCCCCGTTAGCTAATCGACAGTGAGCCCCCCTAATGATGGACGTTGGTGCGTAAGAGATCTGAAGATATGAAGGACCTACATACTACAACTTCTTTTAGAATACCTAAATCAGATTTTATCCATAGCAATAGCATCTATGAATCTTGAGTGGCTTAAACGCGCTTATTGGTTTGATATCTTGAAGGAATTCAAATTGTTGACGTCCATAACCTGGGTTAACAGGTGTTATGTACCTACGTCGAAAGTTTGACACATCTGTTCAGAAAGTGTAAACTAGCCTTTACTTTCTGTTCTTGAAATTTACTAAATTCGTATTATACTGTGTTGGTTGGAAGTGGTGGGGATTTTACGAGTTATCGCACAACTCGAAGCAATGGCTTCCTCCTGGTCATTGGACATTCCTACTGACCGACTGAATTACACCGTATCCTATGCTAATTCCAACCTAAATTTGATGTACTTTAATCTCATATTGTTAGATGGTTGGAGGTAATCGACAAGAAGTTATGAATCTAGGTTTCGTGCTTATTTGCTCTCGCCAGGAAGATGTGCCTGCGATCTTGAAGGAATTCCTGTCCCTCCTGTGAGGCGTTACAACTTGGCTATTCGCACTCTCGATTGACCTTTTGTAGGAGTGTAGTCGATACTTTCATTGAACACTAGTGTAGTGAATACTATCATGCGTTTAGTCCTTGCCGTTAGTACAGACTAAATTCGTTCTACCAATCAAATTTGCTATTTTACCATTTTGGATGGCTCCCCACCACGGTCCAACATGGCTTCCCACTGATTGCCTTCAACACTAAATTCTGTTATATTATTAAACTTTAAGAATTATTTAATTGGAATCTTTTAGTCTACGTTTTATGGTTTTTCGTTTTCACTCTTCATCATTAAGTGAACGTATATGTGTTTATATGTGTGAACAGTGTGAAGATTATGTGGTTAATTAATTTCCCTATTTGTTTGAAGATTCTAATCATTTGTATCTCTCTCTCTCTCCCTCTCTTCCTCTTTCTTGTCTAATTATAGATTTTGCAATGAATTGCTTAATGCAATCGGTTATGATTGGTTCTATTTATTATTACGTCCAAATATTCATTCAACTACTATTTCGTATGCTTTACATTTATTATTATTATTAATATTAAATTCGGGTAATTCATCATTAGTGCTGAATTCTTCATCAACAGTACAACAAAGTTTATCATTTATTCTGACACAAATTGAATCCATTGATACTTCGAATACTACTACTACTACTACTAATAATAATAATAATAATGCTGATCAGTTGTCAACAAATTTTCTACAAAAATGTTTAGAAAATGATCGTGTTATCGCATTTCGATTAGGATGTCCTGCTGGTCGATGGTTACGTGGATGTGAAATATTGTTGAAGAAAAGACATGGCCTATTAATTGGTGAGTGTTATAGTGTGATTGTGAGTAATTAGGTCGTTATTATTATTATTACTATTACTATTATTATTGAATAACACATATTAAGGGCTCAGTTACACAGAACAGATTTCTCATATATATGTGAAGTGGTAGAGCGCGTCAACCACTTCACTTATTTGGGAAGTTGCATCAACCCCAACGGGTTGATCGCTGATGAAATCTCAGCACGGATACAGAAGGCTGGTTTCGCATATGCCAGTTTACGCCGTCTCTGGCGTAGACGTGATATCCGACTGGCTATCGACTAAAGGACGTGTGTACTGCTCAGCAGTCCGCTCCGTCCTCCTTCATGGGTGTGAGACCTGGCCATTGAGAGTGGGAGACATGGAAAGGCTGGCTAGCTGGCTTTGATTATAGGTACCTGCGTTCTATCTCCCGTGTGAAGTGGTATAATAGGGTGAGCAATATTGAGGTTAGGCTTCGGTCGAGTGCTAGGTAAGGAGGGGAAATCAATCGACGAGGCTGTGAAGTTACATCGATTGAGATGGTTAGGAGATGTGTCACGCATGCCTAGCCATCCATCGCGTTCTTCGACAATGGGTAATGTTAGCTGACTGACATAGGATGCATCAGGTTGGAAAAGAGTTAGCTAGTGCTGGTCAAACGAAAACATGGCTTCATCAGTCAATGGAATCCAAAACAGTTAGTTAAAGTCACGTAGGAAGGTGTAGACTTCCTAGTTGGCTGGTTTGGGGTCCTCGGACGGTAAAACCAATGACTGGAGACAATTGGTGAGATGGCTGAAAATTATCATTATCAGTGTCTGGTGCAGGTGCATCCGCTCCTTGTGACTTATAGCTCCCAGTAAAAATATATTGTCCTTCGATATAACTATTCTTTTTGCCTCATATCATCTCTGTTTACTGTTTCTATTATGTATTTCGTCTACTTTCTTCTCTTACTTTGTGTGCTACATGGAGTGTGGCGACTTGAACTACTGCACATCGGTGCAAAGTTATGTGTTGAAACTGGTCAGTCATATATATATATATATATATATATATATATGCATATCAGGCTACAAGCCACTCTTGTTGCGTCTGACAGCTGATAATACTGACCAATTGTTGATCAAGGGTTGAATTAAGTGTGGGATGTACAGGATTCGGACCCACCCACAGGGACTATGAAAAGATTCATTTCATTCATTCGAAAATGAGATGTGACGACGAAAGAGTTTGAGTTCGGTAAGAAAGTTTAGACTCCCTATTTGGGGTACTCAAGGCGCTAACAATCATTGGCTTAAAACTGTTGATAATGTAATATGGTTCAAAACTGTTTCCAGTAGCGCTGATGTATTCCCGATTTGTGATCTCACAAATCCATTAAATCTTCATTGTCTTTCCATATTACAATTTTTTTTCTGCTGTACATTTCTGCTTAATATATATTTTTTTAAGTTTCGTTTCTGTTTCCTCTGCATTGAGTGTGGCAACTTGAACTGGTGCAAAGTGTATCCTGTGTTGAAAATTAGTCACTCAGATGAAACTGCGACAAATAAGAACTAATCTCATGGAAAAAATAACTAAGAAAATGATACAAATATAAGTTGGATAAAAATATGTAGTTTTTTTACTAACACCTTATCATTTAAGATCTTTATATTTTTTAAAATTTGAGATAGTAATAATTTTCAAAAATTAGTTTGTAGGCATTCTGAAACAAATAGTACTAATTGCTTGAACTTTGGAATAAAGAAGAATGCTGATGTAGATAGAATAATGAATGCTTTAATAGAAAATCTGAAGTGTGTAGACAACCCACAATTCTATTCATATTTACAGACTGGTGTAATTTTTTGATCTTCTGGGATATTGTGAACAGATATCTGTTGTGTTTCTGTGGTGTTATACTCAGTGATGAAAATTTATCACCAGTTGAATTTAGGCACATCAGGTTAATACGCGAAAATGTTACTTGATACCAGTTAGAGAGCCATTAAAAAACCGGTGGGGAGTACTGGACAGTTGTTTCGTCCTAGTACAAGACTCTTCATCAATAGGTACCTACCCGGTGCGAACGCAGGACCTTCCAGGTAAAAGGCAAGCTCGTAGATCATTCAGCCACTGGGGTCCAACTCAATGGTTCATGAATTCTCACTTCTACCAATTAGTGATATCACCGATTACACTCTCTCTCTGAAATAATTGTTTGTTCATTATTTATAGTTGTATGTGTGTCTACATTAAATTTGTCAAACGAAAATACTACTAGTAAGTTCAGGTGGATTGGATGTTGATATTAGAAGATATTAACCAAAGTGATGAGTTGTCACAAACGGTTGTTAAAGAAGAGTTACGTAATAACATGAATAGTTTGATCAAAGAGTTGTGCTCAGGGTGTACATGGAAACAAAATAACATAAGGAATTACGCAAGGGTTTCAAGTAGTTTGAAAAATAAGCATACAAACAAGAGTTAAGTCAAATCAACGGCGTTGTTAACATGAGAGTAGTTGAATAATTACCATGAGAGTGGTTGAATAATTTTTTTTTGTATGCATAGTTCTAGTTCGTCCAACTGAATGGCTAGGGCTTCTGCAATGCAAAGAAGACGGAAATGTATTGTCTTCAGCAGGTTGTTCTTCACTTTGTAGATTACTTAGAAGCAGGAGGCGTTTGTTGAGATAGAATGACCAGTGTTGACGAGATGTTCGATTATTACACTCCGTAACGTTATACGTAAGTGAACTATAATGCGGTGGTTCAGTTTTATACACTACTACAACTGCTGAAACTTCGACAACTTCGTTCTTGAAACCGTATGTTCCACTGGGAATGCAAAAAGAATGCCAATTGAAAAAAATGAATATATTTCAGTAAAACTTAGATTAATCACCTGACTGAAATTTAATGAATTCACTTGAATCCTGACTGACTGAGTTTCTAAGTAAAACATTTCACAAATGTGCACCAGTACAAGTTGCCATATTTCGCAATGCACGCAGATTGAAAAGAAAAGAAGGTAGATTGGAATTCAATTGAACTATAATAAGCAGAAATGTACAAGAGAAGTAATAATTTTGGTGTGGTTGTGTTCTCTGAGCTGGATGGTTTGGTTGCGAAGCTTTCATTGCTCTACTGAGCAACATCTTCAGCGCATACTTCACATAGAAGTAATAATTACATTGAAAAACGGTTTTCAGCCACATCACAAACAGTGTTAATCCATCAGACCTTAGTGTCTTGAGAATCCTAACCAAGCATTATATACCTACCTACTTGACTCAAACCAACTCTCAAAGACTTATTGGATTGATCCTACGTTTCGATTTGGCCATTCCAAGCTCTTTTGATATGTTAGGTAAAATTTCCGGTGGGTTAGCATGCCTAACATATACCCTAAACACCTCTACCAATGTAGCTTCACAACCTTATTTCCAGATTAACAGATTTTGCGTCTTTTTCTTCTGGTTAACAACATTAATTTTGCCTTTTCACTGACAATTGTGTATATCTTATTATAAACACTAATGCATATTTCTGCTTTAATTCTCTGTCTTTCTCTTTTTTAATTCATTTTTATGATAGATAATTCTAAGAGTTCAGCCAAGCGTAAACCACCACTTCGTTATACTTCAGCACTTCGAGATTTGAAATTATCATCATGTCAACAACCAGGATTTATTATACTGCAAATTTTATTACCATATCATATGAATTTAATTGAAACATTTCTATTCCTTTTTGCATTATTATTAAAGATACCAGTGAGATCTATACCACAAAATGCAAAGGTAAATATTATTTGTCTTTTTAAATATTATATGTACGTATATGTATGTACCTAGTTGGAGGTGTAATAGTAATTACAGTCACGACACAATTCGAACCGACAGCATGCTTCTGTGACTGGGCTTCAGTTCTATTTAAAAGCGCAAAGCAGGCAAATTTCATGCTTCTTGTTTTGAATTATCTTTCATTAAAATTTCATAATGTGTAAAATATTTGATGACAGGAGGCAGTCAGTATGAAGCCTTGGATCTAGGTTTCATTCTTGTGGGCACTCACCAGTCAACAAGGCGTATCTGCAATCTTAAAAGAACTCATGTCCCTTCTCAGATTCGAACTCGGGTCACTCAGTGGTGCAGCTAGAGAGAGACCTTACCACTGAACTACTCAGACTAATGACTGATCTCTTGTAGGATTATAAGGGATACTTTGATTAGCCACTAGGTAGTAACGAATGTCGTGCATCTAGTCCTGGGTGTGTTGCTGCAGACTGATGTAGTTCTTAAATAAGACAGAATACCACTCCTACTGTAGGTCGGTATGAATGAAATTCATAGTTGAAAAGAAAGAAAATATGTTCCCCTCTTTATGTTCGTCTGTTTGAAAGATATGTAAAATCTACCATGAATTAGAGAGACTCAGTCAGACAAAGAGAAACTCTTTCCAAAAATGATCCACCCTGCCGGATTCATCTACAAAAGCATATTGGTACTGAATGCCTCCTCTCGTTAGAATTCACACAATCTTGATGTAATCGCTGTTTAGCATATTAGATATCTTCAGTGTGTTTGACTGAATAGAATGAAAGAGAAAGAAATATCTTTAAATAAATTGCATGAAAGAATCCGTATAGAGTTTAAGAAATCTTGCTATAAAAAAAGTAACAGTGGTTGGGCTTGCGTTGAATTGAATAGAGAGATACTGTAAGGCGTGGTCAATCGCTTTTCCTTATTATTATTAATATTATCACTTTATCTCTGAGTTTTTAGAAATTTTTCATTATTAACTAATGCATTAGAATGAAGAAAATATCTTTTCGGTGATTTAATCCTCAGTGTGTTTCTATACTCCATTCCGTTCACACTTGTCTTCCTCAAAAACTGTTTTATGCATTGAGCAACTGTGCTTCTAATCCTATGTTATCTCGTTTCTGCGGTCCATCCTTGTGATCTGTATTCATCTGCCATCAGAACTCCCTATCAAATTTAAACGTTTATTTCATTTTGTCGTTATTATGTTGAATTAAATAATACCTGTAACTTATGTGAACTTATGTATAAAAACGCGATTATACAGCTTCTTACTGCAAGATTACCGAGAAGATATCTCTAATGAACTTCTGGTTGTTTCTCTTTCAGAAAGAACATTAACTAGGCGTTGAATCAAGTTCTCAATTTGCAAATTAAGTTGTTATTGACACAAAATGTGATCTGCTTGATATTCATAAGTGGTGATCAAGGAAGCAAGCATAAATACGTTGCAACTATATATTACTGACTAATTAATTATGAGTAGTTGTATACCCTATTCGCATCAACCAGTTGTGCTTGCTAACAAAATTATCGAAGTGATCTAAACATCGGATGGCCATTCAAAACACTCGAATTGCGAAACTACTTGATGACGCTAGTGGTTTCTTACCACTCACATCTACTGCCGGTGTATACACCATCTTACGAATTGCGAATTCTACTTATGGTGTTATTAGTTTCGCCTAAATAGCTAACCGGAAATCGAATGGTTTGAAATGCCTCGACTTTCTGAGCCGTGTCAAATCCATTACACTGATGATGAGCTCGCCTACAAACGAGCGTAACAACTATTTGATGTTTAATTTGCTTCTTTAATCTCGTTAGCAAGCACTGTTGGTTGATGCGAGCAGTATACAACTCAGTAGCATATGTTGATTAGACATGTTTGATAACTCATTTAATTTTTCTTTTCTTTTTTTTCTTTCTTGTGTTTTTGCTTTCTTTTTAGTTTGATTTTGATACATTTTATTCATTAATTTCGTGTGAAAATAATTGTATTTCACCGACACTGATTAAACGTGAAGTGAATTCTACTTCAGTTGATCGGTCTATGCATTCCACATCATCATTTATGACTTCTGCACCGACAACTTCGTCTTTCTCCAGTAGTACTGGTAATAATACAAGTGTAAGCGGTATAGTTAGTGGATTGTTTAGCGGATCTGGTGGGAATCGTCGAGCTGGTAACACTGCTGTTTCAATGGGGATGACGTCGTCGTCTATACCAGGAAATCCTAAAATTAATAATAATAATAACAATAATACTAATCCCAATATAAGTCATTCACAACTAACAACAACAACAACAGGAGCAAGCAATAATTTATCAACAGCATCGACAATTATTCCGTATTCAAATCAAGTTATATGTCCAGAAGCTGGAACTCTGATTTTACATTTGATTCGTCTATTTGTCTATGAGGTAATGTCTATGTTATTCCCCTTGTTTTATAATCTTTTTTTGTAAAATATAGAACTGTACGATTTGCTTTATTTTTAAGCCTGTCGACTTTTTCCCCCCGCCCAAGTTGTAATTCTTTGATGCGTGTAAACTGTACGATAATTCTTTCTGTCGTTTTTTTTTCTGACAGATTGTAATATATCTCTGTCTCCTCAAATAATGTTTTACATAAAAATATTACTATCTGAATAGTGAGTACAGAGTGATATAGGCTTCGCGTGATTTATAGCATAACATTAGGTGTTCTTACTGTTGAATCTCTTACACTTCTAGTGTTCGATTATATTGAATGTGTTTTAGTGTTCTGAATTGAAGCACTAATCACTCCAGACTCTATTATGCGACTGGATAATTGATAATATTTGGATGACAGCGATTTTATATTGCGAAATGTGACAGAATTTAAGAGGAAAAACACATTGGAATTGCAATCGGTTCTCTTTTGTAGGTCAGGGCATAATTTCATGTATTATCTACAGAATCGCTGCAGTTATGCATGTACTATGTGTTCTAAGGAACCGTAGATTATTTTAAGTGAACCACTCACGGTTTCCGGTTTCTGGAAATCTTCGTCACTCACCATCAACAACAAAATTCGGATTTTCAATACAAACGTCAAGTCAATTTTGCTTTACGGATCAGAAACTTGGCGGGTCACCAAGAATATTTTCAACAGGTTGCAGACCTTTATCAACAACTGTCTTCGCTCCATACTGAAGATTAGATGGCCGGAAAGAATCACAAACAAGAAGCTATGGGAACAAACGAAACAGGAACCAATCGCCCAACAAATATGCAGGAGGAAGTGGAGATGGATTGGACACTCACTGAGGAGGCCGTTGAGTGACATCGCGCATCAGGCCATCACTCGAGTGGAACCCGAAAGGGAAGCGGCGAGTGGGACGTTCAAGGGTGACATGGAGGAGATCGTGTGAGGAGGAGATGAAACAGTATGGAATAACATGGACGCAAGTGAAAAGAACAGCAGAAGACAGAAGCAAGTGGAGACGTGTAGTTGAAGCCCTATGTTCCACTAGGGACCCAAGGGAACAATAATAATAACTCACGGTTTCACCGTTTTAAGCTGTGTACTTAGAAATCCATAGCCTAGTCTCTGAGACAAGCATATGGCCACTAGCAGGATCAACCAGCCTATTCATCACATCAGGGTATACCGATTGATCTTGGTTTTCACGAGAATCAGACAGTCATCCTAGGCTTCTGGAAACATGTTATTAATTAAATGAATCCCATGACTGTGAAAATGACGCTGCATTTAGTCAGCAACGGGGATCTGAAGTGACAGTTCCACATCAATACACACTATATTTCAACTTTTAGTAGGATCAAGACGAAAAGTTCTGTGAAGCCAGTCACACTTATCGACTAATTAAATGTGATTAACATGCTTCTAGCTGTTTGTTATAACCTTTCTCACACACTTACCCATGACGGAGTCAATGTAAACCGGTGAGTTCCGAATTCAATGAGGAGCGAAAGCTGCACAAAAGGAAACTTACGAAAAGTCTCCGCAACCACCGTGAACAGTGGTGGGTGACAAAGGCGAAAGAGATGGAAAAAGCATCGGCGACAAGCAACACTAGACAACTCTTTAGACTCATCAGGGAAACGGGCGGGAGAAGGCAAATCATAAGTGAGACTATTTCTGAGAAAAATGACTCCTTAATTAGCTCTCAGGATAGACGCCTCGAACGCTGGAAAGAACACTACGAGGAACAATTTAACTTGCCTACAGCCAAAATGAGCCTCCCCGCCATCCAGCACACACCCGAATGGGATATAGACACTGGCCCGCCGTCTGTAAGTGAGGTCACGAAAGCTATCCGTAGTTTGAAACGAAGCAAAGCGGCAGGACCCGACGGAATTATTCCGGAGGTGTTTAAATATGGGGGTGACATACTAGTATATAGTTTAACTAAGGTACTAGGTAACGTCTGGGAATCAGAGACGGTTCCATCAAACTGGGGTAAGTCACTTATTATACCAATATTCAAGAAGGGAGACAAGTCCTCATGTGATAATCATAGAGGAATCAGCCTGACGAACATAGTCTCTAAAATCCTAGGCTCAGTAATCATGCACAGACTAAGCCGAACTCGGGAGGAATAAACGGAAGAAAATCAAGCAGGCTTTAGACCAAGTAGAGGGTGCATAGATCATATCTTCACTCTCCGACAGATCCTAGAACATAGACACGCTTTTAGGCGTCCAACAATTGCCATATTTCTTGACTTGAAGGCGACCTTCTACTCCGTGGATAGAGAGGTTCTATGGCAATTTTGACTATGAAGGGAGTGTCAAGAAAGTACATTGCACTAATCAAGGCACTCTACTCAAACTCACGTAGCTGTGTAAGGGCTTATGGGGAACTGTCATCTGAATTGATAACATCCAGTGGTGTCCGTCAAGGATGTCCACTTTTCCCTTTTCTGTTTAACTTCATCATAGATATGCTAGTGGAAGTATCCTTAACTGAACTTAACGACTTAGGAATCGACTTGTTACCAGGGAATAGTCTTATGGACTTAGAATATGCAAATGACATAGTCCTGTTAGGAGAGGACGCTGACAAAATGCAGAGTCTTCTGAACACCTTGAGCAGCAATCTTCGTATGTTTGGCATGCGATTCGCCCCTGTGAAATGTAAGATGCTGCTACAGGACTGGACTACGTCAACTCCTAGCTTAATGATAGGGAGTGAAGTGATAGAACATGTTGACCACTTCACCTATTTAGGAAGTTGTATCAGCACCAACGGATTGATTGATGATGAAATCTCAGCACGGATCCAAAGAGCTCGGGCTGCTTTCGCTAACTTACACCGTCTCTGGCGTAGGCGTGACATCCGGCTGTCAACCAAGGGACGTGTGTACTGCTCATCAGTTCGCTCCGTCCTTCTCTATGGCTCTGAAACATGGCCAATACGAGTTGAAGACATGAAAAGGTTGACTGCTTTTGATCACAGATGTTTACGATCTCTTTCTCACGTTAAGTGGTATAATAAGGTAAATAATGTTGACGTTAGGCGTAGAGTGTTGGGCAAAGAGGGAAAACCAGTCGACGAGGCTATAAAGTTACATAGATTGAGATGGTTAGGTCACGTGCTGCGCATGCCTAACCATCGTCTCCCCCTCCCGATGGGCATTACTAGCTGATATAGGCGCAGGTTGGAAAAGAGTAAGTGGTGGCCAAACAAAAACATGGCATCAATCCATGAAATCCCTGACAGTTAAACTGAGTCAGGTAGGGAGATGCAAACTTCCGGGCTGGGGCCCGCCTTTGGGACTCTAAGAATCAATGGCTGGAGACAATAGGTGACATGGCTCAAAATCGTTGTCAATGGCTTACGCAGATGTATTCAGTCTCTGTAATCTTTCATATTCCTTTCTACCATTACTCATTCTGTTTCGTTCTTATACTGGTCAAAACTCTATTGATTCTGTTTACTCATCTTCTTGTCTACCTTTGTGTGATATTTGGAAGGTGGCGACTAGAACTGCTGCACCTCGGTGCCAAGTTCTATGTTGAATCCAGAGAGACAGACAATGTAAACCTGTACATCTCTGACAGGAATTTTGTATACATATTTTTTCTGTTTTTGTTTAAGTTATCCCTAGGTGATAATTTATTTTCCAACGGTATTAAATGTTGTTTTTATTGTATTGTTTAAATTCGTTGCTTTGGATTGAAGTTTCTTATCTTACTATTTTATTTCATAACAGAGAGCATAAAATTCATACACAATTTATAATTCTCTCCTTATTGTTGTTTCTTTTCTAGCCTGAGTCTTTGCGACATTTGAAATTATCAGAATTCGCCTATCTGATGGAGACAAAACAGACTAACTTACAAGAGAATATAAACTCAGCTATTGTTATGCTGAAGTTCTTAATTTATCTATATCAATCGAAACCAACAATTCGTTTGGCTTTTATAACACCAGGTTTATTGACAAATTTGATCGGTTTACTTGTTCCTTTCACTAGTCATACAAATGATCCATCTGCGCCTTTAAAACATTCCGTAAGTTGAAATCTCATCTATTTGCGTGTGTGTCTGTGGGCTAGTTTTCGTGGGGTGTTTATTGTATAGTGCAAGTTTGCATCACATCAATTTGTTCCTAACTCTTGATGGTGTGATTTCAAAGAAGACTCTAAAGGAGTTTGACACATCGAACTGTATACTTTGCAGGTATTTTCAAGAAACAACTAGTCAGAATTTGAGTAGTTTCAAATTATTTAGTCATGTGAGCTTAGTCATTCTCTGATGAGCGTGGCCCTCGAAAATAGTGGTCGCGCTACTCTGACTGACGTAAGCAATGTCCAGCTACTCATGTCAATCAGTAGTATGTATCCTATTGGTTTTTTTCTGTAGTATCAACCCGTTGTTCCCATTCGCGTCGTACTTGAGCGATCGCTTGGCGAACGATCTCATTCAACGGTCTCCTCAGCGGGTGTCCGATCTATCTCTATTTTCTTCTGCATACATGTTGGACAACTTTCTTTGCTAGAGTTCCTTATTTCTTATCGTCTACTGTGTGTATATAAATCAGGGTTTTCCATTCGAATCACTAAGGCCTCAGCAATGCAAGTGTACGGAAGTATGTATACCGTTTTCGGCAGGCTTCTGTTGACTTTTTGGATAACTTTGAATGAATTCCCTCTACATTTTGAGTGGTCAGTGTTCAGTATGTGTATTGATCACTTATAACACTCCTCATTGATCCATTTCTAGTTTTTTTTTGTAGGCAAGCGAGATAATCTTCATTGACTCTTTTAGATAAAACATGCATCGAATGACTCATTTATTTCCCCTTACAGGAGCAACGGAATTGTTACATACGCATAGAAGTAGTCAAATGTGTTAAGGGTTTGTCCTCATAGTTACTGGAGGATACTAGGTGACAAAAAGTACCATTCCTTATGTAGGCGTAAAGAATGTTCATTTCAGAGCGTTTAATATTGTCTTCTTCAGCGTGTTGGCCAGATGGTCGCCTTTGAACACCACATTTATGTATATATAGTATCTTCTGCGCAGAGATGTGGTTTTTTTGATTGATCGCTTCAGGGTCATTTGTGGAATAATTTTCATGTGAAACTGTATCCTTTAACGTCGTTTTTATTCAATTTCCGGAATTAGTCAGTTATGAGGTGGTTTAAAAAAAAAACTTCTGTGGTTCTCGTCAACAAACATGTTTCCTGATGTGTTTTTGTATGTATTTAGAGCTGATTGGTTTAACTGCGAAGCTTTCATTTTCCTTCTGCACAACATTTTCAGCGCAGAATTCTACATAAAGTGAACCAAATTATTTGAATTCCACATGATTTGTTTCTTTTTTTATTGAATTTAAATTAAAAAATTTCATCTCATCAACTGTCTTTTTAAAAAGATCTTACCTTTTGTGTATTTTTAGACGTCAGTTTATAGAAATTTCAAAGAGCCATCGTATTCAGTGTCAAAGGAGGATTGTCAAGAGAATCCATTGCATCAAATTACTCTGGATTTTATTAAATTAATTGTATCCGATAGTTTTGCACTGCATCCATCATTTCATCAACCTACACATATTGTTGATATACTATTAGAAGTAAGTAACGCGAAACAGTTATCTTTGTGTACGTGTGTGTGTGTGTGTGTGTGCGCGTGATTTCACAATTATCTTTGGTCTAGTCACGTAGTCTGAATGCAGTGAAGTGTTGTATTCGCCTGACTCCTACTGTTTATTGGATGACTAGCTAAATTGGTAGAAGTTCATGGGCTGGCCATTGTGTCGGGTCTCAGTGGTTAAATTGTCTACGAACTTGCCTTGTAACTGGAAGGTCCTATCTTCGAACCTCGTGGCTGCGTATGCGTCGATACAGCTGCCCAGTACTCCCCAGTGGTTTTCAATGGTTCTCTAACTGATATGAATCCATGGTCAAAGTTGAAATAAATCAAAACCCTATTAACTAACTCTTAAATTCTTTTGCAAGAGTAATTTCATGTACATGCCTTATACTACTGCCAATTAAACTGTTATTATTGTGCTAGAGAACTCTTACTTCATTGATGTTGTTTTGTTTACCGTAATTCATCTCTTTATGGTCTTATTGCTAGTGATATAGTGAAGACGACCACACTAAAATGGATTTTATGTTAAACTTAAATAATGATAAGGTTTTGCTAAGTATCACAAACACTGCATTAAGAGATGAGAGCTCAATGGGACACTTTCTGTGTTCGCGTACTGTCTCTCCACCAAGTAATTATGAATCAGGAATGAAAAATGGATTTTTAGTAGGATATATATTGCGTTTTATCGTATTTTCACCTCTTGTGATTAAAATATGTAACTAATAATAATAGGATAACAGTATTGACAGTATTCATTCCTTTCAGGCGTGATTTAGGAAGTGATAAAACAGCCTAGAATACTGCAAATCAGTGTGTGTGTGTGTGCGTGTAAGTTCTAGTTGCCACAATCCGAAGGAACTACATACGAAGATAAACAAAAGGAATGTAGTGGAACTTCCCTATAGCCGACCGACATATGTGAGAGAGACAGAGAGTGAATAAATGTGAAGACTGTGGACAATTTTTGGAATCTTGAGAATGACATGATGTGAATGCATCTGTGTCATTGTGAACGATATCATAGCATATCTCCAAACATTGATTTATAGCGTCTCGGTCTAACCCTGGCAAAGCGATTTACACCACCAATTGATGTGACTGTTGATTACTTCGTTTATTGTTGGCATGTTTCTGTCCGTCCACCCATCTCCTACCTCTTATCTGACTTGATTACAGGCGATATTTTTTTGTTTTGATAAAGACTTCTGTTCAGCATGTGTAGTGATAGTCTTATGTGGTTCACGCAAGTGCAAAGAGATATCAATGCGTTTTGTCCATAGCTTTTTTTCCTGTTTTGTTCTTCTACATGTATCCTTAAAGGGACGTGAAAATATGAAGCCTTTGGAAAAATAGGCAGTGCGAAAAGGTCAATAGTCCTAATTCATATATATATATATATATAACTGCGTGTTAGATAATATTTTTTTAGTAGCTGTTGTATTAAAAGCTTTGATTGAATGAAATGAACTGAATAATGGATAGGTACCTTATTATTATTACTATTACTATTATTAATCATTGCATAACAGTTGGCAAAACTCCTTTTAATTAGTACGTTTAATTAATACGTATACTCTGGTATTTACATAGATACTCAGTTGATTGACTGTTTGGTTGATTGAAATGCACAAAATTCACGTATACATTGTATTTGATTACAATGAGCCCTTAATGTTATTCGTGAAAAAAAGTATAATCTTTCCGGTATTAATTACAAATTAAGGAACAAAAAGAATATGCACGTGTTTGTGTTTGTTTGTGTGTGTGTGTGTGTGTGTGTGTATAAGAAGAAATCTAAATTATGTAAACAAAACGTTTATTTGATTTTAAGTCAAACCAGTTGGGAGACTAGTCGAAAACTAGGAAGTAATACTGTTGCCTTTTGATTGTTGCTCTTCACTCCATACGTGTGTGTGGGGTTGGCACAGGAGCTGTTACCTCCTTATTGCATACATACCAACTGGTTGAACTTCTCTTCACTGATGACACATACTAAAAATGCTCACCACAATTATTTGTTAGCAGCATCCGTAAGCCAGACGTAATATTTGGCAATCGGCTCAGTTTTTCATTGGGAAAACTCTCTAAATGTATCAAAAAGCTATTGAGTAATGCATAGTCGAATAATATTCAGTTTTTAACTTTGCAGAAATATGTAATACATCTTAATAAACATCATTTAGAAGGGGAACAAGTGGTAGGATGCCTCAGACATGTAGATGGTTAGGTTTTGATTCCTGACCGATGCATTGCGAAACCTCACGTAGGTTATTTGCTGATAATAGGCCTGGGCGTGTGACCAGCGATTCCACGTTGTTAAAGAACGACGTCAATTCTCCTGGGACTTCATAGCTTGAAGGCGTATGTTCCTTGTCAGAACTCAAGGAATGGTAAGATAAATCATCAATGGATTTTCATCATTGCCTTTAACTGCTAATATAATATAAATAATAAATAAATAAATAAATCGGGTGAGTAATATCGAGGTTATGCGTTGAGTGTTAGGTATGCCTAACCATTTGTTTCCTGGATGGGAAATGTTAGCTGAAATAGGATTAGGTTGGGAAAGACCAAGTGGTAGCCAAACTGAGACCTTGGATAGGTCCATGATAACCTAGACAGTTAGTTTGTGCTAGCCACATGGGAAGCTGTTGATTGTCCAGTTTTGGTCCTCGGGACAGTAAGAACCAATGACTGAACACATTTCGTGGTATGGCTCAAAATTGTTGTGACTAACGAAGATACATCCACTCTTTGTGACGTCTAACTTGGTACCTTTTCGGGTTGAGTAGCTATTCAAGTTATAATTGACCCCTATGTAGAGTAACATTATGTATACCAATTGTTGTAATGAGGTTCTCTTTTTTAAAATGGAAAATGTATATTCTATAACATATTTCAGTCTTTTCATCACACTTTTGATTTCTATATTATTTTTATTTCTGTGTTACCAATCAGGCATGGTCTGATCAGTGTAGTTCAAGACAACATCAAAATTTACAAACATTGATTTTATGCAATCTAATGGATCATTTTCTAGCCACTGATATATTAAATGATCAATCATTATGTGTTGGACCCAATGGAAGTATTCAGTACATTCCAGCGAATTTAATTTATTTCTCCGCGCGTATTGTTGATAAATTATGGCAGGTAATGAACTCTATATTTTTTCTTGTTTGCAATATATATATATATATATATTTGCATTTTTAGTCATAGTAATTGTTGAGATTATCTGAGATAGCTTTGAGTTGACTGGCTGTCATTGATGATGATTGAAGGTGAAATGAAAATCTGGACCACAGCAGGGTTCGAACCAGTGATCTCCCTGATTTGGCTTATTGACTTGTTCACTTGCTTGCCAACGAGTTGGTGGGAAGATCGAATCTCGCTGCATTCTTGTCAACTGGGTGGTATCATCAGCCCTCACAGATTGAGTGTGACTTGCAGTCAGCCTGGTTACCTTGGGGTAAACAGTTCTGAGCTCTTCGAGTTTACCCGTAAGACTCAACTTTTAACCAGGCAATTGCAATGAAATGGTGACCAAGCAGCTGGACCAATAATTTAGATTTCACCTTAGTTCACATCTGTCATGGGTTCATTCAGCTTAACCAGTTCGTTTATGTGTGTCAGGATGCCTGCCAACCATGCGTGTGGTTCAGGTTCAGTTCTCAGTCGATGCACTCCCAAACCGCTCTTATCCAGTAGTTAGCCTGGTAAAGAGGGGAGGTTGGGACTGGAGTTGGCAACCACATTCCGTATAAAAAGAACACCGTTACTGAAATGCAAGCTTGGGGCCCTGTGTTCCATTTGGGAATGCAAAGGAATGGACAAAAAATTCTTGTTATTTTTCCTCCATCTATGGATTTAGTTAAACCCTACTTTGATTTGCTTACAGATCTCTGCTAATCCGTAAAATTGATACTAACGACGCTATAGTTAGGACACAAGTGTTTTTCCTTTTAAGACTTTATCTGTTGCTGAAACGCAGTAGAATCACACATGATTGTTAGACCCTCAAATAAGTTGTCGATCGTAATTAACACCACTCGAAAGACGGTTATTAGGAACCACTCACGTCAAGTGGATCAGTCTGCTGTTGTTTTCTTGTGCCGACTACTGTAGATCTCCACAGTGGTATTTAGAGTAATCAAGGTCTGTCATACTTTCCTGATCCTGGTTAGCTTGAACATCCTCATCTGTACTGCCTGTAGTTGAAAAGATGCTCCCAGGTATGTGAAAGAAGTAACTTCCTCAAGATTCCTCCCATTTGTGGTGATTGATATTCGTTGTTGTTGTTGTTTGGTTTGTTATCTTCATCACCTCTGTTCTCTCTCTTTATGTTCACCTGAAATCCTGTCTTCACTGTAACTTGGAACCATATAGCAGCCGAGACATTTTATTGGTTGTCATAAATCCATCAGCGATTTTTCTTGTTATTAAACGAAAGTTTTTTTTTTCCAAAGAAATTTACTTAATCAGACAATTTGTATTTGTTTTGTAATTCACCCAGGGTTGTTTTAGTAAAGAGGTGAATCGTGTAGTCAATTTCCTAATTCATCTTATCACCTATTGGCCAGATCAGTCTTCTACTGCTACTGTGACAACCAACGCAGGTTCTAGTAAATTGGACAATTCAAATGAAAATACTATGCATCATAATTTACTCAGTAGTAAATTTACAATTCATTCATTATATCGTAGTTTAAATCGTACGATTCTCTACCAATTATCTCGTCCAATTCTGACAAGAGCAGATCAAATTGAAACATTGACTCTGTTGAATTGTTTAAATAATACCTTGATTAGCAAAAATGCTGTCATCGGTGATAGTTTTGATATGGAACAACTTATGTCGTCACCTGTCCCACCGGCTTCTCCTATTCACCATCATCATCATCGTCATCCACAACAGCCTCATGATCAAATCCCGTTGATATTCAATGCAGTGAATGAAGACGCCGAGTTCCCAGCCTGTTTAGTCCACCTATTGATTCAGTTAATTCGATTAAATGAAACAAATAAAATTGGCACTTATAATATAACTGATACAATAAATACAACATCACTGAATAAATCGACAACATTGAGTAGAATCTCGTCAATTGCTTCAACTAATAATATAAAATATGACATGAATATGAATAATGATAATGATAGTTGTAATATCAGTGCTATCAGTGCTACTCCTACTACTACGGCTAATAATAGTAATAATAATGTGGATGAGAATACTTTGAACGAATCCTCTTCTGTGAATTATTATTATCATACAACATTTGGTTTTGAAGAATTAGACGATGCCAGTATATTACCATCATCATCAATATCAACAACAAAGACGCCAACAGGGACTACAGTGAGAAAAGCACAAACACCAACACAGTCAATGATTCAGGGTGGAACAGCAACATCAACAACTGCAGGGATGACAACACTAGATGACTGTGTTACAGAAAAGTTAATAAATAATAGTAATAATAATAGTAACCCTGCCAGTATGTTGTCAAGTAGACAACAGCATGAAGAGGATACAGAAGTTTATAGAAGTGAAGTGATTCAAACAATGGCAACAGCGTCAATGACAACGACAGAAAGTGAATTCAATTCCGACTATGCAAATGATAATTACAATTATGCTGATGAAATTGTATTGGCTGCCTTGAAACTTTGGTCTAAATGTTATCTGGCTAAAAAATCAGTGAGTGTTTTACTTTTGTTCTTTGTTCAATTATTAAATTTTGTATGTGTTTCAAAAAGATCTGCGTAGAATTATGGGAGAATAGAAGGCCAGGTAACTCTGAAGGCTATCTTCTCCTGATGTATAATTCATTGTGGGTACACACACATCTTTGGGATCACTAGGAATCGAACTTAAGATATTAACTCTATGGTTGGTCGGTCGGTCGGTTTTCGACATAGAACTTTGCAAATAAGTGCGGCAGTTCAAGTCGCCACACTCCCTCCTTGTAGCACACAAAGCAAGAGAAGGTAGGAGAAATGCATAATATAGACAGTAAACAGCCAGCCATTGAGAACGATTTTGAGCCATGTCACCAACTGTTTCCAACCATTGGTTTTTACCGTCCCGAGGACTCCAACTAGGTAGTCTACACCTTCCTACGTGGCTTAGACTAACTGTTGTGAATTTCATTGACTGGTGCCATGTTTTCGTTTGACCACCGCTAGCTCTTTTCAAGCCTGACCCTATATCAGCTAACATTGCCCGTCGAGGAAGGCGATGACTAGGCATCCATGAGTAACACATGTTCTAACCATCTCAGTCGATGTAATTTCACAGTCTCGTCGATTGATTTCCCATCCTTACCTAGCACTTGACCGACGCCTAACCCATATTAACTCTATGAGGGTATGTGGGGGTGGTTTAGTTTTCAGATAATTTTATCGATGAACTTTTGAGTTTGGCAGGAGCTTTCTGAGCTTTTGGAAGTGTGTGGGTGGTTGTTACTGCTTGACTGCCCATTGGGGAAGTTGGTTTTCTCTTAGGGTACCTGAAACAGGAAACAACCGCTTGAAGCCCGTCACCCGCGGTCTGTTTGAACTGGCTTTTATAGCTGTGTTTGTGTTAAGATCTTACTACCATCTACAGGCCACCAGAAGGTAAGTCAGGGTGTACAACCTTGGGAGTCAACCTTTTCTAACTCTCCTTTCTAGAGGGCAGGGTGTAGCACGACTGACATGGTCATCTGGGGGAAGCACCTGACTGCTATTACATCCCTGTTCCCCAGCTGTGCAACTTTGCGCAGAGACCCTGACATAGGGTAAATAATTATGTTGGTAACTGCTTTTAGTCTAACCGCTCTCCAAAAGACTTTTCTGGCTTGTTGAAGTTTGCAGCCAATGTAGCTCGTTGGTTAACTGAGATATGCAAACCTGATCACCCCGTTAAGGTAGCAGTTATACATGGTAGGACTTTCGAGGTTGTCTAGCCATCATTTAAGAGTGATGTCTGTTAGGTTTCAAGTTTATTTTTATCTTATCCTCAGAGACGATTATCAAATGAAGTTATGATATGTGAGCAAATGGAGTTATACTCTACCATAGTGCCCAAGTTTTATACTTATATCAAATGAAGTCTTATTTTCAACTTGAAAGTGCTCAACTGTTGAAATTAGTAGTCTTCCTCGTAACGGTAGGTTTTCAGTAGACCAACCTGTAGGATGAATCTTTCTCTTTTTCAACATAAATATCTCAAGATTGTAATGTGGAATTTGAATTTTCTAACACTGAATAAATCGTTTTCGGAGCTTATCAGTTGAAATGTTTCCCTTAAAAAACTACTAATGGTTGTTTGTTGGAACGTTGAAAGCTTAACGCCTAAAATATGAGTTGCAGTGTCACGTGAATTCAGTTAACATGAAACACTATGATATAATCAATTTCAGCATTTAGTAAACATAATGCATGGATAATAATAATAATTTCCTTATGTTAAATAACGGTTACCTGGAACACATTTTTTGCCTATCCGAATATGAGCCGCAACTGCTGTATTAAGGCTAAAGTCGAGTACTAAAGCCAATAATCTCTACTTATTTACACCATTTTCAATAGATACTTCATTATAATTCTTAAAAATCACTAACAAAATGTTTCGATTTTTGGAATAATGTCTCAATCGAAAGCTGCTATCTTGACGTGGTGTTTGGGCTTGCATATCTCAGTTACGTTAACTAGGACAAATGTTCCTTCAGTCCCTACCATGCCGGAAATGTTATTTAGATAGCGGCTAGACTAAAAGCAATTGCCATCATAATGTAAGTTGCCTACACTGTGTTGGATGTCTGAGTACAGCTACCGTAGACGACGAAGAAGCTAGCTATGCTGCCTTCGTGCCCCGGAGGATTCGACGGTTTAGAAAGGTTTACCCAAAAGATTGTACTTCCTAGTGCTGTTTAAGCTTCGATAAAATTCTCATGCTGACACTGCCTTAGACACCACCTGAAACAGGTCGTATTTCACAGGCCTGCTAGACTCCTCGGTCATACAGCAGTACGGCTCTTTCTGTTGAGAAGTCAACTTTAACGGCCTGAGTGGCCAAGAAGTAACAACTGTCCATTTCCATAAGCTTATAATGCTTTCATGACCATCACTCACCTTCATCTTCTTGCTTCCTTGTCAATGCTAATACTGTTACACATGTAAGTTTTCACCTCGTAACTGTGCGGCTGCTAGTAGCAACTACTTGTGCAAATACACTACTTATAGCCTCTTAAATACACGATTACTTATTATTGTATTATCGTTTTTCCCATGGGTTCCGAGTAGAACATTAGGCATCAACAACACATCTCCACTTTGCTCTATTTTCCCAATGCCAACTTCATATTGGAGTGCACAACATCACGCGCTTTTTACCAAATCGAACAACAGGTTTGTGCTACATGGGGTTGTGTAGACTAAATGGCTAGAAACCAATGGCTTGGGACCGTTGATGACATGGCGTAAAATCTTATATCCTCGTGATTCCCCACGTAACTATTATTTCTCTTCTGCATTTCCGTTCATCATGGTTCCTTTGTATGATATGTTGAGTATAGGAACTTCAATTACTGCACTTCTGTGCAAAGTTGTATATTGATGAAAACGCAGTAAATAATGAATTAAAATCATGAGTAAAATGCAACTTGTTGATAATTAACAAATAGACTGTGTAGTAGAATGTGTTAAACATTCTTTTGATCGTATACTGTTCCAATATTATTCATAGTATGTTTTAGCCTACATAGACTGATATATTAGGCTCTGTAAGCTTTGATATAATTTTTCTTTCTACTCTGTTACCCGTGATTATGGAGATTATTATTGCCCTACCGCCTTCTTTTCCTTCATGATTAATAGTATGTCCATATTAGTAAGAAATATATTTGCTGGCTAATAAGTTACTATATTCTTATCTTTTCTCAATTTTGTTTCATATATACATAGGTGCTTGCCCAACTTGTTCCAGAAGCTCCTCTAGTCAGTGGTCTATCAGTACCATCTCTTACTGATTGGGCCACAATTCTTGAAGGTCCTTGTCTAATCGCCTGGGCACAACATGTCGATTGTGAAGCTGCAGGATCTGGTGGTATTAGCTCGAGCAACTTGTGGGGTCGTATACCTGGTACTCCAAGTTTTGTGTTAAATATGCTTAAACAAGAAGGTAGCCTACATATGCCGACAGCACAATCAACGTCTGTATCTACTTCAGCACCATCAGGACTACAGCATCATATCTCAATGAAATTGAGTAAAGTCTCAGGAAATGTATTTAAATTAGGCTCAACCTCAGGTTCAACTGTACAATCCAGTGTAACCACGGGGAACGAATATACATCTGCATCTGTTCTAGGCGTTTCTTCGTCAATAATCAACAGTAATGTACAAATCAATTATTTAAGTCCAACAAATACTTCTAGTCTAAATGTTATTCAAGAAAATGCTATAGAGGTAGGTATTTCTTGTTATGCTCTGATCGTTTTGTATTATTCACATCAACCTATTGATTCCAAATTTACTCAAGGCCTTTTTTTGCTTTAGAACAGTTTAATTTTGAACTTGGTTTAAAATGGCAATTAAGATTACTTAGAATAGTATTGAAAACTGTGGAATACTTGAACAGTTTTTCTCCCGTTCACAGCTGGATCCACCAGCTTAAGCATATGTTACCATATAACATAGTTTGATACTATTCACACCTACCAGTAGTGGTGTTTGCACCATGCGTTTGTGCTTGCTCTCCCGATTGCCATTTGTTGTATCAAACAGACCACATACTATGATTTGAATAATTCGGGTTTCCGAAAGAAACTGTGGTGGAATTTCATCTCCTCGGGTTGTGTAAATTGGGAATTAGGTCTACCAGATGGATGATTATGATTCATTCCAATGACCCTGAATGTCTAGCTTCAAGATGAATTACTGAAGATGCAAATAAGAGGTTTTTTAGCAGTTATTTTGGAAGTGAGTAGTGAGTGATATTCGGCATCTGTATTGGATAATTGTTGTGTTAAGACACAAACTGATAGTAGTCAAGTGATGTCAACTATTCTATTTGAATTTGTTCTCCTGTTTATCTTGCATTTACTGCATAAATGCGTACCCATCCGTAAGTGAGAAGTCCTACTGTGTGACTATTGTGTGTTGCGGATGATTCAGTTTTATAATGTAGCTTAGCTGGCTGATTTTTCACTAGTGTTATGTATGGTCGCTCTTGTGGGTTAGACATGAAACCTTCGTGTGTCATTCTACGCAATTCCGTTTGAAAGGAGCAAATTATCAGTATTTTTCTGTTATGCTGAAATACAGAATGCTGTCTGCTCTGATACATATGCAGCATTATTAAATCTCTAAGGATAATAGGGTGATATAGTTGTCCATTCCTCCCCCCTCCCTATCGTTAATAGTCACCTAATTGGCGTTGATTTTAGTCACTAAGTGACATCCAACCAGAGGAATATTCAAAAACAACAGGGCATTGGACTGCTGTTCCGCACCCATAACCCCGTCGGAACTGAAACTGCTGTACACTTTCATGTGATTCGAGCATAAATGCACATCTTCTAGTATCCATCAGATTTTAACTTTATCACTTAGTCCTCTGCAAAACAAATTCGCATTGAATAAGGTAACGAATGATTTTCACTGCTGTAGATATATAGTAATACACTAAAGAACTACTATCTTGGAAACGATAAAAGAAGAATCAGAATATAGTTTATAGCTAGGGTGATATAAAGATAATTATAAAATAAGTCTGCAGTGCAAAGGCTTTTCTTTAGATGCATACACTCATTTCTTTCTTCATCTCAACAGCTTTCTTATGTGTAAAAGAGATTAGACAATTATGGTGACTGTGGTATATACTACAGACATGCTTAGATACCTGCAGCTAGAACTCAGGTGATGATAACAGATTGAAAGAGAAGAATAAGAATTATTGGAGACAAGACATGAAATTGATCCATGAAGTTAATGACACTTATTAGTGACAACATATGACACCTGTTATCGATGGTTAGACACTCCGAGAGACACCACGAAAGCATTTTATGATAATTATTGGGTTTTTTTAAAATGATCTTTGTCTTCTAATATTTATCGTACTACCTGTTATTGTTGTGGTGGGGGTATGAGTGGTGTCTCATCATTATATATCCACTATTGACCATGTCTATCTTTCGTTAAGAGTTGATGGTTCATCGAAGGGATTTGTTGATTTGTTCAATCTATGTAAAATTCATCATACTCACCACTATAAACATCAAATTTTCTTATCCCTTTTTCTGTTCTGACTGGAGCTTAGGGATTCAAGCATGAGATTTAAAGTTTTAGTGATAGTAATGGTGTTGTTGTTATGAGGTAGGGTGGGGTGCTAGCCTCACGCCCAACACTTCCCCTTTACTGGGCTTACTACCAACTTAGTGAGGTTTAGGAGTACTTCGTGTGGGAATCGAACCCCGGATCACGTACTTGGTTAGAGAATATTCAACCGCTGGACCACCAACATGAACCACCTCTGTTTAATCATACCGCAAATGTAAATTTGCAGCAAAGTGGAGGACAAACTCACTTAGTGATACGTGCACCCAACTAGGGAGTTTATTAGTTTTCAGGGGAACCGAACACACCCACAGATACACATACATTATAGCCTTTAGATGAAGCTGAGAGCTGCATACAGCAACATTCTGTTGTGACGCTGCTAGTCTCTCCCCGGCTACCGATCCAATAACATGTGCACTGCGCTGCAGTTCGCTTTGTCTATTGAAAGTGAAAGGCTTAAAGGGGTTAGCTGTCTTTACCGCATATGTTACGACTGTCTCTCATGTTAAGTGGTGAGTAATTTCGAAGTTAGGCGTAAAGTGTTAGGTAAGTAGGGTAAGTCAACTGATGATATTTTAAAGCTGAATTGATTGAGATGACTATGATACGTGTTATGCATCCTGAACCATCACCCACCTCAACGAATAATGTCAGATGACGTAGGAGCAGTTTAGAAAGGGGTTAGAGGGGTGGTCAAACCAAAATGTGGCATGAGTCCATGATGTTTTTGATAGTTGTTATGATCCACGTAAGGAGGTGTAGACTTTCTGGTTGAGGTCCATGGGATTCAAAGAACCAGTGGCTGGAGAATGTCGGATGTATTCACTCTGTATAATTCCCTATATCTATTAAACCGTAACTTGCTTTTTCGTGTTACTTTCCTTTCTCCTTCACAATTCTGCTTATAATAATAGTACTTTTGAATCCATTTCTGTCTCTTTTGTCTACGTTTGTCTGCTACATGGAATGTGGCATTCCGAACTCCTCCACTCTATTCTAAGTGGGACTCCGTCGGTCGGCCATTTAGTGGACCTTTAATATAATTATTAGTAATAAATTGCGCTTGAAACATTATCAGTGAATAAATAATACTGTTTCACTGTGTGCTTATTATCAAATAAAATAATTATACTATGGAATTACAGTCAATCACAGTGCCCAAATCCTATGCTTATAGCAACGGAGTTTAGTTGTGTTTCTTTATAGAGTGAATCATGATTAGTGTGTAATGCGTTTGTTATCTTACAATGTCAAATTCTTTTTTACATAGGCTATACAACTATGGGCTCCGAATCAAATGAATTTCATACGTGAACTACTGGATCAACAGAAAACACAATTCTATCAAGTAAATTAATTTTCTTACTGATTTTGATTTATTTTTCTTATGGTCATTATTTTGTTGTCTTGTACTTTAAAAAAATTTTTTAAATTAGTTTTACTGTTGACCCTAGTTCAAACTGAAAACCTCCTCCTTCCCTCTTTCTCCATACTGTGTTCCCTCAATTTACATTTTGACATATTCGCGATTATTCGCTGACACATTTAGGTCAATGATATTGGCAAATAATATTATATATAAGATTTCTTTTATTTATTACTAAGGCTTCAACACACTTCTTATATATATTACAGTTTAAAATAAGTCTGTTTAAGGTAAACTGAGTAGGGAAATTTCATTTTTTTGTCGCATTGTTCTGTTTAACTCCAAAACCCAGTGAGGTTGGTAGTCGAGGATTCTAGCTCTACTGTATCCACTCGACATTGTGTGTGTAGACCGGGTGGTGTTATCGAATTTTTTCATAATACTAGGAGACGTAGTTTATTGTCAAGTGTCTTATGACTTTACGTAAAATATATATATATACATATATATACATAAAAGTAAACTATTAACGGAAAAGAGTTCTCTGAACAGATGGCGTATCGTAATTTTTTTCTCCTAATCGCGTGGAGATGTGCGTCATCTGCTTAAAAAATTTACATCCAGACAAAAGGTCCTAAGCTCGAGTTTTACTGTAGCTAAATTCAGCCTCGAAACTGGAAAGTATCATTAACTGTCACATAATAAGTATCAGTTCTAACTAAGTAGTTAATTAACGTTCTAGTTATTGTATGTTGGTTTTGGTTGTTTCGTCACATGTTCAGAACTATGTTATTATTTGTATGCTGTATATATATGTAAGTGAAGTCTCTGAAAGCTGGTACTGCACAAATGACTATACTCTGCCGTTCTTTTAATTTTCTGTTGGTCGGCATGTTATAAAATAAAGTCAATGTGCACTTTTTATCAGATTGATAGTGGTGTCTTTTCCAAGTAATAGTGTGTGGCGATTCGATTGGTTACATGTTTGATTGCGAGCTGACAGTAGTTGAAGAACCATTGGAAGACCAGGTAGTACTGGACAGTTGTTCTGTCCTTATTTGGGACTCCCCATCAGTAGGCACCGACCAGCAAGGATCGAATCCAGGACCTTCTGGTTACTAGGTGATCTCGCATACCATTCAGTGGGGTCCACCAAGCCAAGTAGGAGAACAGTTACTCGCTGTTGACATCAGCCTAGCAGAAGTGGGAATTCACTGGCCATTGAATTGCTTTGGGTCCCAGTAATTGAATGGTCTATGAGCGCACATTGTAACCGAAAAAGTTCCTAGGTTTGATCCTTTCTGGTAGGTGCCTACTGCTAGAGTGTCTCAAACTAGGACGGAACAGCTTTCCAGTACTCTGTGGTTTTCCAATGGTTCTCCCACTTATGTTAGCTCCTGATCAGATCTTTAATGGTATCTTTCAGTATAACAAACGACTTATCTAAAAAATCTTTATCAGTTAGTAAAAGAATGTTTAAAAAAAAAGCAAAAATTGACTGTAATAGGGCTGATTTTGATGTGAGGCATGTCAAGTCAAGTCATTCAAATACAGGATGTTTAGTGCACTAGACTTTGGACTGGTTTATTCAAAAGGTTAAATAAATAGCCTAAAATATGCCTTATCCTATCAGTTAAGTCACTCTTGTTAACATACAAACCCAAGCAGCTGACGAAGTGGAAAGAGAGAGACGTGCATATCCATTAATCCAAATTCTCAATGTCTATTTTCGCTCTGAGGTCGTTGCATCACTAAGATTCAGGGTCAGAATATCTATGGGACATGGAATCGATTTAATTCCATAATCAATTATATTGTCATGTGTCATTAGTGTGGTTAATTTGTCTTTTTGTTTAAGCACTCGTTATACTAAATCGGTAGGTGAGATGGAATTCGAATCCATGACCATAAAGGATTGAAAAGGGGGCTGTAAACCAATAGTACACCGCCATCTTGGTTATCAGTTAGAAGAGTAAAAACATTCCATCTGTTTTTTTAAAATAAAATAGCAATGGCGAAAAAAGAAACATGCATTCCTGAATCTAGTTGTAATGAAAAAAGCATGCTGTGAAATTTAATTCATGCCGAGTGAACTGCGTGAAGAAACACACGGTTTAATTAATAGATATATACAGTTAGGTTAAAGGGACTTGGCATTTTGAAAGAAGACTATGTTCTGAGTTGGAAAAAACAATCATTCACTGATTTTTTTGCAGTTTTATCGAAGTTGGTGAGCGCCGAATACGATGAAGTGCGCGATCCTCGTTTCACTGCTAGTCATCTTTCAACTAAATAACATAAAGTGACTAGAGTTTTTCTGATCTTACAGTGTTAGTCTTTTCCAAACCAAGTTGAATAACCGCTACTGGGCGCACGTGCGCAGGGGCTAACGTTGATCTCTTTAACTTTTTGTCACTAACATTTTCATGGTTATTCTAGTCGTCTACTTTCAGTTAATGTACAGGAAAAGTCATTCGGAGTAGGCGTTTATATATATATATACATATATATATATATATATATATATATATATATATATATATATATATATAAAAGTAGCTTTCAAACAAAGAAGCAATAGGCAGTTTTGTCTTTTTTGAGTACTGAGAATACCTATGGCTCCATACGAATTTGTATTTGTAGGTTTATTTAGACTCTAATGAGCTTTGTGGATTACGACTTAACTGAAGTTATAAATTAAGGACAAATCGTCTGTTCACTGTACTTTTTATCCTTAACTTTTCCTATTACCAGCTGATATATGATGAAAAAAGCTGCTTCGGACTAGATTTTATTATCCAAGATGTATAAGCACTCACATTTATTTAGAGAATAAATTTTTAGGAATTAGATTTTTTTTCAAGTTTGACCGTGGATTGTATTACTTTAGAGAACTACTAAAAGCCAAGGAGTACTGGACGGATGCTTCGTTTTAGTATGAGACTCATCGGCAGTATTCACCCACCACAGGGGTTTGGAACTAAGACCTTTCGGTTACAAGCCAAGCTCGTAGACTAATTCATCCACTGAGACCTGACTCAATTCTAATTTCTACCAATTCATGATTTTACCACCACTACCAGCCAGTGTCAACTGCGGCCAGTTGTTGTCCTCACTCCTCACTGGGTGGATCCCACTAGTCACGACATCTCACTAATAACTCCAGGAATCTTCGTTTTGCAGGCAGTCAGACCAGTGAGTCGGGTCCCAGTGACTGAATGGTCTACGAGCTTGACTTGTAACCGGAAGGTCCCAGTTCCGAACCCCTGTGGTGGTTGCGTACCACGGATGAGTCCCATACTAAGATGAAACGTCTGCCCAGTACTCCTTGGCTTTCAGTAGTTCTCTAACTGATTGGAATCCGTGTTCAAACTTGAAAACAAATTAATAATTTTCACGAAAAACACCAACTATAATTGATGAAAACACCCAGTCATGTGTATTTCATAATTACTGACTCTTTCTCTCTGTTCAAGATTAGGTTTCTATGTTTCTTTTCTATCTGTGTATGAATGTCCGTGTGTGTATGTGTTGATTACACATTTATTGTTTATTCCAATATCTGTTGTCACCTCGTGATCAATCTTGTAGCCAATCAAATCCCTGCAAACCATCACTTGATTTTCCGCTATCCTGAAATGCATCTGTACACGTCGTGTTGTTTGTTCTCTGCATAACTAGCTGTCAGTGTTCTTTCGCGTGAATAAATACCAGGATTTATTATGTAATCGAATGAAAAGAGCCTTGATGATCATATTCTATCAACACTAGTGACAGCTTAATTCTCATCACCCGTCTCCCTGTCTGTCTGTCTATCTAGCTGCCTATCTACTCATCACATATTCTCACATTACCGTTAAAATAGTTTGTGGCTTCCTCGTCTTGCCAAATAAATCCGTCCAGTCGAAACAGAACAGAACAAAACAAACAGGAATCTAACATGAATATTGTTACATTTCATTGATGTAGGTAGGAGCGAAGATGCAAATAGGTTTCCCGCATTTTAGCATATTTCGCATAGATTATTATTCAAGTCTGTCCTACTTGTTTAATTCACATTGAAATTTTACAATTCAATTTTATGTGTACTTTACAATGGAAAACCTTGATTAGTTATCTCCTGATTTGTTGATTTTTTGTTGTTGAGAATATGAGTGAACATGTGTAAGACGTTTATGTCAAGAATAATAATTGGTTAAGTATTGACGTTTGCTAACTGTCAGATGGATAAATTTAATACCAATCTAGATTTCGTTACGAACGGTTATCAGTTAGAGAGGCATTGAAAACAATCACTGTGAGTTCAACAGTAGTTTTGTTCCTCTTCGGTAGTTTTCAAATGCGTGCATCTACCACTCCACCAGTAATCGAACCCCAGGATCTTCAGCTTATGTCGTGAAACCGTTGGTTATGCTGTGACTGTGTTGGAATTCAATGACCCGTGAACTCTAGCTTCTGTCAATTAGTAACTAAATGTCATTTTATTTAGTGGAGTGTATTGGCCGCCACACGTTTGACAAGAACTGTAGTCAAAATTAATAAACAAGGGAGTTATTGTTCATCTCTTATAGTTTCACTATAACTGGTGTTGTTTGTTTGCTCAACAAAGGAGAGAAGCGGTGCCAGCTGCACTTCAAACGCTACCTCTTTTCTCCGGATTACTACCAGCGAGTTAACTTGATGATGTTTTGGGAGTACGTCTGTAGTTGAATCGAAGCCTGATCGTCTCTTTTGTTGGTGGTTGAACTACTGATGCGAAACTGTTTTCGTTTAGGATTATAGGAATTCATTTTGTACAGACAATTTAACAGTGTATGATTTACTAATAGTGACTAATCTATACACTTGCCTCTTGCCCACAGGCTTCTTCGAAAAGAAAGAGATTAATTGAAATACTCTGAGTTATTTTCTATCCTTTCACTAATTAATTAATCGAGTGATTGATTGATTGATTGACTGTCTGACTGACTGAACTGATAACGAGGTGACAATCACTCATTCTAGTTGATTGTCGATGAGGAAAGCATAATACTCCCGCTTGGATGGGATTTCTTATGTCAGATAATCAGCAGGAAATAAACACCATTTTTTTCCACTCCTATTTTAAGTACTGTTTCAGTGCTCTTTTCCACTGCAAATCAATATTAGTTAGAGGGCCAGAAAAAATCCTAAGAGAAATAATTCGTTCTCTCTGTTTTCTAGTTTGGTAAGTAGTGAGCATGCTAAACCTCAATCTAAAAAAAATTGTATTTTTTGTCTACTATCTTTTCTTCATTTGCAATCTAGTATGAGATATCCTACTTGAATCATCCTAGAATCACAGTAAGTCTAAAGACATCAACTTCCAATTTGGCTACAGCTCTGCTCGTTTATTAGTGTTATTTTGTTGAAGGCTACTCATAACGGTGCATACAAAAGTAGCATGTACAATAGCGTGGAGAAGAAATATATATCAGGTGGTTGATAAAAATTCTGATAGAATATCAGTGACTCCATAGTAAGCACAGGAAGACATATACTGTAGAATATTGTCTGTAAGTGGAGACGTGGCTCACAGGTTTAAGCCTATAGGTCTCGGTTTCGAATCCTGCTGCAAATACTTCAGACTAACCTTTTATTTAGATTATGGGGTTTGAAGGAATTTGGATGAATTTAATTCCAATTGTTAGATTCCCCTGCATGCACCAGTATCAGTTAGATATCCAGGAAGCACTGGACAAGTGTGTTCATCTCACTTTCAGACTCTTCAGCAGTGCGAACTTATGGCCCCATCTAGTTCTTTCAGGTTACTAGACCAAGCTCTTTGATGATTGGGCCTCTTTGGCCGGAATTCAGTGATCCATTATTCCCAACTTTGTCATCTCCTGACAGAACATAGCTCTATCTTTAGCTGTTCGGTGCTTCCTGGTTTCCGATGATCTCTCTAACTGATATCGGTTGGTGACACACAGTCTAACAATCGAAATTACGTTTCATTTGTATCATATTTTGAAATTTGTAATAACTTTATGAAACCTTGTTTTGAAAAACAAACTCTTATTGTTTTATTCCTTTGTTTATTGTTTACTTTCACTTTATATATTTTCTCGGACTGTAGTAACAAGGTTTATTTGTTGTTCTGTATGTGTGTGTATGTATGAATTCATCCAGTAAATTAATGTGTCCACTCTATTACAATTAACAACAGTTTTATTCATTGAAATGAAAACTTAATGATAATATGTAGCAATTTAGTGTGTTTTTTTCCAGAAAAAGCTGATTTTATTTTGTGCGTGTGTGCGTATAAGTTGTTTTATTTTTCTCCCAAATTTTAGAATTTATCTTTTAACCAACGTCATCTTGAAAGTGAATGGGAGAAGATAGAGAATGAATTAACAAGAGAACGTGGTTTATGGGGTAGAATTACACCGGATCCATTAGCTAAATGGGAACTTGATCCAACTGAAGGTCCATTAAGAATGCGAAAACGTATGATCTTAAATAACTCGTTTTATTTGCGTTATCCACATTTACCGAATTATCTAATGCGTTTATTAATTCGTTCACCGGAGGCTAATGTAAGTAACTATTTATTTGTGTATTTTTTACTGTAATTTCTTTATATATATATATATATATATATATATATATATATTGTTGGGGTTGCTAGCCTCATGCCCAACCTTCCGTCTCTACCAGTCTCATTGATAGCTTGTCGAGGTAAAGGAGTACGTTGGCTGAGGATTGAACCCGGACCATCTGCATGGGTGTGTCGCCGACGCATATATATAAATATAAATATATTCTCATGAATTGTCTTCAACTTCGACAGTCAACAATCGTAAACGTAACCTTTTACCTAGAGATGATCAGATGTACTCGATTTTATTTACAAGCGATTATTGATACCTATTCTAGTTAGCAATTGACTGACGGAACTAGCGTCTCAAGGGGCCCAAGGGGCCTAGTGGATAGCACTTTGAGTAGATGAGCATTGGGTCCGAGTCTTAATAATAATAATAATAATAGTGGAGCTTTACTTCAGACATAATACAGAAGTTTTCAGCGTATTTAGTTGCAAAATATTTCCTTATATTACAGGATTTACGTGTAAAGTTATAATTTGAAGTATGTTATGCGACGTAGTGCTGCTACATTTGAAGAGAGAATCAATTCTGTACATATTTTCTTCATTTCTTTCAAGAAATGTACAGGATGATAAGTAACAATTATCACTATGATATAATACTGGTGCGGTGTAGACATGATGGCATTAACGATGAGTAAGGACTGTGTGAGCATCATAATGAATACGAAGGGTATGACGTAAACAGTACTGAATAACTAACAGTAGTAGACTCATGTAGAAAGGTGGTCAAATCTAAAACGTTTGGAATTAAGATTTGTCAATGAAACAAATATAGGGGAGATGGCTAAACCCTGATTCCAAACCTCCAACGACTGGCGTATGAAGCTCACTGGAGCTCACCGGCAGACGTATGGACAAAGGGCTTGTTGGATGTCCTGGATGTCTGGCCCCATTCAAAAAGGCGTATGAACCGAACTCCGGTCACCGGCTGCCAATGGATAGTGGACTCCCTACTCCACTCCTACTGCCTTGTAGGTCACACTTGGTTGTGTAAAGGCTAGAGCTGCACTCTCAAACAAAAGGCCAAGCGATTCTGGGGACATCACTCGTACGAAATTCCCATGAAACTTCATGAACTCTCTCACAAACGAGTGCCTGGGGCTACAAACCGTCCACGGACTCCGTCTGTGGAACAAGAATTGGATAACCCTGTCACAAAACCTTGCATCAGATCGCCGCGCCTGGGCAGCGATGATTCGAGATGTTCATGAAGCCGGCTCATCCTCCTGTAGGAGATAGCCGAAGTAAAGTAAGTAAGTAATGAAACAAATAGTAAGAGAGAGAGAGAGCAGGAGAACAGCGGAATAGGGATATAAAGTGTCCTTATATATATCTATGTATATATATATATATATATATCGGCCGATGGAAACTAACAATGGAATCCAGGATGTGCTTTTCGTCCTGTTTGAGACTAGTCAGGTGGATGTAGCTGCACATCCTCAATGCTGAGTGATGGTATTCCCACTGAAACTTTAACCGAGCACTTATCGAAACACTATGGAGTAGGTTACTGTACGTTAGTCTCCAGACATCGTCAAAGCATCCGTACTAGGAGCCGGCATGTCAACAGAGACGGAGCACTTGGGTCTAACACAACCAATCAACAGGAAATGCCGATTAATCTAAGATGGAATGTTCCCTATATTTATCTAATAAACATAAGTGCCACCACATCGCCCAACCTTTTGCACATACATTCAAATAGAATTCTGTTTTCATAGAAAACTATGGTATTCTGTGTGAGCCTACTAATTAGGCAATTATTTTTTTTAAATTTGAATACTTAATCAAATATTCAGTTTTAACAAGTATTATGATATCTTGTGTTTAGGTTTTATGCTTGTTTATGCTCTTCAGCAAGATGTACTTATAGCCATAAAAGAATTGATATATCCACTTCCACACTCAAAATCATGCCACAAAGTGTTCCAGTCAAAGACATTACCGTCGAACAATGTTGTTGTCGGGTGTAAGGACAAATACTCGCTGCGAATGACATTGGCTAGTGGTTGCGACATTGGATCGGGTCCCAGCGGCTTAATAATCTACGAGCTTGCCTTGTAACCGGCAGGTCCTGGCTTTGAACCCGTGTGTTGGGTGCACACTATTGAGAAGAGTTCTAAACTCGGACGAACCAGCTGTCCAGTACTCCCAGCTTGTTTTTCAATGGTTCTCTAACCGATGTCAGCTCATGATGAAATCCTGTAACTAATCAAACCAAATCCCTGCAAACCAATAAATATTTGTTTACTAAGCATTTCCAATGTTTACTTCTTCTTCTTCTTCTTTTACAGCACTATTATCCGTATACATTAACACCAGGAAAGTCGAAGAAACCTCGTAGTCGAGATAGTAAATTATACTTCCTCAATTATAAATCAAAAAGTTTACTGCATGAAGATTATGGTCCTTTAGCACCATGGATACCGTTCACTAAATCAATGAAAGTAGAAGATATTGACAAAAGTCTACAAGAAGAAAAAGAAGTCGAGGTTGAAGAAGAGGAAGCGGAAAGTGACGAAGCAACAGAAACAGCATCCGGTGGAGGCATTGATACAACAGATCATACTGATAAGACTTGCTTTTATGGATCAAAGTTAATAGGATCTGTAGTAGATCAACAAGGAAAGAGTGTAGACAATGAAGCTTTACAAGAATGCAAGAATACAGTACTGGGGGATAGTGAATTCACTGTATTGAGTCGGCAATTAGTTCCAGAAGACATTGAATGTACGTTTAATAAGGGATATCCATCCATATTGGTTTTTATGTGTAATTAGTTAATTTCTAAAGCAATATCGTTTGTGGTTAAGTGTTCTTTTATCACAGTTTTCTTTAGTCCAACTCCCCAAATGTTTAGATCATAGTGACTGGCCTAATGGACGTGAGACTGAAAGCATACGACAAAAAAACAAAATAACAATGAGCAACACAATACAACATGAGAAATATAGCACTGAATTAGTTATTAAAAAATTGTTCAAGATTTTCGAAAGGAAATTCAATCCATCAGACTGGTTTTTAAGTGACGATTGAAATCAGGATATGGAGATACACTATGCGAGGATTTGAACTAACAGCTTCAGACTGTCTTATTTGGTGAGAGTGTTAAAATGAGAGAAAAGTAATGAAAGATTAACAAAATAAGTCATTATATTTTGTATAAATAACACATATTAGATGATTATGGTTAATCTTATTTCTTTGTGAAAGCTGTTCATACTGATACATTACGATAGCTGGAGTGAGGTTTTCAGTGTGTCTGGTAGGAAAGAAGAGGAAAGAATGGGTGTATTTTCAGTTTTATAAAATTAAAAGTCGTGAATATGATAACTAGACATAACCAATTCATGATAATTTGGTCGGCATCTAGATCTCATAGTTGAACGCGTTGACTACTAGAATAGTTACTTGGAGATCTTTGTTTCAAATCTTGGTGCGAAATTACTTCCCATTTATCTTTCAATCGTCGTCTACTACATGAATAAATAGAGAAATACAGTCGAACTATAATGAAGGAAATGTAAAGGTTGGTGGAGGGAGGGGATAATGAGGATCTAAATGGATCTCAGAGATCCTGAGGAGTGAATGCATCTTCACCATTGTGAACAATTTTGAGCTATACCACCGACAGTCTTTCAAGCATTGCTTCTTAGTATCATAAGCAGCCCAGTCAGAGATAATCTATACCTTCCCTTATATGAATCAAACAAAACAGTTACAGACTTCATTGGATTCATGCCATTTTTTCAAACTAATTCTATATCATCACATAGCTGTATTTTAAGTTAAATGTTAGTGCGTGACAAAAGCCTAATGAAATATTATTATGGTAAGTAAATGCTTATTGAGAGAGAAAGAGGGTGTGTTCATTGACCTCATTCTTCGTGTCTTATTTTATCTTTTTTCTCTTAAGTATTTATTTATTCATTCTTTCTTTCTCTCTCTTTCTCCTCTCTTTCAAGTATCAAAGACAGCTTCTTTAATTCGTTCCACACGTAATTCTGTTTGCGTTGAACGCAACAACAATCAACATAAAAAAGAGAATGATCTTATTGATGAATTGATCCCAGCTAATTCACGATCAGTTTCAGAGGAACCTGAAGAATTAATTCCATACAATGATGTTGTTGTCGTTACCGGTGATGGTGGTGGTGGCGGTGGTATGAACGATGACGCTGATGTTGATGCTGGTGATGTTGACGGTGATCTTGATCCACTGAAACAATCATTAGATCATCCAGATATGAGTCCACCTTATACTACTACTACTAATAATAATAATCAGACTGGCAACAATATTAATAATAAGCAAACACATACGAATAAAGACAACTTAGTCAATACAAATATGCCTAACAATAGTAGTAATCCTATCCAGTCGGCAGTCAAAGATTTACCAAATCCTGTGAATAATTTTATCAGTATGACTGAAGATAAATTAGCCGGTCATGAAGCTATACTAAGATTATTAGAACCCGGTGAAAGACTACACGTGATGTATCGTTGTGCACGTATTCTTGGTTTAGATATTTACGAAGGTTTATTACTATTTGGTCGTGCACACTTCTATGTCATTGATGGTTATACACTGATAAATACACGTGAAATTGTCGCTATAGACTCATTACCATCACATATAATACATGAACCAATTGTACCATCTACAATAATCGGAGCATCAAATAATAATAGTAGTAATACTAATTCAATAACTCGTTCATCATTCCATCGAATAAATATGAGTTCAAGTGATTTATGGAGTTCAGGAGCTGTTAGTCAGATAGCTGGAAAACAGTAAGTTCATGCATGCATATATGTGTATGTATGTATATATCTGTCCTATGTCCAGCTTCACAATTTATTTCACGTTTCACCACGGATTAATGTCAATCAGAGAACCATTGGTAACCATGGGGTACTTGACAGCTGTCTCGCCCCACCTCGGGGATCCTCATCAGCACGCACCTACGACCCTGATTAGGTGATCGAACCCCGGAACTCTAGATTAGGAAGCCAAGCTCTTTAACCATTCACCTACTTGAGCCGAAATTCACTTACCCGTGAATTCGAACTTCTGTTAATTTGCCATTTTAGCTCAACTGACAGCCAATGTTTATTGGCAAGTATTTGTCCTCACACCCGACCTGGTGGGTCTTAGTGGTTACAACATCGCGCTAGGACTTCAAGCAACCTTTCCCTGTAGTGAAACACTCGTAAGCATCTGATGAACTTTGAAGAGTTAGTTTGTAGGCTCCATATTTGATACTTGGTGGGATTGTAAGTACGTAATGCTGAAAAGTCCCAAACTAGGATGAAACAGCTGTCCACTAATCCCTGGTTTTCAGGAGTTCTCTAACTGATATCAATCCGTGATAAAATTTGAAACAAATCGAATCCCTTCAAACTAACTCGTCAAAGTTCACAATTTATTGTCCTTAAATTATACATCCACCTTCAGTCATTCTCATCAAGAAGTATCGGATTATAGGATCTTCGTTTTTGAATCTAAGCAATAATACAGGGAGAAGCAGCATTCAGAGATATCTTTCTCTTCTCGCATACGTTTACATGACAAGGAGTAAAGAAATTCAAATGAATCTGACACACTATGATGATTAAATCGTTTCTAGTAGGTAGGAGGATGTCTGTGAGTCATTTAAGCAACAGCACGGTATGGTGAACACATCATATCCAAGATTGGGTGCTGTGGTTCGCTCGCATTCGTATACTTTCAAAGACCATATAAACGAGGATTTACGGAATCCGACGGTCATAGTTTTTAAAACATTTTAGCGCTAATTCGCCCTCACTGAGTAGACACTCAATATTGAGGGTGCTGAGACTCCAGTAAAATGACTAGCAAGAGTTCAGATTTCTATCAACTACGATATCAATGAGTTGACACCACTTACCCTACTGATAGACAGCTTTCAGAGCTCTTCGAAGTACAAAAAGGTTGTATTTTTAAGCAATACTGGTAAAGAATGAAAAGGAGTAGGTAAATGGAAAAGGTTACAAATTGTAAAGATGCAGAGAGTGAGTTTTACTCTTTCCTCCAGCCTTTCTTCATTTCTTACGTTCTGAGTGGAGCATTGGGCTTAAAACTATAAGCTTTAAAATCTCAGTACACGTAGTTGTCTCCTCACGGGGTAGGATTTCTAAATTCATATCCCCAGCCTCCCCTTTATTCCGGGCGCATAACTGTGGCTAGGTGAGATTTCGAAGTGCGTCGTCGAGTGGGAATAGAACTCGGACCTCTTTCTTGACTGGCGAGCATTTGACCATTGAACTACTGGTTCACTTTTTATGATGCATATGAATATATATTCCCTAATGAGTTATTTTTCCATTTACATTTTCAGATATTTTAAATTTCCTTATGAAAATATTCAAGGTGTACAGAAACGCCGTTATTTACTTCATCCAATTGCACTGGAAGTTTTCAATTCAGATGGACGTAATTTTCTATTGGCATTCAGTAAAGGCTTACAAAATAAAGTTTATGACTGGTAAGCATAGAACGAACTATAATTGTTTGATTCCCTTAGTTTGTGTAATCAGCTTTATGAGTGTTCATATACCACCTGATACACTTAATGCATTTCTCTTTATTTCTTTTTCCCTTCTAAATAGAACAAAAGGCGTCAAGCTTTGAAGCTATGTTAGCGGTGATGTTGTCCGTTAACTTTCCCTCTTTTTATTTTTCTGGGTTAGTAAGCTCGGTGAGATTTGCGAGTGTGTGTATGTGTGTGTATTGGCCAGAATTGAACTCGGACCTCTCGTGAGGCTCACGAGCATTCAACCATTAAACCACCGAATCATATTTATTTAATGCATACATATAATCAATGAGCAAAGTTCACTTTTGTCTGTTGCCTTTCTCATGAATTATAGAGAGATACATTTTATGGATGGTTTAATACATTCCACAGTGACTGCTGACTGTAGTGACACATGTCGCTTAGCTAACAGAAAAAAGGGTATATTAGTCAAATATCAATTGGACATGTTAATGTGCAATTCTCATTTACTCTGTACACTTAATATTGTTATTCTATCCACATAAACGAAGTATTGGTGTAGTTATGTTCTCTCAACTGAATGGTTAATTAACAACCAACAGTCACAACCAGTGGTGGTTCAGCGATACGATCCTCCTCAGCCATAGACGTGGTCGGCGGTTCAATTGCCGGCGGGTGCACACCTTTACTTCCCTTAGCCGGTTGTAAGCCGCCTGACAAAAAGGGAAGCTAGCAACCCACCACACCGTAAAAAGCACCACTGCTACTGAAACTGCAAAGCTCATGTTTGAATTCCTATGTTACGCTCGGGACGCAAACGAATAAAATAAAATAAGAAGAAGTCACAATCGAGCTTGTCAAGACAAAAGGATTATATCGTTCGTGGAGAATTCAAATAGCTCCGCTTATTATTGAAGTCTGAACTGATGTCTTGAAGGACAATAAGAGCCCAGAAAATAAACCATCCAGTTGGGAAAGTATACAGCTGACATGAATATCATTCACCTGAGTTTTAAATCTCAATCATTCTGAGATGAGTAATTTCTGTTTTTTATGCCAGTTATGATTAATTAAAGTGATTCTATTGTATTCCGTCTTCTGGTATTTTCTTTTCTGTATCAATGACATTCTGTATTCTTCCTTTGCCTTTTGATTTTTTGTTTCTCTTATCTTCAGCTTCCAAAATGTTGCATCTGTCAATTCAGAATTCAATCAACAGAAAAGGTAAAGTCACTTTTAAATATTTTTCGTTTATTTATTATTTATGTATCATTATTATTAGTAGTAGTATTCCCTTGAGTTCCGAGTGGATTAGTGGGCTTCAGTAAGCACGTCTCCACTTTATCCTATTCTATGCAGTCCTCTTTGGATGGTTCCACGTTTGCCAATGAACTTTCATCTCCTTCTCACACAATCTCTTCCATGTCACCTTCAAGCAGTCCTAACTTGGTTGTCGATAGTTCTCCAATTGATATCGTTCCAAGATGAAGTGTTAGAATAAGTCAATTCTCCACAAATCCAGCAGTTAGGAGTTGAAAGAATATTTTCTTTTCTAATGAATGGAACAGAAACCGTTCCTTTGTTTTTAACCTCGTTATAGAACAACTAGTAGTTTAATTGGCAGTTAAGTCAGCTCTTCTATGTGGATCAGAAACTTGGTGCTCACTTCACTAGGAGCATTACTACTGCAGTCTTTTATCAACAGCTGCCTTCCTTGGCTGCATACTGAAGATAAAATGTCCAGCCAGGAAGAATTAAGAACAAGAAACTCTGACTGGGAACAAACTACCCAAAAACCTGTCGCTCAACAAATGTGCAGAAACAAACGGGAAGTGGATCAGACACATGCTGAGGAGACAGTCGAATGACATCGTGCTGCGGGACATAACACTCGAGTGGAACCCGAATAGGAAACGACGAGTTAGGCATGAGTTCGAGTGTTAAATGAAGGAGATTGTGCAAGGGGAAGATGACAGATAAAGGGCAATCGTGGAGCCAACTAAAGAGGACAGCAAAAAATAGGACGAAATGGAGATGTGTTGTTGAAGCCCTATGTTCCACTCGGAACCCAAGGGAACAGTAAGAGTAATAATACCTGTTGCAGTCTGGACCTAAGATGTTGCCTAGATAAATGATGAAAGCTTCGCGATTAAGCAGCGCGGCGCAGAGAACACAAATCTTCACCATTTTTCTAAAAGAAAATACTACAACATACAAATCGTTTTTCTCCCATTTGTTGTTTTTAATGATAATTAAATAAGACAACTCTACTTAGCTTTGAATTTTTCTTAAGAAACTTCTTAAAGAAAAAATAAAAGCATTTCTAGCTTTATTTGTTTTCAGGATGTTGTTGGACATGTTTTGTTTAAATGTTTAAAAATGGCTAGGATATGTATAGTTTCTACTCGCGTAGGCACGCATTTCCTGTTCAATGTTTCAATATGCAGTTAACTATCTATTCACTATTGTTGTTTTAGTTTTTAAAGAAACCTTTTCTATAATTTTTCCATTATATATATAATTCAAAAAATAAAAAAAACCAAGCTGATATTTCGCTCATTTTACCTAGATAATCAGAGCCACTAATTATTGATTTCTGTGTAAAGTAAGCTTCAAAGTAACTAGGGGGTATTTTTCTGTCTAGACCGTACAAGACTATCCATGTGGTTGATTCGCATAGTAAGCATTTGAGAACGACGTACACTTTCGCCAAAGAGACATAGAAATTAAGGCTTAGAGTAAAAAACAGATAACATAACACAGTGTTGGTTACCATAGTATTACGTAATATCGTCTTTGTAGGTAGTAAGTGATTGACATATGAGAATATAGATAACACAACTATATACCTGTGGTATTTATTTAACAGTGATTGGTACTTTCAGACTTACTGGCTGGAGATATACTCTGTTCCGTTTAATACCATCTGGGGAATATGTTTGTTCAAATTTTTTTGTTTTATCGGTCGTGGATGTCCACCTGCCATGTGGGAGGTTCGGGTTCGGTTACTGGCTAATTCTTTCTCATACCTCTTTTAGTCAGCATTAAGTCTCAAAAATAGGGAAGTTTAGGTGTGTGTGTGTGTGAAGCCAGCGGCCAACTCCCTATTCGCATAAAGCCATCACGACTACTGAAACTTCGAAGCCTGAATCCTTATGTTCCATTCGGAGTGAATAGAGATTAAAGGAAGAAGAATTCAACTCCATTAAAAATCATGGACTTAGAATCCTGTCTAGAACAAGGTCTTTGTGTCCACAAAGAAATCGTCTTAAGGTTGTCTTTGATAGAGAACATTTTTGATGAGACCGCTTTTAAATAAATCTGTTAGCATTTCTTTTAAATTTTTATGTGGCCTGCTGTAGTCGTAACTATGGCGACAATTCAATGAGTGTACTATCAAACGTATTTTTTCTTCTAGAAACCCAATTAATTCATATTGTCTTCACTTTTTTACTCGTCTTATTTATTGTGCTGTATTCGTGAATGGATGTCATAATATTGTTATAAGTTATATTCCCGAATTTTCCATGTTCATTGATTCTTCGGTTAATAATCATTTTAATGGTTGCACTACATTTAATATCAATAGAATAGAAGATATGATGTTATTTTCGTTGATGATGTTTAACAGTGGAATCCAGGACCAGTGGTTAGGACTCTCGCCGACCATGCACATGGTCCGGGGTTCGATCCCCTGCCGGCGCACACCCGATATCTATGGTCGGCCTGCGAAATTTGGGCTACCGATATCCATGCTGAAAATTCCATACTTCTACCAAAAGTACTGTGTGGAATCAAGCTGTAATCAAAAAAATATAAAATATAAGAGCCCAATCAGTATGGCCGAGTGGGCGATGCGTTAGCGTTTGAAATAATTACTATTTAGTTCAAGTTTCAGTGGAATTACCTACCACTGCTCACTTGAGATACAAGTACAGCTAGCTGATGAATGCGTTGCTCTACACCATCAACTAAAATAACATCATAATAACTATAAGACATGCTTGAAGCGTCCCTATTAGTAGCGCTGACATGACAACAGATAACTAAGCATTTTGGTGTAATGAACGGTTAAGTCAAAATAACAGTTTCATCAAATACAAATCGTAGACAGTTCCAAGATTAATTATACCAACATTTCAGTTTGCCTATCTTTAGAAAGAAGTCTACAGAAGGAGGGATGTTGAATGCTTAGCTAGCTAAAAATCATGCACGAACGAATGTAACACGACAGCGTGCCAAATCGCGTTGATGCTTGACCGCGAAGCTTCAGCCTAATGAAACGACTTAAATAGTCAAGGTTAGCATCCATGCTTAAGTGATGAATTCTGTAGGCCAATTAATTTGGGGAATTATTCACCGCTACAAGTCTTATTGAAGTTAACCCTGAATACGAGTTGTATAGAAAGACATTGAAAGCTTCTCGAATAAACCAGCACACTTGAGCTCAAGATCGTTTCAATCATTTCTAAATCTTTTTATCTTTATCGTAAGATGACGATACTCACTAATTGTGAGTTGATTTTCTTTTTCTCCTAACTTCTGTTCAATGTACCTCGATTTTCAATATACACATAGTTTTATTATTTTGTTTATTGGGAGTGCGACACAGTGAAACAGTTTTATTTGCTGAATTAGAACGTCTCATAGTCACATTGTCAACTGTAAGTAAGCAGCTTCGAAACTGTATTTTTACAGTCCCCGTTGTTGCTTCCAGTTTGTCGTAGGGGTAGTAGAATTTTCCAGATGTTCTATGGTACATATTTTTAATTTTTTGGATAAATAAGGCTTCAATTATCTGTCTCTCCCTCCACCCTGTTGCGTTCGAATTTAAGACTTATCGTATTCCATGCTATTGTATAGTTATATGTAAATGCATAAAGCTGGACTATTTTCTATATTTCTTATCTTATTGAGCTGAACTAAACTACATTTTGGTAGGTTTATAGAGTGGGAGGGAAAAAGATGAATATAAGTGAAGTTTATTCATTGAATCAACTGACAATACGTGCAATGAGAATGATTCAATACCCGTAACAGACACCTAGAAAAGTCTACTACCCCTACAGCTAGTGGGAATGAACAACGAGAACTATACAAAAATTGAGTATCAAAGTTATGTAGTTATTGTTGACGTCATCATCGAATAAATAATCCTATTTCACTGTGTCATATGTATCCAATAAATCAATCAATATGGGATTACCTGTTACCACAGTGTTCAATGCGTTTTTCCTTTCAGTCAATGATAAATACCCAATTCGCATGAATACACTCATTATAGTGTAGTTTACCATTGCTATTATTATTACTATTATTATCGTTGTCTCTGTGTATCTCTAACCTATTGTTAGTTTTTGTAGTTACCTATCTGTCTAAAATGAATTTTCAACTCTTCCTTCTCCATTTTCTAAAAGTATTCTAAAATACATAATCATATGATAAAACAGTGAATAAAGATTTTTGAATTCAACATTTCTAGTCCCCAAATGAAGATAATAGCGTCAAATTCGAAAACGTACTATTCATCTTTCCACCTTTTTATTTAAACGTACAAAAAATAATCTTAAAGTTGAGTAGCATAAGTTTGTGTAATTCATTCATACAGAAGAAGGTAGACTTCAATTGATTGAATAGTGAAGGTAAAATTATTCTGTTTTATTAGATGATAAGAAAGATTTCACAGCAAACGGAAGTGAGTTTGAGAGCTGTTGAAAACAAGGGAACACTGGACGTCTGTTTCATTCTGGTTTGAGACTACTCAGCACTATACACCGACGCCAACGTGCCAGGGGTCGGATCCAGCACCTTCAGATTGCCAGGGCGGCCTGTTAAATATTCAGTCACTTAGTTGGAATCTAATGTTCCGTGAATTCTAACTTCCTTGCGTGTCTGTTCCATACTCAACTTCGTGCACGATCCAAAAGGTCATCAATTCTCACTAGAACTTGAGGAAGTACATCTCATAGTCAGTAATGACATCTAAGCAGTGAATTGGATTTTCACCTGTTAGTTTGTAGGGATTTGATCAATGCCATTGAAGACTTCTCTTACTAATAGTGACTCGTGACCTTGAGACCTAACAAATCTCCCTTCACGGCAATACTTAAATCACTTTTAACTTTGCTGATCCATATTACTTTATTTTATTTCTACCTTCATTATCAGTTATTATTCATGTTTGGATGTCATGAGGAACGAGTTATTTCAGAATAAACAATAGTTCGTCCTATTCACGAGCAAACATTTAAGGTGCATTAGTTTATGGCTTATTAGAAGCTATTTCCTTTAACTCCACTTGCTTCTGTCTTCTGCTATATTTTTCACCTGCATCCATGCTAGTCCATACTGTTTCAACTCTTCTTCACACGATCTCCTCCATGTCACCCTTCGACGTCCCACTCGCCGCTTCCCTTTCGGGTTCCACTCGAGCACTGGCCTGACGTGCGATGTCACCCAGTGGCCTCCTCAGCGAGTGTTTAATCCATCTCCACTTTCTCCTGCATATTTGTTGAGCGATTGGTTCTTCTTTTGTTTGTTCCCACAGTTTCTTGTTGGTTCTTGTTCTTTCCGGCCATCTGATCTTCAGTATAGAGCGAAGACAGTTGTTGATAAAGGTCTGCAACAGGCTGTTGGAAATATTCTTTGTGACCCGCCAAGTTTCTGAACCGTATAGCAAAACTGACTTGACGTTTGTATTGAAAATCCGAATTTTGTTGTTGATGGTGAGTTGAGTGGCGAAGATTTTCAGATTGGTTTCAGTTTGATGAATGTGTTTCTCGCCTTCCCGATTCTCGATTTGACATCCTCGTCCGTTGCTCCTGTAGTTGAGACAATGCTCCCTAGATAAGTGAATGAAATAACCTCTTTAAATCCCTCCCGTTGATGGTGATTGGCGGTGGATGTTGCTGCTGCTATTGTTATTAGATGGTTGGCTGGTTATTTTCAAAACCTCCGTCTTGTCTATGTTCACCTGGAGTCCTGTCTTTGTAGCTTCTTCGACCAGTTTGTCGGCTTTCGCTTGTAAGTCTTCGATTTTGTGTGGCATCAAACATAAATCATCCACGCACGAAATCCAGGTCTTCTAGGTTCTCCACGTCGGTCCAGGATATCCCTGTCTTCTCGTTTCCCACTGTCTGACGCATAATCCAGTCCAGTCCACCACAATTAGGAATCTCATTGGTGATAATAAGCACCCTTGTCTGACTCCTGTGTTTACTCGAAACGCCTCGCTGAGTTTTCCGTTGTGGATCACTTGACATGTGCCGTTGTCGTAGAGCTGTTGAATAAGGTTGATGAATATTTGGGGTACGCCGTAGTACTTGAGTAGTTTCCAAATTACTTCGCGGTCAACGTTGTCGAAGGCCTTCTCAAAGTCCATAAAATTGAGGTAGAGATTTGATTGCCATTCCATGCTTTGTTCGATGATAATGCGTAGAGTTGCAATTTGGTCAGAACATGATTTGCCTTTCCTGAATCCAGCTTGTTCTGGTCGGAGTTCTGTATCCAGTGCGTCCTTTATTCTCTCCAAGATGATGCGACTAAGGATTTTACTTGGCGTCGACAGGAGCATGATTCCTCGCCAGTTCCTGCAGAGTCCTAGGTCGCCCTTCTAATTGAATAAATTGTCAAAGCGTGATCAAATTTTTATCGCATATTACCACTATAGTTGTTTGCTACCATGCTTACTATGTTCACAAGTGTATGTGTGCGTGTGTGTTTATTCTCCGACTTTCGGAAACTTTAAGTAACAGGTTTTAAATATTTGTCATATATTTGTGTGTCACTTTTTAACTGGTTACCCCCTACCTTAAGATAATGAGTGAATTAGTTGGACATGTCAACGTTGTATCAGCGCTAACAACGAGTTAACGGTTGACGAAATGTTGCATACATTCGAGAAAAGCGTGTTTGCTGTTTTTTTAATTTGTGTCAATTATTATGTAAATGAGATATCTGAAGGGTTGTTGCCCCATGAAATTATTGGGCTGTCTCCTTCTGTATAACTACAAAGCATCGTCATCCGCAGGTAGAATATTAACGAAAACTGCAAGTCTTTGACTATTTTTTTCAAGGAACCACCACATGAACCATATGTGACTCAGGGACAGAATCCTAAGTAAGACGTAGAAATCAAGTTCCGAAGTGTTTGTGACACGTGTTACGTTTATCTGCTCATTGTGCACCCTAAACATATACTGTGTTTTGTGAAAGTAGGATAATGTTTAAAGAAAATGAATGGTGATTAGAGCAATCTATAAAGTTACCGACTGCCGGCAGTCAACTTTGAATATTGGTGGTTGTGGAGGGATGTGGGTGGATTATCTAAGGTTCACGACACCCGAAAGCACACTGAGGGTTATTTCTCTGAAGACCTATAGAAATAGAGAGAATATTTCCATTCGTTAATTCCATTTCAACCACTGTATAATATTTCTTTATATACTGTATTTTTCCATGTTTTATTTTGTTGTAATATTTTCATACATATGGGAATGTAAGATATAGTCATAAGTTAATGCTAAACATCATGTTGATATCGTCTGTCTAAAAAAATTTCTATTCTGCAGGTCGTTGTTGTGAATGTATACGAAATCAGGGATATTTCATACCGGAATATATTACTAATAACCAGTGAGTAGTAGTAGGTGTAATGAAAATAATTTCCTAGGGGATGGACAAGCTTCTTTGTTAGCCGCGAAGTCATGATTTATGGATGCACTAACATGGCAACCTTATCGGACAGTTATGATTTGTTTATTTATGGCTTAATTTTCTGAGGGATTTCGATGTCACACAACCAATCTGTGGCTTACCTTCTTGAAGGTTTTGTATATATATATATATATATATATATATATATATATATATATATATGCATATATATATATATATATATGTCGCTGTCATTCCGGTCATCATTATTTTCCCAGTCTGACTTTTGTGTCTATCTTAGTGTAGCAGATGACTCCAATTTGGTTACAGTGTTGCGTTCTGGAGGCGCCTTCTAGTTAGTTTAGGCGAACCCACAGCCCAGTATCACTCAGTTATAACATAATTGGATTGACTGTTTGTTGCTTTTAAAAAATTTCAATTCCAACCAACTGATTTATTGACAAATTATTACCTCAGAAGTCCTCATCATCAATAAAGTTAAAACAATCGTTAAAAATCTCTTAGTAATCAGATTTTTCTTCGTTAATAGTACTAGTTACCAGTCTATGTTAATCATCTTTTGTTGTAATTAGTATTTTGTTTGCAGATTATGCGTTCTGTAGGCATTTTAATTGATTTCAGCGTGCATTTTTTGGCTAATGAACACATCAGTTAGGGAGACTCATTGAAAACCAGAGAGCACTGCATAACTAACTCGTTCCAGTTAAGGACCTTACAGTATGGCAGACTTACGATCGCATTAGATATCGAACCCTGGACCTTAATGTTACAAATCAGGCTGTTAGACTATTTCACCACCGTGAATTCTAAACTCTCTCGATTTTACAATATTGCGCTACTGTCTACCCATTGTGAGATCCACTTTACACTGACATGGTTGACACTACAGCAGGGCACGTCGGTTTTCGAAGATTTCATCACTTTCAGGGATTCTCTAACTAATGCTGGTTCGTGATGAAATCTACTTTGGAAGTATTTTTCCTATTTTACAAATGAACTAAATGTTCACTTTCAGTATCATTTCAAAAGGATTCGAATTTTAAAAGAAGTTCTATGCATTTATTTATCCATTTCTTCTTTATTTTTTATTTTGTTATCGTTTTTAGTTCTCAAAGCTTTTTAAGCAGTTTACTCGGTGTAAAATCAGTAATGCAAAGATGGGAGGTAAGTTTTCGATTTATTTATTACTTTTCAAAAATTCTGTAGTCCTTTACCTTCCCAGCGAAAAAACATAGGGCTTCAAGACTCAGCTTTGAAGTTTCGGTAGCAATTGCGTTTATTTCTTTTTACATCGTAAAGTTGCTAACTTTACACTCAATTTCGTCCTGTTGGCAAGGGAATCGTCAGGTGGTTGCACCTTCACACCAAGCGCTGAGTGTTGGTGTTCCTAATGAGACCAGAACTCTTCACTCACTGTTTAAAACACTAAATCTTTATCCACCGTGTGACGAGAACGATCTCTTGTGAAACCGGTACCGGTTCTTATTGTCGTTAAGTTTATCCATATTTCCGTGTGGATTGATTATGTTGGACTGAAATTCTGAGTTCATATGTCGAGTCCTAAATAGGACGAAATCCGGATCCTCGGTTTCAATTCTAGTCACTATTAACCAAAATAACATCAAGTTAATCTTCAGGCGTCGTCGAAGAGTCTGTTTCAAGAACTGACACGTCAACATAGACTGAGCATTTTGGTTCAAGATAATCAGTCAACGGGAAATGCAGATTAACTTAGAACAAAACAAGTCCTCAACACGAAGGACTAGACATATGACACTGGTTGCCCCCCCCCCCCGCCTTCCGAATAATCAATCAATTTTTCCATTAAAGTCAGTCGTTAACCTGAATAGCTCAACAGTAACGTCTCTGACTGCTCCATTGGCTGACGTGAATTTACATCTTTGAGAAGGCATCAATTCCTTCAGGGACTGTTGACGATTTCCTCTGATTCACTCCAACCATCTACACTTATTCTGCAGTGTGTATATGTAGTGGAGATATATTTTGTTGCTAAAATAAAAACTGAAAATCTTTCAAATTTTCTTTGAATTATTGATCTGCAACTTTGTTGACTTGATTTAAAACCGTGGAAAACCTATGAAAGAAAAAGGAAGAAGTAATTCGTCTGTCAGATTACATATTTTAATCTGTTTCAATCTTTGTAATCTTAGTGAAATCACTGAATATTTAATACTATTACTATTTGTTTTTCTCACATTACTATTTTTAGCACGGAGAATTGAGTAATTTTGAATATTTGATGTATTTAAATACACAAGCTGGTCGTTCTTATAATGATCTTATCCAGTATCCAGTGTTTCCATGGGTACTTGCTGATTATGACTCGGAAGAATTAGATCTATCCAGACCAGAGACATTTCGTGATCTATCTAAACCAATGGGAGCTCAAACACCTGATCGTTTAGCTCAATTCCAACGTCGTTACAAGGAATGGGATGATCCGACCGGTGAAACACCACCTTACCATTATGGAACGCATTATTCATCTGCTATGATTGTAGCATCTTATCTTTTTCGAATGGAACCATTCGCTCAACACTTTCTTAAACTTCAGGTATGTCGAAATTTGTTGTCTGTTGTTATTTTTTTTTGTTATTCATGTCAGAAAATAGGTTTTATCGGTGTCCGAGTATTCATCTTTCACAGAATTCTGATTAGAGAGGTGGGGAGTGCCGGGAATTGTAAAAATTGTTACTTAGACACAACATACGATTATGTTGATAACCAGTATTAATTGGAAATCGCAGGCAATTGATTGTCATACTTGTATGCTTTTAGACCCTGGGTTCGACTCCTCACAGAAGAGGAGGAAGCAGAAGGAGATGTCTTCGGAGGCTGTTGTTAAGCTGTTTAGAACCGCTTGCTTGATAGTGTCAGCTTGTAACGAAGTCTTTTATCGTCTAGAAGTCAATTAAGTACATGCAGAGCAAATAAAAATCAAAATAAACAACAAGCTTACATTTTGTCATTACTTTGTTTTCCGATTGGAATGGGTCTGCGAACCTTAAGCCCAACCTTTCCTCTTTACTGGTCTTACTACTGGCTAAGCAAGGTTAGAGAGTGTGTTGAACGGGAATCGGGTCTCTGAATATGCACGCTCAACCTAAATCCAGTATCAATTTATCACCGACTTTAGTAGATTCCTTTTTTTAGTTAAGAACATGACAGTTGTCAAAGCTTATTGTCATTTATTAACAAAAATAAATCAGAATGTATGAGAGAAAACAATTTGGGAAAAGTGGTGAATAATCTCGCCTGATCGACAGAGTTGACAACTAATTAATAAGTTAAGTGATGAGTAGTCATTTGGAAAACAAGAGAAAAAAAAGGAAGTGAGAATGGGTTGCAGAATAATAAATAGTACAGAATTACGTAGAGTTTCATATTATTTTCTATAGTTTGGTTTGTAAGGACTAGTTATGTTTTACGAGTTGATCACGGACTGATATCAGTTAGAAAACCATTGAAAACCAGGGAGTACTGGACAACTACTGTTTCATCCTTACAAACCAAACTATAGAAAATTAATCGAATGCTCGCTAGTGACTTGCTACAGGATGGAGCTTCCTGGAGTTCTAGTGAGAAGTCGTGACCAGTGAGGTCCAATTAGATGTCACGTGTGTGGATGGATGTCCCACCAACGACAATGGTCGCGCTAAATCACGAATTGATAGAAGTTAGAATTCATGAGCCATTGAATTGGGTCCCAGTGGCTGAATGGTATACGAGCTTGCCTTGTAACCGGAAGATCTTGGGTTCGAACCCCGGTGAGAGAGTACTGCCGAAGATTCCCAAACTAGGATGAAATAGCAGCTGTCCAGTACTCCCTGGTTTCCAATGATTCTCTAACTGATATCAGTCCGTGATCAACTCGTAAAAGTTTCATATTAGTTTGTTTATTAGATGCATCACACAATGAAACAGTATTATTTACTGGATGACGTTTCGAACACAATTTATTGTGGTTCATAATCATATCAATTATAATCACACAACTTCGAAACTTGAGTTTATAGTTTTCTTTCTTCTCGCCTATTTACCATTCCATGCGTTCCCACTGAGGCATACTGTTTCAAGTTTTCACGTTTCATTAACGATTTTGATTTCCCAGAATGTGAAGAATGGTGGTTGCTAGTCTCACTTTCGAGTTGTGAATATGACTCAATGTAATACTAGTTCACCTCGATGTATCGAATGAGAATTTCGGTGGTTTAAACTGATTTTGTTGTTCATCGAAAATGCCCATTAACAATTTAAATGACTGATCAATGAACAGCGAATATTCTCTTCGATAAAGTCGTCATCAGGTTCTTTATAATAATTAAAGAAAAAAATGTTATTAACAACATTAATGGTGTTTTAAATTACATTGAGTCAATAATATCAATAGATTCGATTTCAAAGGCATCAGTAAGATACAAAATGCATTAATATAACTGATTGAATATCAGAAAGTAATTTTAGAAAGTAATACCGAATTTGTGAGTTTATAGGCTCGATAGCAGGCCAGGGTAGCGATAACGGTTCCTTTTGCATGCACAGCTCCGGTTGGTTTAAGGTGATTGCAATCGTGTCTATTGTTTGGAGTGTTCGGTGTCTATAGGCCTTTGGTAATTTTCAAAAGAATGGACACGGAACAAAGAATACTCTTTTCGGTAAATTCATCATCAGGCTCTACAATTATATATACATTATAATGAATGAATGAATGAATTAGTCTTATGAACGACATTGATGTTTAAATAACATCAAATCAATAATATTGATAAATTACAGCTGAACAGCATCAACATAAAATAAACTGAATGTCAGAAGAATAAGGGAAGGTAATAGTACAAATTCATGAGTTTATAGTCCCTACTGAGGAGGGCCAGGGCTGTAGTAGGGTCTGGACTTGTTTCTTTTGGACACAGAGCACTGGTTGTTTGAGGCGAATTGCAATAGCCTCTGCTGTTTGGAGCATGCGGTGCTTCGACGATTTTGGTAGTTTGTTAGGCACCCGGTATATTATGGAGAAGGACTCGTCTACGCTGGCTGGCTTTGTGACCGGTTTGCACCAGATGGCCTAATATCGAGCTGTTAATAGTTTTAACTACACCTTTACTTAGCCATAGTGGGACATGTTCTCGAGCACGAAAAATCAAGTTCCTAGAGCAACGGCCAACATAAATCGCTCCACAAGCGCAGTTGAACTGATAAATACAATTTGAAGTGGCTAGTCTAGGTACTTCATCTTTCAGACGAGGTAGCACCATCGGTCGTGTAGAGAATAATACGTGTATTTCGCCAGCATTGAAAGTTCTTTGAACTGATTTTCTTAATTTCTTCGTAATTAACTCGCTTGGTATATCGCCCATGAATTGTAGTCGTATATAAAGTGACCCTATAGATGACACAGAAAGACTCTTCGATGCTAGTTTGTACCTGTTTCGACAAGGTGATCCAATATGGAACAATGTTGACGGTTTTAACAACACCTCTATTTAGCCACACTGCTAAGCGTTTCCCATCACGAATATTAAGGCCCCTAGAGCGACGGTCAACAACAACAACAACTGATTTTATTGTCTCACTGTGTGCACCACTGCTGATTAGCCTGATTCCGAACGATCGAGACGATTGATTATCCGGTGTTTAGATCGCTTCCGTTTGGCTAGCAACCACTAACTGTTGATGTGAGCGGTATATCCTGGTAGTCATATAAACCAATCCACTGTAGACTCTAATAATTACTTTTGAGATAATTTAACTTTTATTTTTTCATATTACTTATTGACTTTTATTTTAAATCCACTGTTTTTTTTTTCCTATTTCAAGGGTGGGCATTTTGACTTACCTGATAGAATGTTTCATAGTGTTAAAGATGCTTGGTTAAGTGCAAGTCGGCATAATATGGCTGATGTTCGAGAATTAATACCGGAATTCTTTTATCTACCTGATTTTTTAATTAATTCAAATAATTTTGAAATGGGAATTAAACAGAATGGAGTTGAAGTGAACAATGTCGTCTTACCACCATGGGCTAAATCGGATCCACGTGAATTTATACGAGTTCATCGTGAAGTAAGTAGTTGTAAAATATTAAATATATTCGTGTTTAACATTTCGTTTTGTAGTAAAGTTTATCGATTCAATCCATTATTATGAGCATAGATTTGTTTGTCAGACAGATCTACCGATCAATCACAATAGATCGATAAATGGATCTGATGAGCATAAAAATTGACAGATTTACCTCCAATTATTAGAAAATTCAATAATTGACATTAAGATGATGTGAGATGATTGCAAAAAGAGACTAGAGGAGAAAAGGATGCAGTAAAATAAAGAATAAATCGAACTCTCGATCTACACAGATCGTGGTGATTATTCCACCACTATTTTCTGTGGAAACGTGATTCCATAAATGGCAATCAAGAAACCCGATATTCATGCATGATTGTTTGAGGTGTTAGTAGTTGAATACCACTCACATCAATCAGTAGTGCTTGCTATAGCCAGATTATGCAAGTGATCTAAACACTGGGCGACCGTTTCGCTTGTTCTGCGCCGAGATTATCAGTTGTGTGCCCAGTTTAACTGAGATCAGAACGCTACATCAGTTCAAACCACCCAATTTGTGACTCTGTTTGAACGAACTGGTAATACTGATCAACTACAAGCTGATCGCGTACAATAATGACATGAAAGTGATTTCGTTAGTTGGCTATATCTCTTAGAATGTCTAATTATCATTAATGTAGGAATAATTCTTAAATCTAGATATGTGTAATAACGGATGATGGGAGGTAAGAATGAATTTACTGACAATCTCCGAATTACTGCAGTCTGATCACCTAGGAGTTGCCTAAGGAATCACACTAACCTGGTAACCTGGTCACTGTTACATTGGAAGCACCATAGGGGCTTGGTTTTGATTTACAGCTTGATTCCACACCGTATTTTCAGTACAAGTGTGGAATTTTCAGCATGGATATCGGTAGCCCAAATTCAGGCCGACCATAGATATCGGGTGTACACCGGCAGGGGATCGAACCCCGGACCATGTGCATGGTCGGCGAGAGTCCTAACCACTGTGCCACCGACCCAGATGTTGTCATGCCCTTGTATGAGTGATAAATTATCCCGTCCATGTGTCGTCACACACTAGCTGCCCACTTACGTCTTGCTTCTCCAATCACTATTCCAATCGAGTTGATTTTGAAGGAGAAGAGCAGCAGGTTGTTAATTTATCATCAGATAGACAGTCTCGAATTGGCTAACTGCTGTTGAAAGATGCGATCTTTGGTGATATAAAACAGCAATATGAAAGTCTTGGTTATAGCAGATTTCGAATTAGAAAATGCGCTCGATCTCCTCCTAGTACACGAACGCATTGACGATCTGTAAATAGAGGTGGCTCTCATTGCCGAGTGGATAATGCTTTTGACGTTTGAAACAATGGTTGCACAGTCTTAATGCGATGCAGGTATACCCAGTTGTGGCGAGTACCAAATCGGGACTCTAGGACTCCACGACTAGTCAAGCAAGTAAAACTGTTGAAAATTTTAGGAATGATGCATGGTCAATGATTTCAATTCGTGTCATTAATTTTTAAGTGTGTAATATTCAACCATTGATTTACAACACTTCGAGTCCTCTTTCAGTACAGCATGACTCCCCCCGCCCATAAACTTTATGCATCAAGATGTTGTGAGGTGACCGAGTACAAATATGACTAACGAGATACAACAGACGATGGCGGAAAGACTGGTATTGCTTAGTAGTTAAATTGCCCTGACCCGAAGAGTAAATTTAGAAGACCCACACGTTGACGAAGGATATGTGCATCATTCCAAAAAGGGAAATTGTCACACAAAAGTGTGAATGGAAAAGTGTCAATCAATCGTACATTACAAAAGTATAAGAAAATAACTAACTTACATGAACCAATTAAGACAGATAATTAGTTTTTCTTACCACCAACTGGATTCTGATTGGCTGCAATGTCACGTGACAAAGGTCATACAATGTTATTTAGTTGATTGACAGACAAGATAATTGTGAGTCATAACTCGACTAACGATCAATAGACATATAGCAAACAAAGCAGATTTCATGTGACTACATATTACACGGGCACGAAGAGATGCCTCACACAAAAACCAATAGTTTGTGTGAGGGCGGAGATGGTTGTCCAAAAGGGACCATTCCCTGAGCCTTTGACTTGAAACCTGGCCCACAGGAATTAGAGCTACGTTCCCATGGTTTCCGGGGCCTATTCGATGCCTTTGGATTCTGGGCCCCCCCCTATGTACACCATTGGTTTAGCATCAGTGTTTTCCACCTCTGCTAGTTAGACTTGTATGTCTACCAGTCCCGTTGTGAGTGTAGTAAATAAACATAACCACTTCTCACAGTAGGTCAATTTCGCCTCTTTCACGTATCATTGTGAGTTATAAACCATGCTTGTTATATTCAGTCCTCGCTGAAAATATCAAAGAGAGATGTATCATTTTTATCAGAGACAAAATGCCTAACTTACAGCCTTTTTAAATTTTTGTATTAATGTCTTCAGTCAATTTTACTTTTTATAGCAAACAAAAAATAAGAAGGAGATCTCTTAACGTCTGCTGTGCCATTGTTTCACTTTTTATAGGCTTTAGAAAGTGAATATGTCTCTGCACACTTACATGAATGGATTGATTTAATCTTTGGTTATAAACAACAAGGTGAAAATGCAGTCCAATCAGCTAATGTTTTTCACTATTTATTCTATGAAGGAAATGTTGATATTTATTCAATAGACGATCCATTGAAACGATCAGCTGTTATCGGTTTCATCAATAATTTCGGTCAAATACCTAAACAATTGTTTAAAAAACCACATCCATGCAGACGGGTGATTATACCACGTCAGTCGTCACGCTTTTTCAGCTCTGTTATTGGACTTAATTCTGGCAGCCAGTTAGCCTGTGATTTATTCTATCGTAATCTTGATATTTTACGACCAAGTTTACAGCCTATTAAAGGTTAGTTGAGTTTGCCTATTTGTATGTACATTGGTATCATGGTGTTACATATATTACTTATAATCAGTATTGATTTTATCAGATCAAGGTGTTCGATTGTTTATCAGTCGGTTATCTTATCCACTAGTGGGCTTGAAGTATAAAATAGGTTGCGTAGGGTTTGAACGACTTGGCAACATATCTCATACCGTGAGACCTAATAAAGTTATAAATTTTTATGGTATATATATATATATATATAAACTATATGTGACCTTGCTATTTCATAACTGGCACTTCATTATCAGAATGAAAGCATGATCGCGAAAGCGAGATAGACCTTCGTGAATCTGAAATCAGTACGTAAGTGTGTTGCTGCGATCACCATAAGGAACAAGATTTTGGAATTTTCAACACTAATGTGAAGTTAGTGTTTCAGTATGTTTCAGGTAGTTGGCGCACGTGTTACAAAAGCATGGCGAACAGCCTATTGCAGACTGTCATCAACAGCTGTCTTCACTTCATATTTTGAAGATCAATGTCTATAAAGAATAAATGAGCAACGGGGAACTCTGGCAACAAACTAACAAAGAAACCGTCATACACAAGAAATGTACCGAAGAAAAGTGGAGATGAATTGGACGTACTCTGAGATGAGACCATTGAGTTGTACCGTGTGCCAGGCCATAGCTCAAGTGGTAGCCGAATTGGAGTCAAGTTGGGTGTGGACCCGAGGGTGACATGGAGGAGATCGTGTGTGGAGGAAGTAATGGCTTAGGGGTAATTGTGGGATCAGCTAAAAAAGACTGCAGGGTGAAATGGAAATACTTCGCCTAAGACCCCTATGTTCCACATAGGAATCCGAGGGAATAATAATAATAACAGGAGTGAGAAGTGTTTACAAGTTTTATGTATCACCTAGGGGATCCTTTTGTCTTTCACTACTTACTCACAAGCGGATAAAAAACTATTTAAAAAATGAGAATGAGTGATATACCATCACATCGGTATCTATACACCAATGTAAATATGTCCCACCTTTTCTGTTTAATGAAATTCTTGCTCTCTGGCTCATTGGTCTAGAGACGCTCCACTTCCGACCACTGGTTTCAACCCTGCTTCACCTACATAGGTTTGGACAGCCAGGTGGCTCTCACAATATCAGTGTCGACTGCATGGAAGAGTTAGTAGCTGTTGATATTTCAACCATCCATTTTTAATGGAATTAATACTGATAATATGATTGTGTCTAATGATGAGACGGTTTACAAGTAGATATCAAGACTTGAAGGAGAAGAAGGAAAATAAATAAATAAAAGTCAGCAATGACCGTCAGCCTCAAGTACCTTCTAGTAAGGCCTGAATAAGGATGAGACAGGTAGCGTTTGTTTCAATTAGCAAATAGATAATCTGTAGGGTATTCATCTCCTGTTGTTGTTGTTTTTTGTCTTGTTATTATCTCTTCCTTTGTTTTGTTCCCTTCCCACTTTTATCACAGAACTGAAACATGCAGTCGGTCAAATTGTCCAACTGGACCCACAGTTTATACCGAGTGGAACAAATATCAATAATATGAATACTGGGGCTACAGTTAATCGTCCAATACTCAGCTTAAATATTAATTCAGATAGTATGAATAATGAGAATGTTAACTTGTCTTCTGCTAATAATAATAATAACAGCATCAACAATAATACTAATACTAATAATAATAATAGTAATTCTGGATTAATATCAGATAAAAATGTCAATAGTTCTGGTAATACAACTAGTTATCAAACAATGACAACAACTATAATCGGTGGACCGATTATTGCTGTTGAACAGAATAAATGTCTTCTACCACCGAATTATACGCATTATCTTGCATGGGGTTTCACTGATGGCAGTCTACGCTTAGGATCATTATTCGACTCAAATGAACGTGTTCGTTATATATTTGAAATGGTGGATCAAAATGAAATTCTGTGCTGTACATCACCTAATAAATACACGATTATTACAGCTGGTTTAAGCACTGTAATACGTGTATGGTTTGTAAGTGCCTTTTTCTTAATTATGAATGGTGTATAGTTTTTTCTTCTCGTGTAGTGTGCTATCCTTCAAGCGTCCTAATTGTTTGGTTACAGGATTTCATCATGAGCTGACATTGGTTAGAGAACCATTGGAAAACCTGGGAGTACTGGACAGCTGTTTCATCCTATTTTGGGATTCTTCATCAGCACGCACCTACCGGGGTTCGAACCCAGGACCTCCTGGTTACAAGGCGAGCTCGTAAACCATTAAGCCACTGGGACCTGATCCAATATCTCATGAATTCTAACTTCTGCCAATTCACAATATAGAGTAAACAGCTGTGCAGTACTCCCAGGTTTTCTAATGGTTCTCTAACCAATGTCAACTCATGATGAAATCCTGTAACCAATCAACCAAATCCCTACAAACCAATACTTGAATATCCTAATTGTCTGTTAGATGGTTGGAGGCAATCGGCATGAAGAAAGCCTTTGACCTAAGTTTCGTGCTTTCTGGCACTAGCCACCAAGGCATATCTACAATCATGAAGGAATTCATGATGTCCCTTTTGAGATTCGAACCTGTGTCACCCAGTACCCTCAGTTAGAGACTTTACCACTGAGCTATTCAGGCTGGCGGTTGACTTTATAGGGGAATGTATTGGGTACTTTGATTGGACACTAGGTAGTGACTAATGTCATGCGTCTAGACCTTGGTGTTGGTGCATAGTGAATCCTGTCAGTTAAGTTTGCAAGCATGAAACCTAGGTCCAAGGCTTCCTGTCGATTGTCCCCAACCATCTAATAACAACAATTCTGAGTACACTGTGGAAGCCAGCCATCTCTAACACGGTGATCACATTGCAACTTGACTGGTGAAATTCAGTCTGCACCAACACCAAGGACTAGATGCATGACATCTGTTACTACCTAGTGTCCCAACAAAACAACTGTATTCGACCCATTGGATTCATAATCTTTAGTGGTCGGCTTTCAGCTATTGCATCCCGAGTTCGAGTCCTGCATACTTCACATTAACTCAGTTTAAGTGACTGATTTGGCAGTATCATCAGATAGGATAAGTGTACTTTGACAAATGATTATGAGCAACAAGTTATTTCAATATAGAAAAAATTTCCATTTAGACATTAAGAAAACAGAAAGATTGAGTGAAGAAATATTTACTTTTTCAATTAGATCCTCATTTCACTCTGGCTCTACTCTAATATATACGTATAGCATTTTTATTACAATACACAACAGTTCACCAAACAAGTGACGATATGTTTGTTAACAATAATTAAACAGTGTCAAAATGTCAATGGGTTGATAATTAACGAAGAAAATCAATACAAATTTAAAAAGATAGAAATGGAATAAATTAATTTTAAAAGGATAACACGCAATTAAAGATGAAGTGGTCAAAATAAATAAAAATAAAATAATTTGGACAATTACAATTTTTATAATTTTTAAAAGTTTAGAGGGGCGACGTAGTCCTGTTTATGCATTCTTGTAACGATGGCCACGGTAAGGAAAGTGGCCGTACAAATTTCTTCTGAACACACAGGTTTGGCTTCTTCAGGTGGATTCCGATTGCTTCAGCTGTCTGTAGAAGACGAACTCGTAGAGCAAAATTAAGATTAGTCGGAATGCAATAAATGATTTTAAATGCACTATTAACATCAACCTTGTGCTCAGTATCTACAAGGTGTGCTACAATAGAGCTTTTGTTGTCCTTTGCTTAACTATGTTGGATGATGTTCGGAAATACGATGATGAACCCGCCTAATTGTATGCCCAGTGTAGCTGGCTCCACAGCTGCAGTTCATCTGGTAGATACACATAGAGGAGGCAAATTGAGGTAGTTTATCCTTATTTCTCAAAAAAGGATGAAATAGCTGACCAGTACTCCATGATTTTCTAACTTTATTTATTATATTTTATTACACATATCCAAAATCAGTTTCACACTTAATCGTTTGAAAAGAAAAATTTGGACATTGGGTGCTTATAGGAGATTGATTATTGTAAGAAATTTTTATATTGCCTAATGAATGTGATAAACACTTTCATTGCATGTAGACACATGCTGTTTTGATTATTTCATGCATACATCATCAAATCGAACAATCTGGTTTTTCTTATCTTCACGATTTCATCCAATTGGCAACGCGGAAATCACCTCATGCTGAACAAGTATAATTCAGTTACTGTATATAAGCTGTGATTTTGTAAATCTGCGATCTTAATAAAGCTATTAGCAACAGCATTAAAAATCGAAACCCCAGTAGAAAACCCAATATTTTTTTGTTTTGTTTTTCATTCATTGGGAAGTACAAAATTTTTCTACAATAATAATAATAATAAAGATCATTACTATTATATTTTGTTATTTATTTAGAATATTTATTTTACTTTTTAGCATAATATGATTGATTATTTGTTGTTGTTTGCTTTCGCTAAATTATTTTTTAATCATCTACTTTGTTTGTTGTGTATACATCTATAGCTTAGTTCTCATGATGTAAGTAACAACACAACAAGTTCAAATAATTCTTCTGGTGTTGGCTTATTAACCACATCCAGTTCATCGTCTATTGCCTATGGTGGTGGTTGCCATTTATCCGGTGGTTCACGTCTTAAACTACGTGCAACACTCTACGGACATACTGATGCTATAACCTGTTTAGCTGCCTCAGATGCATTTAATCTAATTGTCAGTGGTAGTCGTGATAGAACTTGTATCCTATGGGATTTAAGTCGTCTATGCTTTCTACGCCAATTATCTAATCATGTTGCACCGATTGCTGCGATTTGTATTAATGAAGCTACTGGAGATATAGCAAGTTGTGCTGGAACACGTTTATACTTATGGAATTGTAATGGGGAACCAGTCGCTTCAACGGATACACCAGTCGGTCGGAATAAACAAATTCTCTGTGTTTGTATGAGTACTGTAAGTTGATAGGAGATTATAATTTAATTTCGTTTCGTCCCTTTATAATCCCTTTATAAAATGTGAAACAGACTGAAAACTATGGTGTACAAGACGGAAATTTTGTACTAATTCTTTATTGGCTTTGTGTTTTTTTTACTGCAGTATATTCTTATTTATTAGAGAAGGGACAGGTTCGATTCCTAGTCGACACACTGCTAAACTTCTCCTGGTCGGTGGTAGTAAGCCCGGAAAAGGGACAATGTTGCATGCGAGGCTAGTATCCCCACTCCGGTGAAAATACTACCATTGCTACTGAAACGGGCAAGCTTAAGCTCAGTAACTGTATGTCGTAGGTTACAACTGGAGGGAAACAAAGTCTCCCTAGGAGAGATATCTGTCTGTTTTCGACATATGTGCCGCAGTTCAAGTCGCCACACTCCATGTAGCACACAAAGCAAAAGAAGAAAGTAGAAGAAATGCATAATATAGTCAGTAAACAGAGGTGTGAGACAAAGGAATAGTAATAACGAAGAACAAAACAGTTTAATTGGAAATCATAAGTCACAAGGAGTGGATGCATCTGCGCTATGCATTGCGAACGATTTTGGGCCATGTCACCAATTGTTTCCAACCATTGGTGTTAACCGTCCCGAGGACCCCAACCAGTCAGGAAGTCTACACCTTCCTACGTGGCTTAGGCTAACTGTTGTAGATTTCATTGACTGGTGCCATGTTTTCGTTTGACCGCCGCTAGCTGTTTTCCGGCCTGACCCTATATCAGCTAACATTGCCCGTCGAGGAATATAGATATAGAGTGAAGGAGTCATTGCTTACGAAGGTATTATTAAGTTTGAAATCACACAGTTCACGCCTTGCTTTCCGAATGGTGACAGTTTCAGTAATTCAAACTAGTTTTGAAGTGTTTTCTCTGTTCATCATCCTAAAACTTACTAATGTGTCAGTCTCATGTCCTCTATCATGTGAGTGACGAAATTTGATCGAAGATATATTTCACTATGAAGTGTAGATGTTTGCATTAAATCATTCTCATCAATTTTCACCAACCAAGCATAGTAGCATATCTAAATATTTCCAAGTATTGGTTGTCAGGGATTTGGTTGACTTCAGGTTATTTCAGTAATTGACATCAGTTAGTAGAGGATCTTTGAAAGCTAGGGAATACTGGCTTGAGATTCTTTTTTTTACCAATTAAAATTAAATCAAAATGTTTTTATGGGTCACAAAACGTGAAAATAAGTTGATTGGTGAGTTAAAAAGAAAAATTGCGACTACCTTATGAAATGCAGAACTCTCTTGCTACTCATCAACCTTCATTTGAAATGGGAACAATTTGTTGAACATATTGATCGTAAATGTACAAATTATTGACTTCAGCGCTTGACTTTTGGCCGGATAACTTCCTGGTTCCAATACTGTTTCACCTACCTTAGCCTGTGCAACACTGGATGGGACTTACCACCGACTATTACAGCAAATACCATTTATCATCAGGGGAAAAGCCTGAAAGAAGTCATCCTTTTCAGTTAACTAGATGGCATCATTCCAACGAAATCTGAAGTCTTGAATGCAATCAAGCTTCTGAAAGCTGGAAAAGCAGCTGGACCAGATGGAATACCCCCTGAAACACTGAGAGCGAACCCATAGAGGACAGCAGATATGCTGACTCCATTATTGCTAAAGGTCTGGAAGAAGGGGAAGGTACCTGCTGACTGGAAGAAAGATTACCTCGTGAAACTACCAAAGAAGGGCGACTTAGGACTCTGCAAGAACATGCGAGGAATCATGTTCCTATCGACGCCAAGTAAAATTCTGAGTCGCATCATCCTGGAGAGAATAAAGGACGCACTGAATACAGAACTCCGCCCGCCAGAACAAGCTGGATTCAGGAAAGGCAAATCATGCGCTGACCAAATTGTAACTCTACGCATCATCATCGAACAAAGCATGGAATGGCAATCAAACCTCTACCTCAACTTTATAGACTTTGAGAAGGCCTTCGACAGCGTTGATCGCGAAGTAATTTGGAAACTACCCGAGTACTACGGCGTACCCCAAATATTCATCAACCTTATTCAACAGCTGTACGACAACGGCACATGTCAAGTGATCCACAACGGAAAACTCAGCGAGGCGTTTGGAGTAAACACAGGAGTCAGACAAGGGTGCTTATCACCACCAATGATATTCCTAATTGTGGTGGACTCGACTATGCGTCAGACAGTGGGAAACGAGAAGACAGGGATATCCTGGACCGAAGTGAAGAACCTAGAAGACCTGGATTTCGCGAGTGGATGATTTATGTTTGATGTCACACAAAATCGACGACTTACAAGCGAAAACCGACAAACTGGTTGAAGAGGCTGGCAGCAAAGACAGGACTCCAGGTGAATATAGACAAGACCGAGGTTATGAAAATAATCAACCAACAACAACAACAGCAGCATCAGCAACATCCAGTGCCAATCACCATCAACGGGAGGGATTCGAAAGAGGTTACTTCATTCACTTATCTAGGGAGCATTGTCTCAACTACAGGAGGAGGAACGGACGAGGATGTCAAATCGAGAATCGGGAAGGCGAGAAACACATTCATCAACCTGAAACCAATCTGGAAATCTTCGTCACTCAGCCTGCATCAACAACAAAATTCGGATTTTCAATACAAACGTCAAGTCAGTCAGTTCTTCTATACGGATGGATCAGAAACTTGGCAGTGGGTCACCAAGAATATTTCCAACAGCCTGTTGCAGACCTTTATCAACAACTATCTTCGTTCTACACTGAAGGTCAGATGGCCGGAAAGAATCACCAACAAGAAACTATGGGTACAAACAAAACAAGAACCAATCGCTCAACAAATATGCAGGAGAAAGTGGAGATGGATTGGACACTCGCTGAGGAAGCGGTTGGGTGACATTGCGCGTCAGGCCATAGCTCGAGTGTAACCCGAAAGGGAAGCGGCGAGTGGGACGTCCGGCGGTGACATGGAGGAGATCGTGTGAAGAAGAGTTGAAACAGTATGGACTAACATGAATGCAGGTGAAAAGTACAGCAGAAGACAGAAGCAAGTGGAGACGTGCAGTTGAAGACCTATGTACCACTAGAAACCCAAGGGAACAATAATAATGATCATAATCATTTCAACTACAGGCGGCACAGATGCGGATGTATCAAAGCCAGAATTTGAAAACTAAGACAGACCTTCATTACTCTGAAATCAGTGTGAAAATCTGCTGCACTCAACATAAACAACAAGATCCGAACTCCCAGTATCAATATCAAGTACATAAGTGCTCCTAACGGCACGAAAAGCATTTCCAACGATCTACTGCAGACTGTCATAAAAAGGTGCATACATAAAGTCTTGCAGCCAGTCACTGGTGAGCATCAGGTCGAAGTTGAATTGAGTTTCTAGTGAGAATTCGTGATCAGTGGGGTCCCCACCTGGTTAAAAGTGAGGACGAATACTCGTCAATGGTATTGACTGGTGCTCGCATATACGTGCTGTTTTTAGTGTGTTTCAAACAATCGGTAGTTGCATTACAGATGATATTTCAGGGGTTAGATTTCTTCATGAACCATCATCAGTTAGAGAGACCTTTGGAATCCAGGGAGTAGCTGGACAGGGGCTCTTTATCAGCCTGCACCCACGACACCATCAAGAATAGAACTCAGGACTTTCAGGTTGTGTGATCATTGAACCTCTTTGAATGGAATTCAATGACCCATGAATTCTAACGCAATCAATTTGTGACATAAGACAACCTTCAATGAGCTTATCCCATGATCTTAGTCACCAGCTCATTGATTGCTACTGGATGGACGTGCTGAACGCGTAGTGAGAAGTTGTGACCAGTCGGGTCCACCAAGTCAAGATGAAGTGGGTGCTCATCAAAGACTTAGTTACAATTCACGGGTCATTAAACTACGGTCTAAGTAACGGGACGATCACCGAACTTGGTCTCGTAACCTGAAGGTCAAGGGTTCGATCTCTGGTGACGTCATGAATGTGCACTGCCGTGAAGAGTCCTTAAGTTGGAGGAAGCAACTGTCCAGTGCTTTTTGGTTCTCGATAATCTCCAAATGATGTTGTTGCGTGACGATATCTAGTTACTGAAATTGATCCAGTAGCCTACAAAAATGCATTTTCAAGTATTGGTTTTGTAGGGATTTCGATTGATTGAATGGAGGATTACATCATGAGCTGAAATCAGTTAGAGAACCACTGGAAAACCCAGTGGATGCGTACTGTTGAAGAGTCCCAAACTAGGACGAAACAGCTGTCCAGTACTCCCAGGTTTTCCAATGGTTCTCTAACTGATGTGAGCTCATGATAAAATCCCCCATCCAATCAAAAACGCATTTAATATCTTCACTTCCATGGAAAACATTTGCTGCGTTGATTTTGGCTTGCATTGCTTTATGGTAAAATAACTTTTTATAGGCGTCTCCACCTATATACATACTATAATCATCTTTAACATAGCTGATTTTAGTTGTTTTACTACACACTCGTAGCTTCTGTCTAAATGTAATCTTTTTTTCGGTTTTTTTTTACGTTTAACAATTGCACTAGAAAATTCTTTTCATTTACTGGAGGTGATGGCGTAATACTTTTTTTAAATATTTCTATTCTCTAATAATAAAATAGCTTTATGACTGGGATGCAGAAAATGTGGTTATAACTGGTAGTTCTGATGGTGTAGTCCGGATGTGGTGTCTGAAGCATATATGTACAAAAGACAACGATGAGGATGAGGATAATAGGAGTGGGAGTGTTGGAGTGTGTGGTACTGTTGCTGGTGTCAATAACACTAATGATAATAATAATAATGCTGGTAATCAAGAGAGTAATAATGATTCAGAAAAAAGTAGAACCGATTACAAGGCGGACCATTGTGAAAATTCTTCAGAGGAAACCCGGACAATAGAGATTTCGGTATGTACTTTAAGTTATTCTTTGTTACTACTAATAATTGTAATCAGTAGTTTGCAAATTCTTATACATTAATTTTACTTAAAGTATGTCACACATTTTTGGTTTTAGTTTTCAATCTTTTTACTAGCTAAGTCGGTGTCATTAAAAAAAACCATATATATACATATATATCCCATATGAACATAAATCCAAACGAAATCACCCTTCTGAAGAGAGGGAAAGAAAAATGTGTGAATAATGATAGTATTCAGTGTCCTCCAAGATGACCTTAACCAACTCGCTTTCAGTTTACAATGGAGTGTGAAGATGAGGAAAGGTTTCACTTTTGCGACCTTGGCATCGAACGTGATAAAGATGTTAAAATCATGAGTTACATCTATAGAAAGGAGATACGAAGGGCGATTTACCTTAAACTTCAAAAGCTCCTGCCCTATAAGTTACAAAAAAGGATTGATGAGAACACTGTTTGATCGTGTAAGGAAGCTTTGCTCAGAAGAGAAAGTGGAGGGAGAACTAGCCACTATTGAAAAATGTTTGCGTAATAATGGTTGCCCACAGAAGTTCATCGACAAACATGGAAAACGTAGTCTTGACAAGCACAGTAGAGAAAAAAACCCGTCTTTCTACAGTTTGCCTTTAAAGGTGAAGATGCTGCAAGTAGAATACGATGCAGACTGAACACTGCCCTGAAAAGAACATATCCAGCTGCCAAGCTTCTGCATGTTTATCAAACTACCTGTTGTTAAAGTCAGTCAAAAGTGGACAAACTCCCACCTCAGGTTGTGGTAGTGTGATACAGACAATGTGTCCCAAGCGAATGTTATTCTCACATGTTCCCACTGTTCAATTCGGCATTAACAACAGAATACGATATATCTATTTGAACATACTATTTGACGTTAGAGACAGAATACTTTCCCACAGTTCAATACTGCATTGGCAACAGAATACTGTGTATATTTGAACATTCTATTTCTTGTCGTTTATGTAAACCGAAATCACACGTTCAGTGATTGGTTAACGAATATAAACTGTAGATATATTAAACAGCTGTTTGGTTAATGGAAAATATACCTTGGTTCCCGTGTCTTGCACTCTGTTGTTACAATGTTACCTCCAAATGCGTCTACCAATTTACATGTACGTGCAAAAACACATACATTGGAGGAACAGAGGGAAGAATTATTGTCCGCATCGCTGAACGCATACCAAAGAACCCTAGATTTAAGGGCCCACAAGCATCAGACAGTGCGATTACACGCCATTTACTAGACACTGGCCATGTTGTGGACAACCTGAAGGAATTCAAAATAATCAACAGACAAAAGAAACCTAGCCTGCTTCGTTTAGGCGAGGCAATCGCCATCAAACAGCTAAAACCAAATCGATGTACGCAGAAAAAGACAGTGGTGAATCTTACACTGCCTTGGTGATAACAGAGCGCAAAATTTTCACTACGTCATTTTCTGTCCTGTTTAGAAAGTTTGAATTTTTCGGTTAAACATGACTCATCCTACCCCCGCTCCCACCCTTTTTGTCTATTTTATGAAAACGTGTCCTTCTGTGGTTACGTAATGCATTACTTTTTATACTCTCTGTCTAGTTAAACTTTATTTCTACTCACAAAACATTTGTTGAACTCTGTCCTTTTGTTTCCAAGCTTAGTCATGCAATTCTTCTATAAACAGTCGATTCTTTTCACTCTCAATTATTCAATAACTTACATTATTCCTGACCAATGTCACTCTCAGTTCTAATCAATTACTCATTATCATTGTAAAATAGTTTTTTTTCCTTCACGTTCCCCAGTGGAACATATGGCTTCAAGATAGTGGCTTGAAGTTTCTGTAGCAGTGTTTGTTTTACAGGATGGGGTTGCTAGCCTCATGCCCAACTTTCCCTCTTTACCAGTCTTACTACTGGCTAAGCGAGGTAAAGGAGTGCGTCGGCCGGGGATCGAACCCCGGACCATGTGCATGGTCGGCGAGCGTCCTAACCGCTATACCACCGACGCTGGAAAAATAGTATCGTTACATTCTTAATTTAATTTATAATTTTGGTATTGTTCAGATTGTAAACAGTTGAGAAGAATCTACGAAATAATAAACGTAAGAACATGAGCTCAGATTATTCTGGTACATTAGTCGTTATTGCTTTGTTTAAATTTAAATATCTGTTAGCAACAGGATTCGATTCCTGCCTGGTTCACTCGTTAACCTCACCTAGTTAACTGACTGGTAGTAAACCCAGCATAAAGTGGGAAAGTTGGGCATCCCCAATCTCGTGGTGAAAATAACGCCGTCACTACTCTAAAGCTTGAAGCCGTGTGTGTTTCACTCAAAACTCAAGTAAGGAAAAAGAAAGACAGATATTCGCAACATAACATAATGTGATCAGTAGGTGTAAATTACATGGACCAGACACGCTTTGTGTTCTTATGAATTTGTTTAGTTGGGAATTTATGTTTCTCTTCTTATTTCAATAGTTTCACTTTATCACGAGTTTCGTTGAAGTTCATCATGCGGTGTGATGAAAATGAATTCGTTTTGTTGGTGTAATTTAATTTATTTATTCTTTTAACAATTATGAGAGACGCTTTGTTTGCAAAAACTGATGCTTTTGTACACCGTAGAAGACACAATTAACTGTTAACGTTTTCTTGTGAGTTCCCAGCTAGTCGTAGGATCAGGGGGTTCGGATAATGGTTCGTTTGTCGCGATATTTTTACATTCGTAGTACAGAAAAGGCAAAACAAATATTGTATTCAAAAACAATTGTGTTGCAAATCTATCTTTTTATATTAAGCTATTGAAATAATGTGTTGTAGGCGTTCACACTTTAGATGTAACCTATAGATTCAAATGTTTGTTACCATGGTGCTTCACTTCCTATTGAGGAAAGATTGTAAAGGTCATCTTGTTGGTGACTGTATCAACTATTTATCTCGGAAGTCAGTTACCCGGAATAAACTATGAGATATACACACGTATTGTGGGACGTCTGATGATACTACCCAGTTGTCCAGGCTCAGGAGTTTGGAGATAGGTCTCATATGTAGGAACAGCCAGCCAATCAGGCATATATAAGCTTTCATTTTACTCAGTTGACTAGAAAAAACAAATTTCTGTAGTCGTATTGTTGACACTTGACCAGGTGTTTAATCAGTTTTTACAGCTGGATATGTTAACAGCAATGGGTTACCTATATGACAACCATCATTAGAATAATTGCCAAGATGACTCATTTAAAATCATTTTTAATGAAAATAGATTATTATATTCTTTCATATTCTTTATGTAGGTACTTACCTACTCATTTCATCTCTACCATTGTTCATCTTTTACAGACTGTGTCTTCATATGACACATCATCTGAAATTGATTCATCTATTGTGTCTAGTGATAAGTCGTCAAAGAAAATAAATATGAAGGAATCAAGTGAGTTTTTTCCGTTTTTTATCTATTGTTTGTAAAATGTAAGTGTTTGCAATGTAAAATGTAGGACTAATCAAATTTACGTCAATGTATTATTGGAATCGACGACGATGAAGAAACTCAACCGGGCATGGGAAATGGCGGGACGAAGGTTATGGTTATATACGGCAGGCGCCCCTGCTTGACCACCGCTGGATGCGGCTTATCGGCGGGAAAACCGAGCTCCAGCAAAGACCTGTCGCTTGCATGAGACAACATTCATGTCTGGTTACTCAGTCTTGATCAAGCAGCGGTGCCGTCCTTTAGCCTTTATGGTGGTGTGCGAGGCATCGGCGGGGCCAGTAGATCTGCGGGATTCTTGATGAGAGGACCGGGACCAATAACAACTGGTTAGTGGATGGCTGTTAGAGCTGGTAACCCAAACCGCGAGGAGCAGCTTGGTGTAGTTGTTAGCCTAGGCTAGTCTCGATCAGTGTCTTATGCTGTGGGCTGTGCTTGGAGGTTGGGATCTTGTGCCATGAGTCAAGGTGTGGTTGGCTCCAATGCGCATGTGTCCCTGAGAGGATGTTCCTGTTCCTACCAGCTGGAGGGGTGGCACCAAGGGTGTCCTGAGATGTAAATATTAGAAAATTGATGAAGACCGGTCTCAGGGAGTTCGCTCTGGGACTGTATCAGTCGCTGGGGTAACTCGCGATGGCACACTGTTACTCCTTTCCTGGATGACCGATGGCGTTCGGTGGTTGGCATAGTTCGCAAAAGGGTAAATACACGGTATTATTGGAGTCGATAGGGGAACATCGACTGACCTTTTCGACCCAATACAATCAACCAATGGTAAACAAGGCTCAGTAGCCCGTTGGAAAGCGCTTGGTGCTTGAGACGATAGATGCTGCGTTCGAGGAACAGTTGGAACACCTCACTTCGATGCATTTTTAACCATTTTACGAGACTCAAGTAGGAGGAAACGCGCGTTCTGAATTCCATTATTAACCATCAATAATCAAATAACAAGTCGTTTACCTTATATAAGGTGTCGGTATCCCAACGCAGACTTGGAATTTACGCTTCAGTGAAATCAAGCAATAGGAAACTCAGAAATTTCAATAGATTTATACAGCATTTTTTTTCTAAAAATATATTTTTACTTTTCATTATTTCTCTTCTGAGTGGAACATCATGATGCTTCAGTATTTGAAATTTCAGTAGCTGTGTTGTTTTTTACCACGTGGGGTTGCTAGCAGCCTCACTCTTAACATTCCCTCCTTATTCTTACTTTCATTGTTGTAAAATGATTTTTTCTCCAGTGTTATCAACTTTTGTAATATATCCAATTTCATTCTTATAACATATTTCACAGTATTTGAGAATTAATTCACTGTACATTATGTAGTGATTAACTTGGGGATGAGGTTCTGATAAGAAATCATGATGCCGTTGAGTTCATTACGTCGCGTGTGAAAACAGACACTCTTTAAAGACCATAGGATGGTGGTGGTGGTGGTGGTATATCACGAATCGACAAAAGTTAGAATCCCCTGTCTGTCCAAAATCCTGCGTGTTCTTCTCACAACAAGAAGTGGTTCAATCCGATCCCTAGCTAATTCACAGGTAATCACTGCTGAGGAATCCCAATGTAGGCCGAAATAACTGCGAAAAATTCCATGGATTTTCGTGTCGGTCAGTGATAGAAACCACTTGATTTTGTAGGATATTTAAATACTCTGTGTATAGTTATACATAATATATATAATATATTCTGTAGAATATTATTATAATTCCTGTATATTTTTAGATAATAATAAAAAGTGGACTCGAGCTTTGATATTTCGCAGTAAACTTACTATGCACACAGCTTATGAACGTTCAGATAACAAATCACCAGCTGATATTACAGCCTTGGCAATATCACGTGATCATCGATCTGTATTAGTTGGTGATGCTATTGGTCGAGTATTTGTTTGGTCTGTACCATCAGATAATTCTCGTGGCGGTATGACTGATCAATGGATAAAAGATGAAGGTGCTACAAATTGTGCAGCTGATGGTTGTGGTACACGTTTCTCGTTAACTGAAAGAAAGCATCACTGTAGAAATTGTGGTAAAGTATTCTGTTCGAAGTGAGTTAATTTCTGCTTTCATTATATAATATGATAATAGTATATATTATGTGTTGATTAGAGTTGTTGCCGTCATTAACCAACTTATATCATATCTTGTGTAGATGTGATATCTATAGTTTTCTATCAAAAGACGTATGTACTGTTCGACAGTTCTCTCTACTCTCGTTTATGTCTGTGAGACATAATCATTTAAAATGGAAGATATAAAAAGGCTGTGTGACTTTGACGATAGATATTTACGTTCCCCCTACTGTGTTAGGTAGTATTGTAACAGCAGAAGCTAAGGCACGAAAGCCAAGGTATCTTTTCAAGTGATCAAACTGCTATTTATATGTATATAGTTTTATATTCTTTAACCAATTACTGAGCATGTGATTTTGGTTTACATTAAACGATGTGAAATAGAATGTTCAAATGCATATATATATATACATATATATATATAGTACTGAACTGTGGGAATATGTGAGGACAATATTCCGTTGGAACACATTGTCTGTATCATACCACCACAGTATAATATGGCTAACATTAGTGACGTTAGACGTAGAGCGTTAGGTCAAGTCATTAGATGAGGTTGTAAAGCTGCATCGGTTGAGATGGTCAGGACTCGTGTTACACTTGCCAGGCCATTATATAGAGCAATGTTAGCCGACGTACTATTGGCTTGTAAAAAGGTTAGGGATGGTCAAATCGCAAACATGGCATCAATCCACTAAGTCTTTGACTATTGGTTTGTGTTAGTCACATAGGTAGGTGTAGACTATCTGATTGTAGTCATCGGGATGCTGTGAATCAATAAGTGAAGATTATTGGTGATATGTCTGAAAGTCGTTCCAAATGGTTCAGAGGCATTCACTCTATTTCTAGTCTCCCAGATCCGTTAGATCCTTGTGGTCTTCCATGTTACTACTATTCTTTCTATGTTGAAAGTCAGTCAGTCAGTCAATTAGTCTTTCTCGCTCTCGGTTGAAATCCCTATGTATGTAAATAATTTTTAAATAATCAAACTTCATTTTTATTATTGTCATTTTCTGACACAATTTGTTTTTATCCTTTTCTAGATGTAGTCGATTTGAAAGTGAAATTTATCGTCTAAGACTATTTAAACCTGTACGTGTATGTCAAACATGTTATAATGTATTGAAGTTAATTCAAGCTCCACAGAATCGTGAAACAACTGCCCCTTCACAATAAAAATGCCATTGTAAAATTATTATTATTATTACTATTATTATTATTAATTTTATGAGATATAATGTACATATATGCATATATATAAAATAAACATTTACAAAGAGAAATACAATTCCGGACGCTTTCGTAACTTTAAGTAAACTAACTGAATTAATCTCATGGCTTATTCTAATTGCTAGCATAATTCTTATATATATATATATATATATATATATATATAGTCAGTGTTTGTCTTTTGTCCAATTTTTTTTAAAATTACATAACTATGACTACTCTTCATCTTCTTACTGTGCTATTGTTTATTTCCAACTTTTTCATTCCGTCTTCAAATATATATATATATATATATATAATCTTTTGACATTCTCTCTTGAGTAGTCACTCAACCATCATATACTACATCATTTCACACATAAGATTTATTCTACACAGTGATTTGAATTTAAAACCCATTTACTATTAAATTGGTGATCCTGTTGTCTGCTTCTCAGCCAAATCTCATTTCTTGCCTTCGTGCACTGCCTTTTCTATTGTTATTATTATTGTCCGGTCTAATCGAGCTTTGAACTCTGTGTGTGTGTGCGTATTTGTTTGTTGCTGTATAGAATCCTTATTGACTGCTACACATAGTACTATCTTATGGTATGTATATTTTAACCTTAAAGTTGATTGTTTTTGTGTTCTATTTTCAGGAATATTATTATTGCATCATGCAGTCAGTGTATGTGTGCTGTTAGATTTTCTTCTTCTTCTTTTTTCACTTTACTATTCTCTGCCACCTCTTCTCTCTTCTTGTTCTTGTTCCTGTTCGAAAGTGATCATATTTTTTTCCATAGAGGGTTTATACTAAATACGTGTGGTTTATAATTTATCATTCGTCCAACCATCATCGACAACTTGAGAATACCTTTATTAACAAAAAAACAAAATAACAAACTTACGTGGGCTCACATGCATGCATGCATGCATACAGTTGTGTCTTTTTTCTACTCGCTTCTTCTTTTGTACTTTGTACTTTTTGATTATTTTGCTGTGATAATGTACACATGGAAATTGATGTTGTGTTCTCATTAGTATATAACTGCACATGCTCGTCTTCTTCCTCCGTGTGGACTTCTTCTTATTTTGTTGTTCTTCAAGTGTTGTATACACCAGTTGTTATTATTACTATTATTATTATACATATACATGAATTCATTATTTACACTTATATCAGAGATAAACAAATTTTCGAATAAATTCTTGAAAAAAGAAACGAAAGCATTACTCATTTTCTCTGGTTATGCACTTTTTATTCTCTCGTGAAAAATTCCCATTCGAGCACTAATGAAAGACAAGACAAATAGTTCGTCGAAAAGGTAGGTTCTTTTCGCCCCCCCTTTAGCTGTACAAACGTATTCATATACAATCTCCTTTTCATGGGAGAGGGTAGTAACAAAAGTGATGAGTTGTCACAAACATAGTTAGAGATATTGGTCAGTGTATAAGAGGAGTTGAATTAGTGTATTAGAGTTACGTAATAAGATGAATGAGTTGTAATCAGGATAAACATAGAAAGATGGAAAGTACGATATTACGTAAACGTTCTAAAGAAATACAAGAGTTTTAAAAGGAGTTAGAAAAGCAAACAAACAAAAATCAAGACAGTAGAAACTACCAAATTTGTTACCATGAGAGTAGAAGTGGTTGAATAATTTTCTTTTGTATGCAGAGCTCAGGTTTCTCTAACTTAATGACTACAGCTTCAACAATGCAAAGAAAGCGTATTGTCTTTAGCAGGTTGTTCTTCACTTTGTTGATTACTTTGAGAGAGAGGTGTCTGTTGAGATGGAATGCCCAATATTGTCAAGGTGTTCGCTTATTGCACTTCTTATAAAGGCACACCTACCTTTCTGCAACCACGCGGGATAGTGTTCTTGAACCCATTTAAACAGGATTCATGTCGAGCGACCAATTTACCTGACTCTACAGCAACAGATGAACTGATATATACATATATATATATATATATATATATATATATTAGTCAGATAGGAGATCTTGTCCTTTGGACCACCGTAAACCAATGGGTTACTGGAGAACACTACTCTTAGCGTTGCTGCGAACAAATTTCTTCTCAAGAAGAAGTTGACATTTTTCTCTTAACAACATCATTGAGTAAATCGTTTTTGAAGTCATCGTTCATGTAAAGTTCGTTTTCTGGCATGGATAACGTCACTTGTCTTTGAATCTTCAGTATGATGTTCTTGTCAATAAATCTTGGTGAATATCCGTTTTGCATGAAGATTGCTTTCAAAATGTCTGACTCTTCCTCCAGAGCATCATGTCAGCAGATGTGTTGGACGCGAGTAGCAAGAGATATAATTAGGTTCCGCGTACGTCCCATTAGTATCCAGTTGTGGAAACTTCTCAGTTTGTCCTTCCATGTGGGTTTCATATGGATGGACCTTCTTTTTCATTCTCACATTATCCTATCTCAGTATGTTAGAGATATGAACAAGAAATGTCCACCTGCATGGTTCATTGGTCTGGGTGTTCAACTTCCTATCAGTGAATGGGTCAACTATTTGAACCTCAGATCCACATACTGAGGTTTGGCCAATCTAGATAGTATCATTAGTCCTTAGACAATAAGTGTGGCTCATTGTCAGCTGCCTGGAAATGGAAGTTAGGCGTTGAATAATAGTTTACTCTTTCTACATAGTTAAAAAGAAAGACACTTTATAGGGAAGGATATTAGGGAATTTATCCAATGAACAAGTTTGTTAATGTGAATGAATTATATCCGAACTAGTGGAAATGTCTATTTCATTGTACTGTTTATGTATTATGATGCTGAATGATATCTCGGTATTATTCATTTTAAGGATAGGAAGTCTTAGAAGCCAAGAAAAAAAAGGGAATACTGTATTCCTTCATTATTTAACAACATATTTAGTCGTTTGAGAGTAAAGAAGAAATTTTTGTATACTTCCAGTTGAACATCAATTTTTGAAAATGCAAAAGAATTGATATTGTATTCAGCGAAATCCTTTTATTGCAAATTATACAGCGTTTGGAAATCAAAAATTATTCATATGACAACAGTATGTGATCTATGCGACGCCGTACATAATAAATAATCAAGAAAGCATGCAAAATAACCAGATGGCATACACTACTGATTGGTAAGAGTAGCTGATTGGCGACGAAATCTCACCACGGATCCAAAAAAATCGATCTGCTTTCGCTAACTTACACCATCTCTGGCGTAGGCGTGACATCCGGCTATCAACCAAGGGATGTGTGTACTGCTCAGCAGTTCGCTCCGTCCTTCTCTATGGCTCTGAAACATGGTCAATACGAGTTGAAGACATGAAAAGGTTGACTGTTTTTGATCATAGATGTTTACGATCTCTTTCTCACGTTAGGTGGTATAATAAGATAAGTAATGTTGACGTTAGGCGTAGAGTGTTGGGAAAAGAGAGAAAACCGATCGAAGAGGACATAAAGTTGCATAGATTGAGATGGCTAGGTCACATGCTGGGCATGCCTAACCATCGCCTCTCTCGACGGGCATTACTAGCTGATATAGGTGCAGGTTGGAAAAGAGTAAGTGGTGGCCAAGCAAAAACATGACATGAATCCATGAAATCCTTGACAGTTAAACTGAGTCAGGTAGGGAGATGCAGACTTCCGGGTTGGAGCCCGCCCTCGGGACTCTAACAATCAATGGCTGGAGACAATAGGTGACATGGCTCAAAATCGTTGTCAATGGCTTACGCAGATTTATTCAGTCTCTGTAATCTTTCATATTCCTTTCTACCATTACTCATTCTGTTTCACTCTTATACTTGTCAAAACTCTTTTTATTCTCTTCACTCATCTTCTTGTCTACCTTTGTGTGCTATTTGGAACGTAGCAGCTCGAAGTGCTGCACTTTGGTGCCTAGTTCTATGTTGAATCCAGACAGAAGAGTAGCTGAATATCACTAACATAAACCAGTAGTACGTGCTAGTCTGTTCATAGTGAATGAAACATCGAGTGAGTGTTTCACTCGTTTAAGTTCAAGCTCAATAAAAGTCTCGTTGTGGATAAGCTCAACTGAGATTGACATTTGAAATGACCCGAATTACCACGCTATTTGATGACACCAGTGGTCTCCAGCTACTCGTATCTAACTCCAGTATACACTGTCTAGCTATTTATATCGTATGTGAATGTAGATTCTTCTTCAAGGCATACAGTTTATTCATGGAAATAACGAAGACATAAAACATTTGTGGTCTATTAGTGAAGCTTTAAGAATGCAGTAGTAATAAAAGACTTCAGTAAGTTTGAGTAAGTTCCGTTCATAGTTGAAGTAAAGTCAAATGGTAAGTAAAGGAGAAGGAAAGACTGAATAATGACTCAAAGTTTCTAACCAAGGTATTTTAAGGCTAATTATTGGGTCTTTTCCTCCTTTATGAAGATAAATCTTAAATTTTTTTAAAATAAAGTTGGCCTCTGTAAACGTGAGTAGAATCGAAAGTAGACGTCATATCTGACGTCAAGAAATTCATAAGCGGTTGACGCTATACTCTTGTCTTTGAAGCATAGGCCTCTTGTTTGCGTGTAGTTTGACGGATACATGTAACTGGTTAAATGCAGTCTGACATAAAATGTTGCAAAATATTTTTAGCTCAGAATGAGGATGCAAACTGTCAGATACTCTGCGACTTCTGATATTTAACCGTGGGTGTTACATCCTCAGGCTTGATGACTTCTTCAGCACTAAACTTAGTGAATTGGGATGCATAATTAACAATGGTGTTTTATTCATTCATTATATGCAGTGAATGTTATTCGATAATTCACTAAGATCATTTTGTTTACTTAGGAAAATGGAAAGGGACTCCGATGTTGAGATAAGAATGGCAATATTCAGCTCGTGTTTCCCACATTTTGTCACTGCTTAATATAAGGCTATCGTTTAATGTCACTAGTCACTTACTTTCTTGACATATGACTCGGTTAACCAC